ATTTGGGATAACCGAACAAAAAATATCCAAGCCAGCGGTTCTGCGGTTTGTATTAGGAAGTGAACTGTAATAAAAAGCGAGTTTGTCATTCTGAACGATAGTCCAGTCGAATTAGATCATAAACCTTGAAAACTTAAAAAAATATATTAAGTAGTAGGTAGACATTTTATTGCATTTTATGACGGCGAAGGGTATGTAGAATGATAATATCAAAAAAGTAACTAGAAGTGACGCTAAGTTGGCAAATTACGTGTTTTTTACTTCTTTTTTACTGCCGATGAAAATCTAGACGACCTATCGGAAAGTTAATTATTTTATGTTGTAGGCAATTAAATTACCTACAATTTAAGGTGTCTAAAGTCATATTTCACCAATCAGTTTTCGAAAATTGCGCATTATTACTGCAAAAAGCGATGGATGTTGATGAAATTTCCAATGATTTCCAACATGTGTGCCAAAAGCTGATTCGATTGACCGTGAAATTATTGCTGCAGGTATTTGTTAATTAGTTTCATTAATTTGCAACGAATTCTTTAATAGCTAGATGTTAATTTTAGAAGTTAATATCGTAGATGTAGATTCTAATTGATCTAAAGAAACGTATCGTAAAAGAAAAATTTCAGAAAGTTATAATTAAGTTGCCCTTTACAACCAACAAAGTAGGCTATGCAAAACAAATTGTCTCATGGTAAGGCAAAGCCCGCTCGGGAATTCGCTCTTTTTGCATTAAATAGGGCTTATTTTTACGGTCATTTAAAAAGAAAGAAATCACCTACGCCTCTTTATTCCCAATTCGAAAAAGTTTTTAATTATTCTAATGACTAATCAATTCCTTGACCTTTTATGGAACTTTTGCAGATATCCTGTAGGATGTTCATTAGTTCATCCTTTGGTCGTAAAAATTACAAATATTGAGGATGAAATAGTAATAATTATTTTACTATAAACGTATTCTGTGTAACATCCACGCGAATATTTTGTTACTTTGTTAGACGAAGCGAGGTTTGATTTTCTAACTTAAAAAAAAACATCTTTTTTAAATAAAAAAAGTCCAATTCTGCAGATCAAACCAGTCGCGCTCGGTGTGCACAAATTGATACTGGAAGATTCAAAATAAAGAAGCTCTCGAGTCGACATTAATATCTTAATCACCAGCGTTATAAAACTTTTATCCAATTAAACCGGAGTGCGGGGAGAACAAAGAATTTCCACTAGGCATTAGAGTTAAAAACATAAGCAGCGATGTACATGGCATTCCCATCAGTGAAATTAAAGCTCTTTTGTCTCGTGGGGTGTAAAAACTTAGTGAAACCGCGAGCTCGTATTCACAATTAAATTCGTTGTCATTTGAAATCTGCAATTGCTGTTTTTGTTTCGGTCGCACAAAGAATGTCAGCCCCGTATCAGCTGTCACTTGTTTGAATTCAGGGCCTGTCGTCCTGGAGGACCGGACCGAGGACAGTTGATGTAAACCAGTGGCGTTTCACAACCGCGTTATCTGAACTTTTCGTTATTTTTTCTGTAATTAATTGAAAATCGTGTCAATGGTGTACTGTTATTTCACCACAAACATTAACATTGTTACAACAGAAATATTAAAAAAAAAATACAAAAAACTAAAGATTAGGTTTGACGAAATTATAATTGAATTAGAAATAAAAGATTCCAGATAAGAAAAAGTGTAGATTCCTTTACAAAAATGTCGTTTTATTTTTTTGTGTTACCTACTTAATTTATTATTATTATTTCCGAATTAATTATTACAACTCGTCCTTTAAAATTTATATGATTCATCTGCATGTGGAAAAACAGAAAACAGAAGTAAATTCAACATTAATTTTCACCAATTATTTTTAAATTTCTAAATACATAATGTTTTAGAGACCATATTTTACTAACAAATTTAATAAATATATGTACCTATTTTCAGATATCCAGTATAGCCCCGTTCAAGTCTTCCAAGAAAATAAATTACGTCTATAAATTTTACCATTTTTTCGCATCTTGTGTTTTTCGTGAACATATTCAATTCTTTTAGTAAATGTTTTCTCTTTATTATCTTACTCTTAATATGTGTATTTTTTATTAGCTTTCGCGAATTATCTAAATCGGAAAATCAATTTCTATTCAACAAACCTTTTGGCAGTATTCTTACACACGTGACTTAGGGCAAATCAAATCACTGTCGCTTTTGCAGTTTATGTTGGAACAACTACAATGCACAGAAAGTCGACTTTGATTCCATCCATAATAATATACTGTCAAATCTATGTTTAATAATATTCAAGATACTTCGGACTAAATATTGAGAAACATGTTAATCTGCAACCACTACACTCACGTTGTTTTTAAATAATGCATTTGTATTTGAACATAACTGGTAGCAGCTTTCAATACCTCTGTATTTTGTCTGTATATAATCTGCCTGACCCTAGCGCACAGTGCAAAATTTTAAGTCCGATTATTAGTCACTAATTTAAAACACAACACAGCTTTTAAAATAAAGTATTTATCTACACTATCACAAAACTACACGAAATAAAACGATATTTACCTCAGTCTAGGATTTTCTATACCCACGCGTTATAAAAACAATTGAAATATTTTCAAATGTACACAACCACTACCGCCACCAACGACACCAACTATAACCTAGAATTAGGCGGTAAATTTAAATTATTGAGAAATAACTTTTACAAAAATGTTTATATTCTTCATACAAATTACTAGTAAGTAAACAATAAATACACAGGTGTAAAAGATAGTCAGGAAAAATTAAATGAGTTAGTATAATGTAAAATACATAAAAAATTTCTACGCCTTTTAATCAAACCTATTTGAACAAATCTAAAGTTCACATAATCAATTTTCAGATTTGTCAGTCGAATAAAACTATTGCTTCAACGAAATTTGTGGTCAAGCGAACATAGGTATTTCTAAAAACGGCCGCCGCAACGAGAGACGTATCAGACTCCCGAGACGGAATTGAATCCGTTACAGTACAGGAATAAAACGAAAACGAGTACCTACATCAGATCCCTGGCAGCCTACCACTGGCGAAACGCAGAAATTGGACTGGACCCGCAGCTCTGCGACAGTTTTAACAAGGCCGGGGAGCTAGATTAAATTTTTCATGGCCAGCTATTCCGCTGTGGCGTTTTCGCGTTACGGGGGCGCAGTAAAGGGACGGCCTGGGGCGAGGGGCGACGCCAGACGCCGGAGGAGCGCAACAGTGCGGCAAGCGGACGAAACGGCACGCCGGGGACCCGCTCCGGCCGAGAGAGTGCGGCCGATGAACCGGCCGCTACCCTCCTCCTTTGTCGAATTAAGTCGACCTGAGGAGGGCTCCCCGATTTCCGCGAAATACCTGACGCACCAACGTTTCATTTACCTAGTTATCGATTCGACTTCTATTTTTGACAAATAACAATAGACGCGTAAATATTGCCCAATTATTTTGAGAAATTCACGTTGAGGAATTTACACAGTTCTATGAGTCTATTTAACAAAATGAAACAACCGTGAACTCGATATTTTGGCAGTAGTGCAATAGAATGTCAATATTCCGTTTTTTAAATGTACACAGTTTTTCCAGTTCTTTCCTCTATACAATAAATTCTGATAGAATTTGAATTTTTTTTAATTTTTCCTAGATAAAAACTGTTTAGCGAAAATTTGTCGTTACAACTATGTTAACACCTATGAAATTAAATTAACATAAGGATGTGTCATAATTTTTTATAGAAGTCAATTATTCTATGAGAATTTGAGCAATAAACTGTTCTACAGAAGAAAATAATATGGTTGTTGCTACCTAGTTCTGCTCTATAGTTCAAGTACTCCAATGTTGTCTCCTTTTGCACCTTAAGTTTGGATAGAAATCTTTGTCTTGTCTTTGTGTTCTTGGGCTAGACTCTGTCGGGGCCGACCCGCTATCTGAACCCCAATAGTCGAGAAAATAAAGCACAAAAAGAGCCGAAATCTCAGAAATTTTTCGATCAAGTCGTATCAAGATGGGGTTTTTGCATTCGGTTTCTAAAATTATGTGGAAAAAATGTAGCAACTTTGTATTATGTTTTTCGGCCAAATTGCATTTGTGCAGTGCAAAATACATCCGGAAAAATGCATTTTTTTAAATTCATAACTCGGTTAATAATGCCTGGAATGGACTCAAATCAGGAACCTGGAGGTTTTCGAGGTCGCTGGTCCCGAATCTGACCTTCAAATTTGTTCATCGCCGACCTAGAGCTTAGGATTGATGATGAACGTCATCTCTGAGGCTTCTCCTGAATTTCACTCTTAACTGCAACGAGACTTGACACCCGGGGTTTTTCGGGCGATTCCTAACCTGGCGTCGGCGAGCACCCGCCGTACACCTGACGATGCACCGGAACCTGGACATGGACGTCATCTCCGGGAGTTTTCCTGTAAAATTCGCGTAAACGAGCCGAAAATCACATCAGGGATTTTTTCGGGGCGCTCTTCTCCAATCTGGCGTCGCAAACCACCCCCCGGACACCTGGTGCATCGGAACCTGGACCTTGAAATCGGCGTCATCGCTTGAAAAATCAATAAACAGTAAATTTTCAATATATTTGAGACTACCGTTAATACTGCAATAACTTGTTTGGAATTGTTGATCTCATTTCAGTGCACCAGGTGTCCAGAGGGTGGTCGCCGACGCCTTTTTTACTTTAGAGTCAAGTCAGTTTTTTACTTGACGTCCATTTGCGTGTAAAACTCTTGTAATTTGTATCGAAAATTACAAATTTCTTTCCACCAAAAAGTAATTTGAGTTTCAAACAATGTCCATTTTACAGAAAAACTGTGATAGAATGGAGGAAAGTCTGTTATTTGTGCATTGATTCATATTTAGACAAACTGTGTAATAAAATCAATAAAAATGTATTGCTGGTTGCCTATTTGCTATAGAGCCCTCTTAATAAGTGTAATTATATACATTTTTAAGTTTCTAAAAAAAAAAGTCAAACCTCGTCGATTTAGTTTGATCTATTAATCAGTACATATTTTATTGATATCTCGTCTGCAGAGATAATAAAAATATTTAATTACAATACTTTACAATAAAATATAACTACAAAAAAACGGGGTAAGATAAAAAACAAAAAATAATTTCAAACAGTCGGCTGTTGCGATTTCTCGGGTGCCGGCTCTTTTGCTTTTTCTTTATTCCACTCTTTCAGACCTTCCGGCAGCTGCGTGTCTTCCTCAAACGAACCGGTTCCCTCGACGAACTCCTCGTACGTGGATTTTTCCGGGAACGGCCTCTTGCCTAACAGTTCGATCATATCGTCGCGACTGATTATTTCCTGCTTCAACAGTCTCTCTGCCACTTTGGCGACCTGGTCTTTGTGGTGGGTTAATAAATCGGTCGTATGTTTATGTGCGTTGTCAATCAATTTCCTAACCTCGACGTCGATCAACTGAGCCGTACTTTCCGAATAAGGTTTTTCTAACTGCATTTCGCCTTCTCGGGGCATATCGAAACTCACGTTGCCGACTTTCTCGTTCATGCCATAGTGCACTACTTGCGCGTAAGCACTCTGAGTCACTTTTTTGAGATCATCCTGTGCACCCGTCGTGATTCTGCTAAAGAATAGTTCTTCCGATACGCGTCCGCCTAAAGTCATGCACATTCTGTCGAAAAGTTGCTCTTTTGTGTACAAATACTGATCCTTCGGTAAGTACTGTGCGTAACCCAAGCCTTTACCGCGGGGTATAATAGAAACTTTGAGGAGAGGATCGGCGTGCTCCAAGAACCAACCAGCCACGGCGTGGCCGGCCTCGTGGTACGCAACCGTTTTCTTTTCCTCAGGCGACAATACGTTTGTCTTCTTCTCCATTCCAGCCACAACACGCTCGATGGCTTGTTCGAAATGTTTCATGTTAATCGTTTCGTTTAAATCTCGCGCCGCTATGAGAGCCGCTTCGTTACAAACGTTAGCAATGTCGGCGCCGGTAAAACCCGGGGTTAGTGCGGCCATTTTTCTCGCAAGATCCGCTTTATCCAGGTTAGTTTTTAACGGTCCTAAGTGAACCTTGAAAATACTTGCACGACCTTTAATATCGGGAGCTGGCACGAAAATCTGTCTATCAAAACGTCCAGGTCTGAGCAGGGCCTTGTCGAGAATGTCAACTCTGTTAGTAGCAGCGAGTACTACGACATTTGTGGTAGTGTTGAACCCGTCCATTTCCACCAACAGCTGATTTAGGGTGTTCTCCTGCTCCGAATGGCCACCAAAGCTGCGTCCTCCCCTTTTACGACCCACTGCGTCGATTTCATCAATGAACAGGATACAAGGAGCGTGTTTGCGGGCCATAGAAAATAAATCCCTAACTCTGGAAGGACCTACACCTACAAACATTTCTAAAAATTCCGATCCGGACACTGTAATGAACGGAACGTTGGCTTCTCCGGCCGTGGCTTTGGCAAGAAGAGTTTTACCAGTACCAGGGGGCCCTAAAAATAAAACTGCTTTGTAGCTCTCTCTCGTGTACAGATTTAACGGGAAAGTATCTTACGCGCAATTACAAAAGCTATGGTTAATGGAGCAATGATTTAAATGTTTAAAAGTAATTAATTCTATATAAAAAAATAGTCTATTTTGATTCCATTCGTTTAATTTTAAGTGCAGATAGGCAGATTTATTAGAAAAAAAAAGAAAAATAGATTTCCATTTAAAAAGTGGTTACCGTAAAAAAAATAAAAGAAATTCGAAACGAAGTGTAAGTAATATTCAGAAAATGAAATATACCTGTAAGCATAGCTCCCTTAGGAATTTTTGCTCCAAGATCTATGTACTGCTGTGGATTTTTCAAAAAATTCACGAATTCCATGATTTCTATTTTAGCCTCCTCGCAACCCGCCACATCCCTGAAATGACACATATTTTTATAATCCTGTAAACAAAAATATCTTCTAACATTTCTCACTTAAATTTGACTCCAATTTCATTAGAATTGATAAGTTTGGCTGTGCTTTCCATAACTCCGCCAAAGAGACCCCCACCCTTCTTTCCTCTTTTGCCTCCCATCATTTCCGCAGATCGTCTCATCATATAAATTAGAAAACCAATAACTAAAATGGTTGGCAGCATGCCAGAAAGGCTAGCGGCTTCTAGCTCATTCTTGTATATGACAGGGACGAAGTTTGGGGGATCCAGACTCATCTCTATTTGGGCATTTTCGAGATTTCGCTCAAACGAGTCCACGCTTCCAATATTGAACCATATTGCATTCTAGGCATAAAGAGGACCATGAATAATTTTTTACAGGATAATATTCAAAATTTCAGTACATTTTTTATATAAATCTTTACTTAGTCTGTAAATCAAACAGTTCACTTGCATATAAAAAAACATGAAACAAGTTTAACTGAACTATGAGCAAGGTTCGAAACTTGAACTAATAAAATATCTACACTTACAGCTCCCTCCACAGTGTTTCCAGGTAACAACTTGACCCGGACCCACTTTTTATTTACAACCTCAAGTTTTTCAACAACTCCTCTCTGTAGGTAACTGCAAATTATAAAAAAATATTGTAATCTGCAACAACAAGTTTTCTTAGTAAATATACCTGTGGACAAATTCCTTCCAACCTATTTCTTTATAGCCCATTTCCCACATTGTAATAGTGGCTAAAAAGGCAATCGCTGCTGCAGCTCCTAAGATATACCATTTGTCCCGTTCGTTGTCGCCAAACGGTTTACCACCACTACCCCTGTATCCATATATTATTAAGAGGAAAGAAATTTACTAGTACTTATTTAGAAATTTATCAAACAATAAACATCTTACTTAAATTATATAACTCAATCTTACCCTCTTCCAGTGCCACCAAAAAGGCCAAATGACCACTGTTCGTACGGTTTAGAACCTCCTCCAGGGCTTCTAGAACTTGCTGATGGAGGAGGAGGTTTAGGTGCTTCTTTAGGTGGTTCCTGTTTAGCATCTTTTCCTTTTACTTCTTTGGTTTCTTTTGCTTCTTTCGATTCTTGTCTAAGTTCCTTTCCACTCCCTGGTTTAAAATATTTCTCAAATCCCTTTGGAGGCTTCTCACAAAATAATCTCCATTCATCTAATACCGCTCTTTTAAAGGAAAAATTACGCTAAAAATATGATGACAGTCAGAATATTATAAAAGGTTATGAAATATTTTTATACCTGCGGACAATTCACATTGTACTGTTTCAGTGTTTTCCAAACTAAATTTTCTAATCTTCTACCACTACTTAGAAGCCGATATGCCATTTCTAGGATTTTAATAAATACTGAAAGTTAACATCTCATAACTTTCAGAAAATTTATAACCTCATTTTATATCACATTAAAAAAATAGCCTTTAAGTTGTGGCTTGTAGCACCATCTAGTGTTAGACCTACGACACTGTAATAATCGATTAATGTGGCCCACAAAAATATCGCCTACGTCACGTCATATCGCCTCCTCTATTCTGTCAATTTACACCATTGATCAGTATTATAATCTGGGAATTCTTTGTTAATAATTGTAATAATCAGATTGGTAAATGGTTTAATAATATAATAATTTCTACATATCGACACCCTACATTATGTAAAATGGACGTGATTGTATGTTTTTAAATAATACGGAATTTTTTCCTGCAGTAAAAGCAAAAAAGCGAGCTTTTATTTCAACTGTTTGAAGTGAATCTCAAGTGCGATTATCGTTTACCTCACTTTAACCATTGTTTATATAGTTACACCCTAAACAATGCTTTAACTATCTGGATAAGCTTGAGAGGAGAGCACTTCACTCAATGGCTTCCAAAAGGAACTTAGCTGATCAGCTGAACAGATCGTTAAGTGAAGTGAACTTAGTGGGCTGAGCTGATTTCTAACCTTATATTTTAAGAAAAAATAGTGTAAATGAGTTGCTGCAACATTTTCTAAATAGAGCTATGACAAGTTCTAACGATTCCGGCATTCAAGAATTATTAGATAAACTAGAAGATGATGATTTATTTGCTCTAGCTAAAACTGTTACACAAGGCCTTTTGAAGATATATTCTAGAGATGGTAAGATAGTAAAATTTAAGTTGTATTGTTACGATTTGTTTTTTTTAAGATGCTTCAAAAGTCATATTAAAATATTCTCCAGATGAAATAAGCATTTTAAGGAGAAAAGTAGTGACAAGAGAAATACTGTTTTCATATCTCGATGAAAAAAATATTCCAGTTAAACTTCCAACTACAAAAAATGACCTTATTGATCAAATAATCAAGTTGTGGAATATTTATGATGATAGCCATAACCAAGCTGTTTCAAATTTAGCCCCACAGCAGATAAGCAACAAGGAAGTACAAGAAGTTAACAGTATTAGTTTACTAGCAGAACAATTTACCAAATGGTTTTATTCATTAATGAATACAGATGAAATTATAGGATCCGAGCATTTTTATCAAGATGCAAAATTAACAATAAACATGTATTCAGATGATGATTGTGATACTACGGTAATTGAAAATAATCCCGAGGAAATTGTACAAGCTCTGTTTCAATTAAAATCGCAGCACAATTTATTTTTTAATCCAAATGTATCAACCGAGGGTATCCAAGGACGGATGGATCCACACGGTTTAGTACTAGTTTTAGCTTGCGGAACTCTACACATTCAAGAAGTATGTGCGGGACTATTTGAACAAGTTTTTGCCTTAGCTAGAGACCCATTTTGTGACAACAATTGGAAGATAAAAAGTTCTGAATTAAATGTAAGGAGTAAAAGTGACGTTATAGGCCCGCCTACGTTGAGTGACAGTGGACTAACTTCGAATTTGTTAATGTTGCCTTCAAGCTAATATACATTTGGTTCATACACTCGATGAATCGTTTTATTGCGATATTAAGATTGTTAAAATAATGAGTGTTTTACTTATTTGAAAACAAATTGTTCGGGTATGTAAATTGTAAACTAACATTAACAAGCCACCAGTCTTTTTACAAACGCGTTTGTTTATACACATCTTTTTTATTTAGAAGATTCACTGATATTATTACTTTACAGTCTCAGAAGTTATCTAATATCTATTTCTTAGATAAATCTCGAAAAAATATTAAACGTTAACTTTCAAATCTAACTTTATTCTCTTTTATTCCAGTTTATTCCTATTTATTTCCATTTATTCCATAACTCGTACAATTACAAAAAAATCAAATATTTTTTTGAAAAGGAGTTTGTGAAGTATTAAATAATATTCAAATATTAGTATTTTTGTTCAATTTATTATAAGTTCCAAATTAGTTGTTACAAATTCTTCAATCTTAATAAGACTAAATTACATTACACTAAACTACTGAACGTTCTTTGGCTACAAATAGTTTTATTTTTCTTATTTTTTAAATTTCGAAAAACAAAACGCCAGACAACTTAATTAACATTTCCACAAGAAAGTACAGAAAAATTTGGCAAAGAAATAATTTTTTGGTCTAGCACTGAATACCTGCATAGTTTTTACATGCTTAGCAACATCAGAATTATTTTACATTGAATTATTACATGAAATTCTAGAATTCCATAAATTTATTTGAAAACAAATTTATTGCAAAATTATTAAATACGTTGTCTGAAATAAATCGAACAAGTTCCGGATAATTTTTAGCCTTGCCTATTTACGCAATACACAAATGAACAATACACATTATACTATTCAATACAAATGAACAATACACCTTTTTGTCTTTACCGTGTTAATTATAGATAAAATTATTTAATTAATATGGTACTTCAGAGATTGCTTCTGAAGTGCTTGGTTGATAACGTTTCGGCTTATTCTTTCTGCTTACTTTGGGGGCTGCTACAATCGTTTTTCTCTTCAAGTAGACTGGTATATAATCCACGTCTTCATCTTCCTGAGGATCGTTCGAAACGTCTACTAATGGAATATCAGATGGAGGTTTATATGAATTTTTTGGTCTTAAAAGAAGCCGTTCCTTCTTAGCTGAAATCGAATTTATAAGATCTTGTAACTTTTTTGAGCAAATTTTATCACTGCAATTTATCATTTTCCGAGTACATATACTTACTTAGGTAAGCTACTTCATCGTAGCTGTTGAGAGGATTAATTCCAAATAAATCATAAAGGACCTGGTCATATTTATAATCCATATATAATATTACAATCGATAAAATAAGGCAAAAAATTCCTACAATAAACAATTAAATCAGTTAATACGTTAAATCTCTTACCTTACCAGTCACGAGGGTTGCCCAATAGTTAAATCCAAATTTCGTTTTTAGAATGGCATCTTCAAAAGGTATAAGCAGTGGGTTTGGATTTCTTACGAGAAGCCAAATCAAATTTCCTATTATCTGAAGTATACCACACATTCCTAGAGTGTATGCCCCATAATTTATCACTGAAAGATTCATATACTTTTTAAAATAATATTCGTAATATTGTAGCAAGCTTAAGATTTTCAATTTTGAGAAAGTTTAACTTGCAAATATGCACATTCTTAGTTTTAGTTACTATGTTACTGGTCTTTACACCCATAAATTGAGACATTATAGGTTTCTAAATAATCACCTGATCTGAATAAAATAATTACAAGTAGCCAGCAAGCGAAAGCGGCCCACAGTACGATATGTGTGTACCATCCAGCGGTCCTATAGAATCTGCCAAATCTAAATCCTTCACCATCGATCACAAAATAGTCTACTACCCAGAGAATAGGTAAAGGCAGCCCTCGAAGTTGCGCGGCTCTGAACTGCTGTTGTATATGGCCAGCTACATTTAACAAATCAAAAATAAAGCAACAATAATAACAAACCGTAGTATTTTGAACACCGAGTACCTATAATACTTGGTATAATTATGCGTTAAGTAAACATCTATAATTTTTACCATACGGTCCAAAGCCAAACCGTCCTTGGTCCCACGTCCACTCAAATCGTTCATTGTAGTCAATTTTTTCGTATTCCAATTTGCCCTTGAGATCTGTTATATTTCTTAATGTCACATTCACACCCCTTAGAGCTATTTTTACTGAAATTGATGCGTTTATTTCTTGATGAGTACCGGCTCTATACGGGGTTTTAGATACGATGTGTCCCACCTCCCATTCTTGTCCAAAGTTGTTCACTGAAAGTTACTTTAAAAAGTGATTTGTTCTTAAGCTATTTCGAGTCTTAAAGATATGTATAAATGCAGCAATATTATATATTTTTACGAAATAATGACTTACCTAATAATAATACTCCTATTAATAATGTAATTGAAACTCTTGTAAACACAATTAAATTCTGGGGAAAAAATAACAATTTAAAAATGTATAATTGTATTACTTTGAAATTTTTGTATTTTTTTCATCATTCAATTTACTATATTTTAAATTTGGCAGTTAATCCTAAAACAGTCTGTATATAACTATCATTTACAAAAAATGGACTGGGTTACAAAAATTTGGTCTAAAAAAATTAATTTCTAGTAGTTTTTTCCATACTAAAATTAAATTAAATTGTATCCTTTTTTTTAATTTCAAAAGTATTTTTAGAAAACTTCATAATTTGTAATGAATGATTAATAAAATTTTTAACGTATAGATAGTGTCCAGGAAATAACGGTCATTCTTTCAGGTTTAATTAGGACTCGCTAAGATACCATCGCAGGTTCATATACATTTTTTTATTTGGACTCGCACTTTAAAGTTATTAGATGTCGAAGTTGAGAGTTGAAAATCAATTTTTCATTAGAACTTTTTTACTTTTACTTTTTTTTAATTTTTGGGTAGACGCTGTTATTTGAAGTTATTTCTATGAATACAGGGCGAGTCATTAATAATGGTACACAGCTTACTGGCAGATTATTAACGTCAAAATATAGTGATTGAGACAAACATGCCTTAGTCAATTGTTGCTCCTTTTCGTTCTACAGGGTGTTAAAGTTAAAAATATATTTTTGATTTTTTGCTATATTTTAAGTATGTATGGATCGATTATTTTGAAAATTTGTAGTTTTACGTTTATTGAGATAGCAAATACAAATATGCAAACAGTGTTGGTATCACATCTAGGTGGAGCTAGTTATATTGTCCTATAAATATAAAAGTATGTGTAACGTATTATTCTACAATTTTATATATTTTAACTAGATATTATTGAACTACGTTCAATTGTAGATAAAAAAGGTATATATGTTGCAAATCAATAAACTCGTCCGTTTTCGAGATACAGACGTTTTAATTTTTTGAGATTCGGCGGAAATTAAATTAAAAAAAACAAAAAAGTTCAAACGAAAAATCAATTTTCCACTCTCAATTCCAAGACCTCAGAAACCTACAGGGTGAGCCCCATAATAAAAATTCATATGAACTTTTGATACGAGTGATAGATTCGAGAGATTCTGCCGTTTCCTGAACACCGTGTATGTGTAAACTCGTATACTTACCGTTTTTAGCCTAGTGGTAGGTAACGCGACAAAAAAAGAAGCTCCTAAAATAACAAAAGCTGTTATCAACCCGGCTTCTAAAACATCGACGGTGACAGGTGTCGCATTTGGACCGTACTGAGTTGGATACCCTTCCGATCTGCCAAGCTCGAACCACATTGTATAACATTAAAAACTCATACAATACAGCTTCACATTTACCTACTTAGTACCACTGACACTCAAAGGCAATCATCACATTCTCTATTGCAGCGAAAAAACCAGAATCTGTCGCCACTTCCTGTGGGACGATAAGATAAAAGAACGTTTTGTTTATATCATTTTTATTTATTATCAAGTTACAATTTTAATTCCCATAACAAGTTTAAAAGTTATAAAATGGAATGTAATAATATTGTCAATGAATTTAATTAAAAATTGAGCTAATATATTGCTTATAGTTACATAGCTGTTTTATTTATCACAATAGCAACAAATACACAAAGATTATAAGTCAACAAAAAATATATATAACAGCTTTTAAAAATTTAAATATACTAGATAAATCACCAATATTAAATAGTGTCTACTAAAAGGAAAAAGTTAAAACGTCAAAATAAATATCGCAGCGCGTATCTTAAAATATCGAAATAACTGTGGTAACAAAAACAAGTATTAAATATACATATTTAAAAACAATTCTTCCGCCTCCACGTCAGGAACAATTTCTTTATTCCTACACGACTAAGAAAAAAAAATTGTTCCTAGAGTTTAACTCGACTGTGGAATATTTAACAATTTTTCGTATCCATGTGGCTGACGGAAGAATTCTGAACTAGCATATTTTAAAAATGGAATGTATAATAAGAATGTATTTGTTGCAAAAAAATGAGTTTCTGTAATTATTATTTTAAAACTCCTTATACTCTAAGTAATAAATATAAAAACAAAAAGTCTACCCATATTAAATAACATTATTTTTGGACATTTACTGCACCTTCTTATAAATAATTAATTAACCGGTTTACTAAAATAATTAACAAAAAAATGTAATATATTGGATCAATCCCTTGATTAAGACTATTCTTTTTAGCAGCCTGATATGAAACAGCCGATGAAAAATGGAGTAGATGCATAACTTAACGATTATAAAATTAACGCACCCTTGCAATCGCTTTTTCCAAACAACGCATATCCCTTTTTTAATATTTTAATTTCTAAGGAAGTTACACAAATTACATAATATGTAAAACTAAATGGAAATTTTTATGGATATAGGCCCCCTAATCCATAAAAAAAAATAAGTGAAAAACTGAAAAACTTAATTTTATGTTTAGTGCATTTTAATTATAAAATCGTATATTAAATTCTTCAATGCCTTACTAACGACTCTTAAATAGTCAGAATTAATAAAAATGAGTTTTTTTGAATGCACTACGCTAGATAAATTAATAAGGTAAAAAGACCTTCTACTAGTTGGATCTTTACATTTACATAAAGAGACGAAGCTTTAATTAATTTCAATTAAGGGGTAATGCCTCTCTGCAGGCATGCTTATAACTCGTGAAAACATGCGTGATAGCATTTATAGAGACCAAATTGAGTCACAGATAAAGTTGAGAAGAAGAGGATAAAGAAAATGTCGATGTATAGTGCAGGTATAGCTGATTGAAGGTATATAACAAATTAACAAATTTCTTATACTGAATGGGAGCAAATATTTTAAAGGTGCTTTTCGATAAACCACTTCTTTTAACTGGCCGGAAACATAACTCAAGAAGTTTTCAATGAATCGACTTGAAATTTTGTACAGAGTTTCACAATAACATAACTTGGGGAACATCGTAAGGGTTTTTTGATTGATTTACAAATTTCATTGTTATTAACAATTTTTCATCTTTTCGATACTTTTTTTTGAATGTTTACTAAATAGTATACAGGGTGTGCCATTTAACACCCCACTGCCAATATCTCCGAAATGAAGAAATTTATTTTAGTTCCGGAAACTGGGGTAGTTAGGTCCCTCGAATAGCTTCAGATTCATTAAATTTTGAGTAATTGAGTAATATTAAGTTTCTCCCAATATTTACTTGTTTTCTAGGCATGTCGACTTCAATATACAATGTATGATGTAACAGGAAAATCTATTATTTTATCTAAATCACGAGACAAAATATTGTTATAATGACTGTATTCACACTGCATACTAACCAACAAACCATAAATTATAAAAAAAAAGATCAACTACAGAAAAAAAATTATCTAATGGTAAATCTTATAACTAGTATAATTAAATTGAAAGACGCATGCTAATAAAACTGTAATTATTGGAAGACTAATAAGTGTCATCTGTCATATACGTTTTATTTTAAACAAATGACATGAGCCACTTATGACTGCATTTTTTAATAACATTTGATAAAATACAGTTCGTCTCTGCCCCTTATAAGATTTACCACTGTACAATTTTTTTTCTGTAGTTGATCATACGTTTGTTTTTATATAACAATATTTTAAAAGAATATTTTGTCTCGGTATTGTGTGATTTTAATACAATAATAGATTTTTTTGTTACAACATACATTGCATATTGAAGTTGATATATCTCGAAAACAAGTAAATATAGAGAAAAACTTTATATTACAAAAATAACTCAAAATTTAACGATCTTTCAGACGGACAGCATTTGCACGTTCCAGGGATCAAAAAATTTTTTAGTATCGCCACGCCATCTATACAGAAAAATTTGAACTAACAGTTCTAACTACAATTTGAAGCTATTTGAGGGACCTAACAACCCCCATTTCCGGAACTATAAATTTCTTCATTTCGGAGATATTGGCAGAGGGAGTGTTAAATGGCACACCCTATATATTAGATTTTTTTTTGTTCTAAAACCCGCTAATAAGGAACATTTCCCGCCATACAGCTTGAAAAAAAATGTCGTTACTTGCCACCACCTACAACCACCATTTTGAATACAAATCGTTTGAAAAAATTCACAATCCTACCTGAAAACAGGTACAACAAAATTGACTATTTTCCAAACTCTATAAGGTGGCGTTACCCCTTTAATAATATCTTTGTAAAAATATTTATTAAAATGATCACTATATCATAAATCTTTGGTAAAATTACTCCTTATACCAAATATTTAATATATTTGATGGCTGAAAGAACTGTTTAATTTTATCCATTTTTAGTTTTCGTTTAAATTTATTTATAATTGCCTTGTTCTGATCTATCACAAAACAAAAAAGAATCTGTTTTCTACTTTTTTTACTCCTTATCCAAAAGGTATTAAAGAAAACTGAATATTAGAAATACCTCTTTTCAGAAATTAGAAATTCAGTCTACTTTTATAAAATTATCACCAACATAAAGTAATTTTGACTAGCATTAAATTATAGGCTTTCTCAGAAGAAGTCTCTGACATATTAAATTTACTTTCTAAGGAGAAGAAAAGAATTACAGTGAAAACTGGTTATAACGATATTGCTTTAGACGACACTTTCTATCACGATGTCGAAGAGAAAAGCGTTTAATAAAGAAGAAAAATCACACATAATAGGTCTGTTCCAACAAGAGTCAGGGATTGGTTCCGAACCGTCAGAAATGTGCATCCAACTAATTCTTGCGATATATTCACTGAAGACACATTTAGAACTTAGCTGGCCAAACATTTCGAACGGTTCGGAATCAATCCCTGACTCTTGTTGGAACAGACCTAATATAGAGATTAAAAATCGGAGCAACTAATGCAAACAAGCAAAAGAATGATACGATTTCAACAAATTGGAAGGATAGAAATAAAATAAAAGGCTTTTTTTCGTACGTTGTAGTACGAGAGTAAAATAAAATATTACGTCTATCGGTTATAACAACCGTAAACAAACGGTCCCTTGAAGGTCGTTATAACCGATTTTCACTGTATTCCAAATTTTTTAAAATTTAGTTCTGTAATAGGAAATAATGGATCTTCAAGAAATTCGTGACTAAATTAATTTTAACAGCAAAATTTTGCTGCCCACTCTAAAAACATGGTTAAAAAAAAGCATTTTGACGTGAATTGCTAAATATTTCAATTGATTTGATCATCTCAAATATAATTTGACTTTATAAAGTTATTACCTTCATCAAACATTTAGCGGCAATGAATTTTTCTGAGTAATCTAGTGAATGAAATATCATTGACGATATACCGAATTAGTAACAAAAATACTGGCCTTTTAAGGATAATAATAGAAATTAATAGAACAGAGTCCATGATGCGAAATTAGTCGAAACCCTGAGACCTCTACATATATTATAAAAATTGTATAGTTCAACTTAAAATCAACAAAGTGGCTTCACTTTAAAAACGACTCATTTTTAATATATGCATAACAACGAAGCAAACGGTAGTTACGATTACGAGATGCAGCTAGTCCAAATAACCGCTAAATTATTACTAAAACACCAATTTGTTCAAGATTCTAAATAACAATCAACAAAAACGTCAATGAGCAATAAAACGATAAAAGAGTTAAATAATCCCTGCTTCCTCTAATCTTTGTTTACGATGATGGTACATGTGTACCCGTAGACAACTTTGGTTCCGCATAGTCTTACCGCAAATCTGACAGTCCAGATCCATGGAATTGTCCTCGTGCTTGTCCCTTACGTGCACCTTCAAGTTGTAGCGGTTGACAAATTTCCTACAGCAGTACGGGCAGTAAACGTGGCCCTTGTTATCTGTCGAGTACGAGAGCATATCTGAAAAAATTTAACATGAATGAAATAATACAAATTAAACAGGTCTATATTACCTTACTGATGTATGTACAATGATTTACTTAAGCCCTTTTCACCAAAAATCTTGATAGTTTTTTTACAATGCAAATTTGCACAGCGTTAGTCAATATGATACATTATTCTGTTAATAACGATACATTGTAAGTACTGAAACTAATTGTAAGCGTCTTATCTATACGACCATCGTAAAACAAAATATGTCGTTCGATTAAATCGAATGATTCGTCTCAAGGTAACGTTTTCAAAAATCGCTCATGCATACACACAGACACAAATTATTTAAAAAGATTTACACAATATTAAATAATACATATTTAAAATATTGGTAAACAATATTTCGTAGTTTTTCTCTTTTTGAATATTTTGACACTAAATTTGAAAATATATATTTTTTTAATGAAAATGAAAAAATTATTGGAACATCTTAAGGAAAATTAGTTTTTAATCAACTAAGGAAGCTACCCTTACAGTACGGCCCATTCGCAACCAGACATCCTGTATAATTGCCAAGAAACCAAAGAAATACCAGTCATATTAGTTTTAACCAAATATTTTGGCAAGTATGACTTCAATTTGGGTACCGAATTTTACTCAAAATAAAAAACAAATGAAAGTAATCGGAAAAGTGGAAGAAAACAAATTCTTTAAATAATTCCTTTTTATTACGTATTAATATTTTAGATACAACTAATTATTACAATAGGTCAGCATTTACAATTAATAATATATAGAGCAAAAATAACGCAATTTAATATAAATCATTATAACAGTTATACAATAACAAATATTAGTGATATCTATAGCGCTGCTTGTAGAGTAATATTCGTGAATAAAAGACGTACGAATAAAACCGTCAAAAAAGACATTGTTCACATCGATTGCAACGAGAACTGCTCTACGAACAGTGCTTACATAAACATATAACCTACATCGGGAGGCGATTAAACATGAAAAATTATTATTTCTGACTAGCAAAATCTGAAATATTATGTGGAACAGACGAATATATACAGATTCTGTGGAAAGTTCTAATAATTTTTAACAGTTCTTGCAAGATTCGAATTTTTGTAGCATAAAAACTTATGTAAAAGTTAATTTCTTAACAATAATATTAATAAAGGTTTTAACGAAAGTCCCAGTAACAAATATTTGGCACAGTTCATAATTAAAAAAATATTTTTTGTATAACGTAGACTGACGTAATTTAAACCTAAAGCACTGTCGAGTATTTGGCTAATTAATAAATTTATTGAAGCATTATCATCAAGTAATTCAAAAAAAAGGTTTGCGGTTTTATACTTTTAATACTATTATTATGTATGTATGAAAGTTATTCGAATATCGAGGTGAAAAAGTTATATTTTTATGAACAAGTCTGCTTTTGTCGAAGAAGTTGACAGGGCCATAAAAGTGCAAGCTTTGTCCAAAATGCATACATGCAACATTTTTCCATCAACTTCAATAATTTGGCTTTGCTTTGTTAATACCTTTGATTTAGTACATTTTTTTAAATGTCATTTTATGTCCACAAATACTTATGGACTCGATTACTTAAAGTGAAGTATTTGCGGGTGCAAAATAATATGACATCTAAAAAATGACACCTTGCGCGGAAATGAGTTTGTAAATATGCATTTTATGGTGGCCGGAAATGAGTTCATTAAAAATTATGTTTTAAACTTTCATCGTGTTTGTTGCAAAAACTGAAATTTACTTAATAAAGGGCTAATACTTTTTTAATGTTAAAAAAATTATTCATTTACAAATGGCACAATAAAATCTATTATATTTGTTATATATTTACATATAAAGAAGCTCTCTCTCTCACACATCTATTACCAGAAATGAGTAAAACGAATACGTATCAGCATAGCAAATTCAGTTTGAAGTATAGGTTACTATTTATTTAATATTATTAAGCGACTAAGTAAAAATCATAAGAATCAGTCATATTTTGAAATAGAAGCGTAGGACTCATATCTTTTTTTTAAATGATTTTTAGTCCCAAGTAACGATCTTTCATTTAAATGATTTTTAGGCCCAAGTAACGATCTTTCATGGCAAAAAAAAAATTCTTCAATAAAAAATTAAAATGGAAGTTGTCTTCCCTGAAATCCCCAAACGTTGCAAATATATGAACGATTTTTTCATTTTACTTAAAGCTACAGCATCTTGAAGTTTGAAAAATGCTGTAACAGAAAATTTAATTTTGTGAATAAAAACACCCTTTTGTGTCTATATTTTGACATATACGTGCAGCTATCTTTGAAATCTCAGGATGTGCAACCCCATTTCAGTTTTATTTTGCAAATTTCGTTCTAAATTTTCTATTATAAAAGTTCTATAAATGAGTTAGAATTCATCCTCTAAAAAACAGTATATTATAAATTTAAACTAATGCAAAAAATTAATGTTTCGAAAGAATTTTCGAAATTTTTCCGTGATATTTGACAGACTGTATTTAGGTGGAAAATGGTCGTATCGGGAATTAAAAAAAAAGCATTTTGAAGCTGTAAGATTCTAATTTTTAAGAGCTATAATCTTAGAGCTTCAAAATGCTTTTTTTTAATTAACGATACGACCATTTTTCACCCAAATACAGTCTGTCAAAAATCACAGAAAAATTTCGGAAATTCTTTTGACCCTTTAATTTTTTGCATTAATTTATATATACTTCAATTCTCACAAGCCGCCACCGTGGATAATAAAAGGCTAATGAGAACTTTCGCAGGATCTTCTGAAAAGTTTTCAACTTTCATAAAAATTGGTAAAAAAAAGTTACTTACAATTAGACACAAGATTTTAAAATACCTCAAACTGAAAGAAATAAAAATAAGGTTCTGTTATACTGCTCGATCAATATTTGACATGCTAAATGAAGAAACAAGAGAATTGAAAAATGTAGAAAAAAGATCTTTTTTCTCATATTCCTCAGTTAATTAATGTTTTCAATATTACAAAATTAAGTCATTACATCATTGCAACGTCATACAATTAAATAAAATAAAATATTCAATTACTTTTCAAAATAATGCTTTCAGAAATACTCTCCGACATCAGGCTTTGAGTTCAATTCTCTGTATAGTCTCGTTAATTGTCGAAGAGTGGAATTTAGCGATATGTTTCCTAAGACTCTCGGTATTTTTATACAATTGCCCGCATATCACACACTTGAAAGGTCCCGCAAATTCCCCGTGTATGTTTTTCTCGTGCGTCCTAAGGTGATCCCTTCTTGAGAACTTCTTCAGGCATTGCCCGCACTGGTATAGGTGTTTGTTGCCGAGCACTTTCTCGGGCCTCCCTAAATTCAATCAACTATTAGAAAGGGACACGTTTGCATTATGTACAATATACAACTCTTACTTCAAATCCGAGTTAGCAGCTTTGAGTGTAAAAAAAATTAGCAATAAGAACACAGGTAACGGGCGTAATACTGTATTAGACATGGTTGAAAGTACAATATTATAAAAGGGATTTAAAAAAAAATGCTTAGCTCTGCAGAAATGTGTTACAAGGATATAATCAATTAATAACTAACACTATTAAATTATAAACTTGTTATTTAATATCACAGATCACTAAAATGGAGGGTAGATATCGAATAATTAAAGACAGTCCTAAGACATTATATCAATTCACATTTTTTTTTATTTCGTATTTAAATTGCATTTAACTGTCTTTTTAATCCATGAAGAAGAATAGGCATTATTATATTCATGAATTATGTTCAAAAAGAAGACTAAACAAACTTAAAGCTAAGCAGCATAAAAAGTAACAAATGGGAAAAACACCTTGGGCCATTCGTTTAATTTTGCTGTTGCAGTTTTGCTTATTTTCTAATATTAAGGCCACTGTTATACATATGAAGTGTATCAAGGACAGTCAAGGAGATAAAAATATATGAGCCATGATAAGTATTTTCTAAGTACGGTAGCAAAGATTTATCAATGGTGGAGGAGACTACTTCAAAGGAAAGAAAATTTAAAATTCTGTAAATGAAAAATAAAGTCCTCATAGTAACAGTTCAGTCTTTTTGTAAACATATCTCAAGTAACACAGCCACACAAAAAGAAACTGTACTTTTCATGCGACATACGTTATCCGTTTTACTTCCTGATCACGAATCGGGGGTCAGAATTGAGCCGTCACATCACAGGAATTTCCTAACCTCAAAAAACAGGTCAAAAATAGCAAAAATTCACGAAAAAGTGCTAGGAAAAATACACAAAATTTTTCTATATTCGAATGTTCAAACCGGTAATAGCAGCAGTTATTGGCTTCACCTTTGCTTCGTGTATATGTGTTTTAATATTCTAATAATGTCGAACGCGCCAAGGGGCAAAAAAAGGCCTTTCGCTGAGAAGGTACGAAAATTTATTTATTTTTATTTATACCTATCTGTTTAGCCGACTAAAACCCCGAACTCTAGTGATCAGCGACCCCGAAAACCACGTATACCAAATTTAGTTTGAATCTTTTATTTTTTGAAAATTTGGTCGGCTATCGTGGATCCGCCATCTTGAATTTTACTAAATTGACCTCGTATCCGTGATCAGCGACTCCAAAAACCCCCGGATACCAATTTTGGGACGAATCTGTTATTTTTTGGAAATTCGTGATATCCGACCTTAATTGATAATTTTTTTGAGGTTAGAAAAATAACCATCAATTCTGAACGCGGATTCACGTTTGGCGGGGCTTTAACCATATAAACAAACATTTGAATATAGAAAAAAAAAAGATTTTTGTACTTTCCTAGCACTTTTTCGTGAATTTTTGCTACTTTTGACCTGGTTTTTGAGGTTAGGAAATTCCTGTGATGTGATAGCTCAATTTTGACACCAATTCGTGATCAGGAGGCAAAAATACTACAGATAATATGTCATATGAAAAGTACAGACAACTTTCTTTTGTGTGGCTGTGTAATCATTGCATAAACTTTGAGTGGCGACTAATGAAAATTAAAATAGTCATATTTTGATAATAAAACAGACCCATACTATTTTCAGGGGTTGATTCCCATGCCTGCATATAAATTTTGGGTCAAAAAAATGTAGAAGGAAATTTGCGAAATTTAAGGGTCATCTTATTTCACAATTTTTTTTTTTTTTTAATATTTATGTGTGCCTAGAAATCGTCCCCCAAAAAACAGTATGGGTCCCATGCTTATCTGATTATTTCACTTGCCACACTCTTTTAATTTTCTCAGTTCTGTTATCTTCTATCATGAAACGCATAACAATTTCAAAACTATTTTGATATTTTCACATTTTTTTGCCATATAAATTACAATATAAAATTTAATTGCATCAACAATTTAATAATTAGTAATAAATACTATACTTCTAAAAAATGTTAGGTAAAATATTAGTTTCTCACACATGCATACAAAAATAAATATTTATCGATGTGTGATATGTACCTAATAGATATATTTTTTTAGCAATTTGATGTTTAAAAGGCCACCTGATTTATTCACATATTATTTTCTGACGGCTTAGCAGAAAAGAACTCATAAAAAAAGCCTATAAACTTCTCATTCAAATTGGACAAACAAATGTTTTTGTTGAGGTATACGTATAGGGTGTTTTAAAAAGGTGTTGCCAAACTTGAGTGGGTTATAGAGGACATTGCGGAAGAATTGCAGATTGTATATAAACCCCTAGTCGGAAATGAGCCGTGTAGCAATTTTTGTCTAAAATCGTAATGTTATTACGTTGACCCCAAAAGGCTTCGATATTTAAGTAATTTTTATTAAAACGCAAAAATAATAAATTTATAATAATTGTCCAAAACGGCTTGTGGTAGGTTGTTCTTTAGTTCGATGCAAAACCTCTTCCTCAATGACCTAGGTCCGTGCAGTTCGTGGATGTCAACTTCCTGCATCCGGTTTAAAATTGCCTTTTTCTCTTAACCCACAAAAATGTTGTTCGGTAAGGATGTTGGCGATTCGGAAAACCCTCAGCGTTGCACCTTGCTTCTCCATAAATAAGATGCATGTCTGCATACTCTTCGAACTTAAATTGGTCGATTTCAACAACTTAGAAGCAAAATTTCGTCGCAAACAAAACAAATGCGAAACAGTCAATTCAACATGACAGCTCTGTTCATTTGTTTTACTATTCCTCACAGCGTGACACAGATAACATTGCATGGCTAGATTAGATGTGTGCAATAGAACTTTTATAACACAGTTGTGGATAAAATAAATTTTTACCAACACCGTGTGTTGGACATGCAGTTGGTAAACACTTACGGAAGAGATAAACGTGTTTATTTTGTTTTAAATTATTTTTTGCAATATCCTTAATAAAAATTACTTAAATATCAGTCTTATGGTGTCAATGAGATAACATTATGTTTTTGGACAAAAATCGCTCCAGAGCCAAAACGGCTCATTTCCGACTAGAGGTTTATATGCAAAAATTTTCTACCACAATGTTCTCTATATCCCCCTCAAGTTTTGCAACATTTTTTTGAAACACCTTGTATATTATACAAAATACACAGAATGTGTGCCAAATTAGTTAATATGAGACAATATATAGACGATGTCGGACAAAAATAAGAAAGATTGAGCAGAATGATAGTTTTATAATTTTTTCTGTTTATTCTCGTATATGGATTAGAATTAATTGTCCTATTTGCTAGCCAATGAGATCACTAGACTTGAAACCATATTATTACAGTTTTACTTAAAACTAGCCAACAGACGACATAAAAATTAACAGTTTTTTTCATATTTTTGGTCACATAGAACAAAACATTAAAAAAATGACGTTTCTTTTCCGGCAAACCTCAGAAAATAATCTCAACAACCACAGCCATAATACCCACAAACAAAAAGTAAAAAAAAAACGACCCAGTAGAAGTAACAAAACACATCTCAGTACCACCACAGATCTTTATCAAATCCTAATAATTGACCCGTTGCACCTCCTCAAACACATTATTTTTATACGACTTGAATTTCTTGTGTATAGTGATGAGATGCGTACTTAAACTGTTTGCCGTTTTAAATATTTTGTGGCACAAGTCGCACGGCAGCTGCTGAGCCGGCAAGTGCACATCATAGATGTGTCTTCTAACGCTGCTCCTCCTCATCCATTTACCGCAAGTCTCGCATTGGGCTGGAAAAATTTTAGTAACATCGGAATTGTAAAAGTTATTAGTAGGGTTTTTTTTTACACAAACATTCTACTTACCATGCAAGGATATAATGCGCAAATAAATCGACAAAGTTGGGTGTTACACGCAAGAACTCACGGTAAATAAAAATTTTTGCAGCAAGCCTAAATTAAAGCTAGCCACTACACAGAACGATGCAAACAAAATGTATAAAAAATGTAAAAAAAATGGTAAGTATGTACAATAAACAACGTTATCAAGCAATTGTTGCGTATGTTTCTTTGAATGTTACGGCGTGGACAAATTAATTAATAAATTAACATTGTAACAATTTCTAACATACCCATAGTACAGTTTTTTATTGTGGAACGATAAAGAACATACATTCTGTCAAAAGAGTATACGGAATTGTCATTTAAAAATTCCACGTAAAGTAAATTTAAATTACTTTTTTGATGGAGAGTTGGTGGTACTGTACTCCACTCCGACGCGAAGTTTGAGGGCAATCTGTTAAGTGGTTGAAGATTTGCCATGTTCTGGTTGTCCTTCGACATCTTCAACTGAAGAAAACATCGATAATGTGAAGGAAATGGTGCCTGGAGACCGTCATTACGGTTTAGAGCTGATATACGAATGAAACATCTCACGAATCAGTTCACACCATTTTAGTTGATGGTTACGAAACGTGTCACAGCACGGCTGGTTTCAAAACAGTTGAAATTTCTTTAAAAAGAACATCACAAACGAGCTAATTCAGACTCTACATTCAAACAAGCCAACAATTCGGAATGGAGCTTTTCTAACGAGCCAAAACCAAAGAAAACCGTGTCAAAGTCAATCAAAAATCAGTCATGTTGATTGTTTTCTTTAACTATCATGGAGTTGCCCACACAGAATTCCTTCCGGATGGAGTAACAGTCAACAAACAATATTATCTGGGCGTATAAGGCATTTGAGAATGTCCGCAGTGAAAGACCAGATTTCTAGAAACAACTCTTGGATTTTGCAAAGCGATAATTGTGAATGAATTTTTGACCAAAAACTCAACGAATGTCATTGAGCAGCCACCGATTCACCGCATATGGTTCCTGCTGATTTTTTCTTCTTTCTCAAATTCAAATTGCCACTTTGTGCGACACGTTTTGTGACAATAGAAGCCATAAAACAAAAATCGCTGAAGGAGTTGAAGTCCGTACCGGAATATGCGTTTAAAAAATGCTTTAAAGATGTTGTTCTTTGGAAAAAGTGTATAGCTTCAAATGGAGCCTATTATGAAGCAGGTAAAATAAATTATTATGATTAATTGAATATATTGTTGTATAACGTAACACTCAAAGAAAATACTTTAAAACAAAAAAAAAACGTGCTTGTAAAAATGGATATGTCCACATACCTTGATCGGAAGAACTTAGGTCTCCAGATGTGGCCGCACTTATGTTATTTTCCCACATATTTTTCATATTCATCAATTCGTTACCATCGTCCGTTTCAGTTTTCATTTTGTTCGAGGCATTCTGGCCCGCCTGACTATCTAAGCTCATAAAGTCACTACTATTGTATTCATTTTTGGATTTAACTGGCTCTTGTTCTTGCTTGACTGGCTTTTGAGGTACCTGGTGGGCCTCTGACTGATAAAAAATAATCGAGATATTTAAAAAAATAACGTACACGTTTGAATTTTTTTTATTGCAAAAATTTATTTATTTTTTTAAATACCTACCTTAGAACGCTTAGGATTTGTACTAGTGTTTGAATTCTTAGAGGGCCTTTTTATTGGAGGTGGTGCAGATCCTACCTGTGGAGGTGAAGAGTAAATAGGTAACTCTACGTCTGTTTCAATTAACTGATTATACATTTCATTTTCTTCATCGTTATCACAATCTGCTTTATTATCTTTAGTGGAAGATGTTTCCTCACTCTGAAACAAGTCAAAATATTAGGGCTATTTTAAATTTTTATTGATCTAGGATTAAAACAAGTAAAGGACATTTTTTAAAGTATAATTTGCATAAAAAAAAATCATTTATTAAATAGAAGACAAATTCGTTCCTATTTTAATTAAAAACTAGAACTATAATCAATATAACTTAAAGCTCATATCAATGATTAGGCAAAAAATATTTAGACACTGTTTGTTTTGACCCCCTGATAACATATTCATCTACTATCATATTGAAATGTATATTTTTAATATATAACTAGCAGATATATTAACAAATATAAAATACACACAAATTTTATCAAGTCAGCAATAGTTATCAAGGGACAAAATCCTTTTAAAATGAATTTAAAATATATTGATAATAATGACTCACTCACAAGAGACTAGTGTAAAACTATTTCACAATTGAATAAATCCTTACCGAATCATCTCCAGTCAGTCCTTTAACTTGTAACAGTTCAGCTGTCCTTAGAAACTGAGTTAAATTTTCACGTAACACACTAACTTCTCCCATATACATGAATTCCAAAATATCCTTCATATTTTCATGACCTACATCTTTTAATATCACAATAGGATGTTTACAAGGATTAACTTTGAACATCTGCTTAAAATAAGGGCTACAAATAGAGAGGACTATCTTGTGTGCCTGGAAGAAATGCCCGTCTACTGCCAGAGTAACGTCTACCATTTCAGCAGCTTCAAGTAGCTCATGAAATCCAGAGGTTAGGTTGGAATGGAAATTATTCCAACGTAAAGAAAATTGTTCGGTCGTAGCCATTTTGCTGCAAGAAAGAGGTTATTTTATTCTGGAAAATAAGACGCCATAGCTAAAAATAACCTATAAATAAATTAGCTTACTCACCCTTTTTGTTAATAAATTTAATAAAACACCAAAGTATTGCTTGTTACAAACGTTTAACTTCTTTTATAAAGGACAACGAATTACTTTAAAGAATTACATAACAAAATAAACAACTATAAACATAACTAATCTTCAAAAACACGAGAGCAACCCTCCTAATTAACCATTTCCGGACCAATCCGGGCATCCGGCGCATCCGGGAATCGTGATCGATGATCGAGTATTTACGGCTACAGTCGGAAATTTAATTGCTACCAACACAGAAACACAGAAAAAAATTACGCTTTGCGGGAAAATATGATTGTAAAGAAAATCATTAGTGTGTGTTCAAAACCTTTACCCTTTACCTACCTTATTTTGATTAGTAATTTTTTTCGTCCTAAAGATATTTTTATTGCAGGGGTTGAGGTAGTAATACATTTATTAACATTAATAAAAACTGTTATTATATATTGTTCAACAAACAATAATATACTTAACTTCCGGAATACATCCAATTACAAATCATTTTGCAGATTTACGTCTTAGATATAAAAATGTATGTACATAGTATTTGCTGTTATAAAAATACTTGATAAGTAAAAATCATTTCCCGCTCCATTCGGAAAAGCTGCTCCTTGTCGCTGACGGCATAGAATCGGGAGAAATAACATCTCGCCTTTTGTTTATTACTCTTTTTAAAATATCCGCCACCCCAGTATTTAATAAGGCGTTTATACAACTGGTACTGGACGATTGTACTGCAGGCTTCAGCAGTTCTTTTTGTTTCAGCAGTTCGGCCGAAGTCACGGCGTACGACATCGATCTCTCCCTTGCAACATTTCTGATGTCTTCTTTCGTTATTTCCCTGTAATCTTCTTTGACTGACGAATTCTGCAAAATCGAATACAACGCTTGAAAAGAATTGTATGTAATCTTTTACATTTTTCATGTTGAGTAGGGATGGGCAAAAATAACCGGTTAAATGAATAACCGATTATTGCGTGTCGGTTAACCGGTCAAAAACCGGTTATTTCCCGACTTCGGTTTAACCTGATAACCGATTATTTATGTCAAAAACCGCGTGTCGGTTATTTTACCGAGACCGAGTGAAAATTTTAGCTCTAGCTCACTGTATGATTCAAGTATATTGTGCTTTATCCCTAAACTTGATAGTAGATCAGACCACAGCATAGATAAAATAAATAAATATTTATTTTGCTGTGATCAGACTTAAGCCATCCTCGGCCGGGCATTCTATTTAGTGGTCTGTGGGTCGGGCTACGCTAATTAGGCTTTCTTGGCGGGACAAAACATATTGGTCATTATGAAAAAGTGTCAAAATAACAATAAATTTCAGCTGTCAAATTAATGTTTTATTTCTCCTCGATATGAAAACCTAACCATTGATAAAGTTTTAAAAAATAAATATAAGCACTGCTTGGTGTTTGAATAAAAGTAAACAAATATAAATTTTTAAATCAGGTACATGACTACACAATTTTTAATACAGAGATAAATTAGAGCAATCACAAAAATTTAAAAGGGCCGGATATTTCAATAACCGGTTTTTAGGTAGAGGTTAACCGATTCTGGTTTAACCGACTAAGAAAAATAACCGGTTAACCGATAACCGGTTATTTTTCAATAACCGCCAATCCCTAATGTTGAGAGCATTTGTATATATACAGGGTGTAATTAAAAAAATTCTTGATACGTTATTTTGCAAAAAAAAAAAATACATTTCGCGGTATTCATAAATTTGTTTTAAAAAAACGCACATACCTGTCTGGAAAATGATTCTGAGTAATAAGAATTCTCCATATTCAAATTTTCAATGTCTTGGTCATTTCTTCTTAAGGCATTTTGCAAAATTTCCGTTATACGCTGAGCACATCTGACAGTTTCGTGGATTTCGTCTAAGGTCAGACTTATGTATTCCCCCGAATTCTTGTCCGTCAGGTCTCTATGAGTACTGCAGGTACTTTTTACTTCAGAGCCATCGTCAGCCTGAAATAAAAAAATCATTCGCGAATTGCTTTAAAAACTTTAATTTCTTACCATTCTCTCATCTCCATTGAGATAAGGACTAGACAGATAACGGCCTCTCGCATTATTATAGTTCAACCAGAAGTTGTTCCACTCCCCAACTTTATTGTCAACATTGTCAACTTCCGCAGCGGAAACGGCACTCCCAAAGTACTCGCTGTTTACGCTTTCGATCCAGGTAAGATAACTGGAGTTGGGGCTCTGGATTGTCTTGTCCTTCTCCTCCATCACATTATCTGAGAGACTCCTCAAAGCGTTGTCCGTGTGTTCTGAAGAGGAGGAATCCAAGGAACTGCATTCTCTACTGGTGGTGTTCAGCAGGGAGGTAGGTGAAAACGAGCGTCTCGTTTTGTGCTCGGATATCGAATCCAAACTATGCCTGAAATAGAAACATGTATACAGGATATTTCACAATATAGTGTTTATTGTTTCAGTACATCCAGGAACCTATTATCTGCATATTGCGCTTTATTGATATGTTTTAAATCGTTGACCACAATCGTAACTCACCTAAAGCTACTATCCAAGGACCTTCTGTATCGGCTATTAACTACTTGTTCCTGGGTCTTCGTCACTATGATGTTGTTATCGGTATCTTCGTTAGAAATTGCGATACAATTGAGTTCTTTTTCTTTCTTCAGTGATGAGGATCTGACTCTCCTCACGGTTCCAGTTCTAACAAAGGTTGGAGCGGGACATCCGAAAAGGGTCAGGTCCGTTATATCCTGGTTGGAATCTCTGATGAAGTGCTCTTGGAAGAACGGCGTTTGGCCTGGTGAGCTACTGGAAGATTCCGAATGAGAACTTCCTTCGTGAGACATTGTTCTAACTGGAGAAAGTGCAAAGATTGTTATGAAATTGGCAGATATAGATTTTATAAAAAATACATATACAGAGTGTCTTTTTTTAATTCAACCGCATGTGATATGATTTTTGGCAAAAAGGTACGGGAAATACGCATAATGTTAATTTGACCGTTATCAGGGCTTTATCTCTGCTTTGCATTAAACTAAGAAGTTGAAAAAATTTGTCCAATGAAGTCATGCACAGGCTGTTTTACGACGAATTTTCAAAAATTGTCGAGAGTAAAGTACATTTGTTTTTAAAAATTTCAAAAATATTTACTTAAGAAAGTTATTAGAACTAAAAGTTATGACAGATTGTCAATATTCAATTCAACTTAAAAAACGAACTGAAAACACTTTTAAATAGCGCGACAAGCACTAATCATTCGGTTATTTATTCGAATAAAACAATTAATAACACTAGTCATCATTTTAACGATTTTATTTGAGTAAATGCCCAAAAATATCTCCATTTCCACGAAAACAGTCTCGACATCTTTATAGTAACGAAAATGTAATTTGTTCGAAATTTATTATTGCTTGAATCATCTGATGAAAAGCATTATTTATTCTTTCATATAACTGCTCAGGTATATTAATTTGTTCACTGTATACCAACCGTTTAACAGCACCCGATAAAAATAAATCAAGTGGATTGAGATCCGGTGGTTTCAGTTCGTTCTTTAAAGTTTACTCGAAAATCATGTTTTTTTTTCGAAAAACCTGAAAGAGTAGTAATTTGTAGAGTATTGAAAAACAAATCCGAAAATATCATGATTGTTACCGTAAAGCAGTGGCGTACTATTTTATTTAGAAAAATATGCCACCAATACCCTGTATCTCCGCTACTGAAACTTCAAAATTTTAGGAAAGGGCCTCAGATTTTGAACAATGTTTACGCAAATACATGTGCCCAATTTCAAATTATATCACTTATTAGTTTTTAAATTATTTAAAAAAATTAAATATATTTTTTGAAGTTTAACACCCTGTATGTTTTTAACGAAGCGTCCTAGATAAAAACTTTATAGGAAAGACCCCTTTAAAAAAATTAAATATATTTTTTGAAGTTTAACACCCTGTATGTTTTTAACGAAGCGTCCTAGATAAAAATCTTATAGGAAAGACCCCTTAAAATTCACTAAAGAATAGGGGGTTTCATTTTTGGTGACCGTTTGTGAATCACCCTGTATAATTATATTTAAAATTAACAATCGCGTATTATAAGATAGGTCTTGAAAAAAATGCCAAGTAATATTTTTAGATGAATTTTTTGTTTCAGACTTAAAAGTAACTAAAATGCTTGATTAAACCTTAATGAGGGATACTCTGTCGCAAATAAAAAAGAAAAAGTACTATAACTGATTTAGACGCAAGCTATTATTGATTTTATGAGAAAATTCGAAGTATGTGTTTAAAAGTGATTTTAAAAATTATGTAATCTAAAAATTATACATACTAGATACCTACTTAAGATTAGATAGATTTATTAAACGAAAAACTACTTATACGTTCTACCAAAAATGTTTAAGGATTTTTCATTTCTAAAATTCTTGAAAATTCTTTGATGCAGATTATCATTGCTAAAAATCTGGATGAGATAAAATCTTTAAAGCACTGTCATAAAAAGAACTTTTAAAGGGTGAAAGGATGGAAACAGATAGATTTTCGAACCGTTAACATTTTTTTAAGTAAGCGGCGAATAAAATGATGTATATTTTTTATTTATCGTCAGTGTGAGATTTTTGATTAGGTAAAACTGTTGTCATAAAAATAACACTCGACTGATCCTTTAGGAGAGTGGGTTCACTTCATAAATTTTTTAAATTTCTTGCAGGTGCCAAATATCCAAAAAAAAAATTAAAACTATACCACAAATGAATAAAAGACAATATTTCTTTAAAAATTTAAAGATTTGAGTATAAAATTGATAATTATAAGAGTAATTCTGAATCCAGCTTAATTTATTATATGAACCAATAATAAAATAATAATTTTCTATTGCAAGAACAAGTAGGAAAGAAGAATGTCCGTAACTCAATTATGAAATAATTTCGAATAATTTAACTATTTTAAGATTGGCATGTCTTTAAAAATATTTTTCCCGTCATTTTAAAAATAGAACTTTAAAATAGTATAAACCTACCGTTTTTAATTTTACGTCTTATTACGAATTTGACTATAAGTTAAAAAAAAACAATATTTACACTATTGCACTAAACTTTCGCTGTTCACTTTACGCGCGTTTTTAAACTGAGAAGTCTATTCATGTGTACGAAAAAAAATGGTACACCGACAGGTACGTCCAAACCAACCGTTTGTAAGGGATGACAAGCTTTTACTATAATTAAAAAAAGGATCTTGGCAGGTGTGTACTGTCACGCTTGAGATGAGTATCCATGCCAACGATTAACCAACGCAAATCTTTACGAATCAGTGGTTATTTAATGTGTTAAATCAATACACACATGATTCTCTCCCTCAGCATGTGTCACTAATCGCACCAGCCCATATAATAAAGGCATATACATGCGACACCCCTTTAACGGAGACTTTCAGTGAAAGTTGGCTTTTTTGGACAACCTACGCAATTAAAATGTTGTGGAAACGGTTTTGTTTTGACAAAAATAGATTTTCGCAAATGTGTATATGAAAAATGCTCCAAAGTCACTTTTTTTAATTACATACAGACTTTACTAGATTGATTACAGATTGTCACCTGTCTTGTCCTCATTTAACTTAAAATTATATTTTATTCAATTGTCGATTTGTCTCGCGTAAGAGAATGTACTATCTTCGAATTTATTCAGTTGGGAGTACTGAGCTCTTATTTGTGAGTAATTAATACTAACTTAATGTCACCGAGGTCTAACTTAAAATTTTCTGCAATAAACCGAAATTTGTCTCAGTGTGTCTGCTGACCATTTACTTCCACAAGTTTGGGCACGTGCTTGATTAACACCCTGTAGAGTACACTGTTTAGCTTACTAGCAGCAATTGAATTAGTCCACTTACAATTAATGGGCTGAATTACTTACAATTAGGGTAAGAAAACATCGATCTAATTCATTAAAAGGAAATAGCTAAGTCCTTTGTTGTTGTAGGTAAGTTGCTCACTTGGAGGTAATGAGTTAATTCGCTTGACGTAACAAAAATTTGTAGCATTTCTCTACTTACAGCAAGTGAGTTCATTATAGTTACGCAAATTTCGTTGTAGTAGGAAGGTAACTCACTTGACACCTAACTACACGGTGTTAGAAGTTTGACTGACTTAATTTTAACGGACGATAGAATACATTAAAATAAACAAAGAAACCTTATATGAGTTACCCCTAATCTCAAATTTGTATAAATTTATAAAGCATAATATTATTTTATACGAACTTAAAATTTGAAAATTATTTAGTTCTTAGTGGACCACCTTGGACATAGCTTACGTGCCCACTCTATTAACAGGCCCGGATCCAGAGGGGGTGGCGATGTGGCGATCGCCACCCCCAAAGCACAACATTTTTTAAAGATCTTCCATTTCTCCAAACGACAACAGGCAGTTAGTCGATATTAATGCAAGTCCCCCTTCCTAACCTACACCTTACGTCATCAAAAAAATAACAACAACAACAACAGCAACAATAATAATAATAATAATAATAATAATAATAATAATAATAATAACAATAATAATGATAAAGAAGTGCTTTGCGCCACCCCCAAAACCAGTCTCTGGATCCGGGCCTGTCTATTAATCAGTGCATCTGAAATAAGAAATCGGGGAAATAAAAGACACTTTCAGCTACATAAATCATTTATTTCGTATATATTTGATGTTACATAGAACGGATGTTTGTAATCATGTTTGAAATGAGGTCTTTTACGGGTAGTAGAATAATAATTATAATATCTACAGGTGAGAGATTGAAGTTTATAATAAGAAGGCACCGCTGAAAGAAGACGGGGAATTCAATACAATCGCATAAAACAGCCTGTAGTCTTCTAATTTGTACAAGATGACAAGTTTTGGCCAAGTTGGAGAAAAACGGAGGAAAAAATAGTACGTGCTGCACATATTCAGCGTAATTTTTAATATCTTACAATTTTTGGTTCTGTTGAAATATAATATATGGAAAAAAGGAAAAATCATTTTGAAAGTAGGATTAAAACTTTTCTTGCAACGCAGTATGTCAAAATGTACAACCTCAACATTCAATATGTTTCTATTCTGTGGCTTCTACTCCTCTACTAATATGTTGCTGAATAATAAAACTAAAAAAACAGACATTCGTTAATTGAATTAAAAATAAATAACCAATAAATTGATCGAATTGAGTGATTATATTATTTTTATGAAAAAATGGAAGAAATCTTTTAATTTTTTTTAAAGTATTTTGTCGACGATATCAAATTTGAGAATTATATTTTCAAACTGTAGTTCTTAAAGTGAAAAAAAAGAAATTTTGGTATTCTGTTTAAATATTTTGTTCCAATTATGTTAAAAATTAATCAGTTTTACTCTCGAAATATTTTTCAGTAATGACACAAAATGTTAAAGTGTCGATTTATTTAGTGCAAGATATTTTTATTTTTACCCTAAAAGAACTTTAAGAAATACTAAAAATTTAAAAACTGATTATTATTTATCAGTATACTTCTAGCTAAAATATGTTTTCTCTAACATCCACGACTTAAAAACTTATTTAAAAAAATTATGTAGTGCAGTCTGATTAGGTAATATCAACTCAGTCTACATTCTGAAGATTTATTTTGCGGAAATTATATAGTATATTTATAATAGTTCTTGCTTAGTAAAAAAATCCGTTTTTCTCGCTACTGGCTTAACAGTGTTGTCCTTGAAAGAAACGTAATTTTGACGCCAAAATATACGTTTCCATATAGCGTACAATATCATACAACTAACGCAAACAAAATTGTATATGCCATATACACATACGCGCGTTTTTGAAAACAAAATTATACAAATTTATAACAAAAATAACACTGTCTCTACACATGGGACAATTTATTACCATATGAATATATTTACAAAACAAACATCACTTATTGCTAATGATTCAACGTGACATTGCCTCAACATAAACTATGGGAGGGGAAGTACCCCTTCTAAGAAATCTCTCCTCCCAGTTCCCTAAAACCGACATTTCTCGGACATCGGAAATGAAATTTAAATAAAATAATGGGAACATTTTTCTGAGAAAAAGTATTCCCGTGACGAACACAACGAAAATCACTACATAATATATGTGTATTGATAAGTACCAGTACTTTTATTGCACCGCCCATGGGTCTGTCTTCTATTTATGCATTTTTACGTTTTACTCTACGAGTCGAGATACAATCGACGTGTGTACATCGACTTTGTCCTTCAAATGATAATCTCGTCATTTCCTTAAAATATTAAATACAGAAACATCTAAATTGTTTGTGTAAAATGCGAATGGATTGAAGTGGTGGAAATGTATTTAATATTTAAGACAAAATATCATATTCTTATTATTATTATTCGTGCGTTGTTCATTTACATATATTCGTAAAATTAGAGTGATCAGTCGTATGTACAGAGCAGGTGGATAGAAACTCCTAATGTACATCATAAGTTTGTTGAAGTTGGGGTCCTCTTCAAGGATTTAAGCCCTCTTAGATCCTAATCAGTATTTCATTAAATTATCCCAAAGTTGACCGACAATATTGACATAAATATATATAGGCTACACTGTAGCCATCTCAGTTGAATTTGATCGTTGATGACGCCAGATAGTTTATACAATGCGTCTTCGACAGAATTCTGCCGTAAGAAGAAACACTATCTTATTTGTAAATGAGGTTTTTTTCACATAAGAATTTTCAATATATCTGAAAAATTTGTAGCATTTTACAAATTCAAGAACAGGAAATTCAAAAAAAATATATAAAAGCTTTTCCTCTTCGAAACAGGACGCACCATATACAGGGTGTTACAATATTCTAACGCCAAATTCCACCAAAAATAAGGATAAAGTTTATATAAATCTAGGTTCGAAATAATATGCAATGCTACTTTTTGTAGTGCATTTAGTACCTTCGATTTTTTTTGTTACAATTACACTTACTCTTCTTCTCTCTTACTTACTTTTTAAAATTTGTGGATTGCTTTGCATCATTAGTTGTTGGTATGATTTAAAGTATGATTATTTGTACACAATACCGTGATTTCAAACCTAGGGACCTAATTGGCCATCGAACAGAATCAATAACACCAAATTATTCCCCAGCAAACAAATGAGAATAGATAAAAAATTACAAAACTTTATCCCTGAGGTTTAGCAAACGTTCAGATCAAATTTTTTCTCATTTTTCGTCAGAATGTCAACTATTTAGTCTTGTCCAAGGAATATTGCAATATTCACTTTTAAGAACCCTACAAATTATTCCCTAGAACTATGAGCATTGAATCAGGATAACGGATCTAGGGACAGTAAGGCAAATTAAAATAGGCCAAAAAGACCTCTAGCTCCAATACACATGAGAAATGATCCAGATGGCTCAAAATCGAATTCACTGTTTGGAAGAAAGTTGCAACATTGAGCCAATTTATTTAAATTAATTAAATAATTTTAATTGAAATCATCAAAAAAATATTCTTAATAAATGTATTTGTTAAATATCCATAAGAATTATAATAAAAAGTGCCAAACATCTCTCCATAGGCTGATGTTTCTATAATGTTCCATCTTAATGACAGTGGCAGCTCGTGACGCTGTGAATAGGCGAGGCCCGTGGTTTTTTACTAGGTGGGCAAGAAAGGAAAAGAAGCGCCGCAATTTTTAAATTTTCAAGATCAAACTAAATGCATCTGGAAATTTTTAGTTATATTTACAATATTATAGAAAAATTGATGTTTACGAACAGAATTTTCATTCAGAACTATAAGCATCTTTGAGCGAGCCTCAGTTCCCTCGTAAATCACGTTATTTTAACCGCCTCACATGGAGGGGGGAACTGTAGTATATTGTAGTCAAATGTGACGCTCCTACAAGCAAAGAATTTCTGGTCTCACTGTGGTGGGGACAAGTGGGGAGTAACAGTATCCAATGCCGAGGTATTCAATATTCAAACAAATACTTTATACTGTCATTTTGATTTTTAATACATGTAATAGGTAATTGGAAATTAGTTTACCTAACTGTTTATTTAGGTTAATAGTTGCTTCGTAGGACGAGCGGCCACTGCTTAATGAATTAAATCCGCTTTATTCAAGAAAAATAGATCTTGCCGACGCGTTTCCGATGAATCTTGATCTGCGACTCAACAATCATAAACAAAACGAGAAACAATAAACCATCACGTGCATACCAGAAGATTTATTCAGATATCATAAAATTATGCCTAAAAATTAAGAATGTCCATTGACTTGAATTATTGAGAGGTGTGGCAAATAATACGTTTTGCCTTTTCATTAAATACAGATCCTTGAGAAACAATTTAGACGCTCCTCTAACAACATATTAAACAATAAAATAATTCAACTAGTCACCATCATCATCATACGCCAGTCCGACATGCTTGCTCAGCCGCGAGTTGCTTAATAATTTGTGAAGCATACATTGATCTATGAGTTCTTCGAACGAATAGATAAATTTCTGAATACCGCAATCAACGACTTAAATAATAATTCTCTAGGCATTGGATTCCTTCAGGTCTTGCAGCCGCGCCAGCTGATGAGGCTCCAGCTCGTCTGGAATACTGGCGCGTCCACCCACCAACTGTTTGGGCTCGATGTCCACAGAGGGCGCCTGACTCACCGAATTCTCCGCGGTGCTGGGTCCCGTCGTCTCGCCGTCGCTGCCCGTACTGCTGCTCACCACGAAGTGGGACTCACCGGGATGGTCGTCTATGGTGTCTTCTATATCCTCCGTAGTGTCTATTTGCGTGGATTCTAGTTCTGTGGAGTTTTCTTTGTGTTCTTCTAGGTCTTCCTCGTCTTCCTCCAGGATCGTGTCGTCCGAATCATCCCTGTGATTGACGGTCGTCTCTTCAGGAGGAGGGAACGGGTGGTCTGGTTCTTCCATCATCGGGGTGGCCGCCGTGATGACTATCTGGGCCGCGCAAAGGCCAAAGTCGCCGTCCTCTTTATCGGTGGGTTGGTCTATTTCTTGGCCTTCCTAAAAGTTCAGAAGGCGTTGATGAGATAAACTCAAAAACGGGCAAACGGTGCGCGTGTTCATCTAAGTTTTGCGACATTGTTGACGATGCCATCTCTTTTAGAGGATATTTAACTTATCTAAGAATTATGACATTGATATTTTACCAATCCATCAAACCATAAAGAAAAATGTTTGATTGTTCTGTGATTAATAGTATTTAGTCCAACTTTTCTTTATTATGAAGATGTTTAGCTAGTCTGTTAGGATAACATGCAAACTGGTTTGGCTATAGAACATATTTATAGCAGGTTTGGATTAAGGTAGGGTTACCAGATGTCCGGTTTTCGACCGGACAGTTCGGTTTTTTTTATGCCTGTCCGGTTGAAAAAAGTTTGGTAAACCGGACAAGCAAATGTCCAGTTTTGTGTTGAATTCATAAAATATCCTGCAATTTGGGAAAAAATGTTTGCCTAAAAACGGTAACAGCGGCAACAGCGCGCGGAAAACGAATTTATTTCGCCGCTAAACTTGTTGCGCAAATCTAATAGGCAACAATGTACTGGATTCGTAGTGAAAACTGAAAAAGTCCGCCTCGCTTGATAGTTCCGTAAACTTGTGTACTGCGTTGGTATGACTCATAGCTTATCTCAAAATCCATTTATTTAATTTGTTTTTTTTTTTGGAATGCTGTCCGGTTTTTTTTTCGAGCACATCTGGCAACCCTAGATTAAGGAAAAGAGTGATCGTTTGATCAATTACCAGTTATTTGCAGTAGGTACTTCTAGCTTACATTTTCTAACTTCTTAAGGACGTTCGATACACCTCTTCCGGGGCGGGCGGTGCGGAGAGTATGCCTATGTTTATACACGGGAGTCTTGTTGCAGTACCAACTTTACATAAATTAATTTCAGCGAACTAAGTATGCTATTTAGAATGAAATTTATACAACACATATTAGCTTGCATATTTTTTTCGTGTTTAATACACGTCAGTTCACTTTTTATTTGAATAAAAGCGTCTATTTATTCATTACGAGCTTGTAAAATTATGTATGAAATCTGGCAACATTGCCCCAGCGTGGTGGTAAAAGTTGGGTCAACTGTCATTACTGTCAACTTTGCGCGAATTCCGTAAACATGAATGAACAACCAAGGTACAAAGGAAAAGTAATGACTGAAAAGTAATATAAAATGAGTGTAAAAGAGAATGTGGATTGATGAGAATAAAATAAAATGTGCAAACCGAGAATCCATATGATAACTATCAAGAAGTTCAGTGTATGATAGTGAGACGTCGACTTGTCAAATTGAAGATTATGACATAACAACTAAACTGTTCGTTTTGCAAAGAGATCCTTTCAATTTTTGTTTCAAATTGCTAGTATATTGCTTTAGATCACGAAAAATTTATTTAATATTAATTATTACTACATATATTTTCGACTGGAATAATTTTATAATCTATAATCGAGCTATTCAAATACATATAACGCATCAGTCGAAGCATTAAATACAGCGTACAGTGTTGCCATATTTCCTTTCATTGGATCAGATGTTTGTTCAAATTTGTCAAAACGTTATCTATTCATTCCATTATATCAATAATTACATTGTAAGTGCATATTTTTATTGTTTTAAAATGTTTAGTAATATTTAATTCTGTAATTACAATTTTATTTTTCCGATCCTAACCATTTTTAAGAGCAATATTCACGTTTGATTAAAGTTTTTTCCCAACTCCCATAAGAGCCTGTGTAAAAGAGCATAATTTTTAAAATCATTTTTCAAAAAAACTACGTTGTCAATCGATCTGATGTTTTTACACAAGTCAGTTTGCATATTTATTAACAGATTTCAATTGCTTTGAAAACATTCTTACCATTTTTCTTTTGGTATCGAACCTTCCTTAAAGACAAATGAATCAATTACTTTGATTGAAGTTGTCTCATTACATATTTCTCACTACATTCCGCTGCCAAAATAGTGAAATCATAAATAAATTGACGACAATTTTCAAGACTTCCTAATCTGACAAAATAATTTCGTGTATTCCCTGCTTAGAAACTGTAAGGTGTCGCTCATTTCGCATAGTGTTCCTATAATATGATCAGATTGCGCATGCGCACATAGGACATTCTATTGTTACAAGTGCTTCTTTCCACCCATTGTGTAAACAAAGACAGACGATTGAGGCTGCACATCTTGAAATACCAGCACATATGGCTGATACATGTCAGTGTGTGTCATAAGAGACCTTTTATTATTTTCACATTTTAGTTATTCCAATAAGTGTTGTTAAAAATAGAATAGAATAGAATTGACAATGACGTTAAATATGCAATATGTACAAAGATTTAAGGAATGTAGGGCGTAAGGTTTCCAAGATTTGGCAAGATTTAAATATCCACAGAAGTGGAGAAGCATTTTTAAAGGATTTTCTATGGGATTAATTACACATATCGGAGGTGAAAAGGAGATTATCATGAAGATATCGATGGTGGGGTACTTGAAAAAATAGTTTACATCGAACCTGCAGTGCAGTGATTGTCATTGATAATGCGCCTTACCATAGTCGATAAACATAAAAATTGTTAACATCTGCAGGGAAAAATCGAGAATCATAGAATGGTCGATTGAAAAATATATTGAATATAAAGACATGCATAAAAAGAAAAAGCCAAATACGCGGAATATGTAGTGCATAAAATGGTTAAAATTTACGCTGCTACATTTCTTCAGTCGCCTGCATACCTCTGTGAGCAGTACCCCATTGAATAATTTGAGCGATGACAAACGTTTACGACGCACGAAATAACGCAACTTTTTAATTTGGGCGCCAATGATAAATGATTTTTTGTTGGAATAAACTTATAATGATACTCTTAGATGAACACGGCAGTAAGTATTCAAAAAGTCGGTTCTTGAAACTCTAAGAACAATTCTTTGACAAGGATTTTTACGTTACTAAGCAATTTAAAAACCATTTCTACACCAATTTCCACATGCTGCAACTGTTTGTCACCCTGTCCTTTAATAGGAACGCCCATTGACCAATTAATGATTACACAATTTAAAGTAAATCTTGCATCCAATGTGGAAATTGGTCTTGCATGGTCTATGGCTTACAAACTATCTACACCTAAAGCAAGCAAGCATACCTCATTGGTAATCTCGACGCAAGGTACATCAATCACTGTAAGCAGGAATAGTAAAAAACAATACTTAATTAGTAGTAAACACTAAAAACAAAATAAGTGCATATTACTACTCACAGATTTTCATTAGGTTAGCTAACTTTCTTTCCAAATAATGTTTGATAGTTATCATTATTAAATTGCCACGAACTCATCATATTTGAGAGTTACTTTTGGACTAAGACACGTTTGAGAAAACCGTTTGCTTTCGCAGACCTCAGTAAGGCGTTTTCAAATCAGTAGATTGACACTACCTACGTTGTGTGTATCCATTTTTTTTATTGACCGGAAGGCGCTGGCTACTAACTTTGTAGAGGGGATGTATGGTTTAATTATTTAAAACAAAAGCAGAGTAAATACACCTAACCTTTATTTACATACGATTCAAATTAAACATGTGACAAATAGAAAGAACAACAAAAACATTAACAACCATTTAACATCAAGTGAGAGTGGCAGGCTCACCTAGAGCTCCTGTGGGGAAAGAGCATGGCAGAGAAACCCACGATCGTTGGTTTATCTATATTCAATTAGGCACAGAATCCAGTAGCGTAGTCAAATTTTAAACAAAGAAATCCCAAACCAATTTTTGTCATTTTTGATACAAAATAATGAGGCTTTGATAATTGAACACACCGCAAAGCCCCTGAAACCAACGGCGAAAGCGAATGGTTTTCTCAAGAATCACACACCACCCCACGAAAATCCACGAGACAGAACAACACTGGACGAATTTTATTCAAATAAACCAAACCACCCATACTTACTCGGCACGGTGACGGACGTATCGTTATTGTTACTGAATTGACTTCCGTATTGGTTCTGTTGGTCCCGAGTGAGCGCCATCGCAAAGCCGTACGCAGGCGCCCCGCTGCCTCCCTGCTGCTGGGGATCACCAGGAGGTGGCGGTGGTGGTGGGGCGGGTTTGCTTTCCACCAGTTCCGCGGGCGGCTCGGGCGGCGGCTGCTGAGGCTGGGGACTGTCGACGCCGTTTACCTCATCAAGCTCGGCCTCGACTAGGTAACTGGGGACGTCGGGCGGCGTGAAGACGGGAGGCGCCGAAGGCGGCGGCGTTTCGTCCCACTGGTTCGTCAGGGGCTCGCCAAACTCGTCGCACTCCTCGACAACGAGCGAAGGGAAGTTTCCGATCTGGCCTTCGAGCTCGCCTTGCCACCAGCCGTCGTCTATGCTGTGAGCACACTTACTTAGTACCTTGATTATCTGGCCCTCTTCGAAGGTCAGTTCTTCTCCACCTGAAAATGTAACGCATTGTATTAGTTTCCAATGATACAGTTTGGGGAAGCAGTACAGTTAATATATTTTAACTTTTAAAGGCCAGGAAAAACTGCTCTTATTTGCTGGACTCTACAACGTCGGTCTCTTAAGGGAATGTAATCACAATAACAGGTAGAATGATAAATTAACAAAGAAAATTCTACAAAATGTTACCTTCACCATCGTAATCATATAAGGCTATGCAGTAGCTGACGGGCGGTTCTTCCGCAACCTTCTGCGTCGGTATGGAAATCACGGACACCTGCTCGGGCGATTGCGTGGTCTCCGTCTGCTGCTGTAGGCTCTCCTCCTCGTTGTCGACGGTGTAGTCCACCGAAGAGAAAGAAATCTGGGTAGTTAGGCCTGGCGTGGTGGCGGACTGCTCCCGTTCAATGTCCAGGTAGTTGTGAGGGACGTAACCCTCTTCTCCACGGTAATTCCTAGCCCTCAGCCATCCGTCGCCGTCTCCTTCTCCGACCACCTCCAGCTGCTCGTTCTCCACGATCGTCAGCTCGTCGGGATTTTGCGCCTAAAGAACATAAAGTAACAAAGGAGTTGCACTTTTGCATACCGTATCCCTAACTCTTAAACTTTCCGATATCTGAAAACATCAACAGTTTAGGGTCGTATTTCTCTATAGTCAGGTTTTATCTTATTTGTAAGTTATCTCTGCAAATCCACATAAAATAATTATTGATCATACACTTGGTTGCATCACCAAGCCAGTTTAGTTACTAATTAATTTACATCGGTTTAGGGATAATCCCTTGGCAATTTATCAAGACTCAAAGACCACATAATTGTAGTTTATAGATCAGCCCAACGTTATCCAAGATAATCCTGCCAACAAACTTGTACGTACCGTGTACGAATATAAAGCTGTACACCTCAAAAGCGGCGCCGTGGGCGTCCTCTCGACCTGGACGACATTTTCCGTCGGTTCCGTAGGTTCCTCCGTGCCCCAGTCCACTTCCGTGGGGTCGTTCCACCCAGCTGTCAACTGTTCTATCGTCTGCCGTGACTGTTCTAACATAGCTGCGAGAAATTGACAAATTAATTTATAAAATTTTTTAGTTTGGTGAATCGAAACATGTACCAACTACATCATACCCAATTTTTTAACACATCTCTTCGTAGCAACGTTGTAGTACGATTATTATTTTCCAAAAGTATTCGAAACATTGATTCGTAGTTTTCTAATAAATAAATATATATATACGTTAATGGTTATCCGCAAAAATTTAATTATAACTTCAATTTGAAATCAAATAAACCGTTGTTATTCCACTCCTATACAATTTCCCCCTCCTAAGCGGCGTTAAAAGCGTTAAGTAATGTAGAGCCTAGGAAACAAGTTTTTTTTTATGGGAATCAAACTAAAAATAGCATATGTTACTGGTGTGCAACGATGCCATGCTGAACAATAATGTTGGAAAATCAATTCGTTGCCTACCCCACTCACCGTCGATCTCAACATTTTCATATTGGTCGGATTGGCTCTCTCTCCTCTCTTCCTCTTTACTGTCCGCTCTGGTTTCCGCCAAAGTTTCCCCATCGGCGAAGTCGCTGTCGTAGAAGGAGTCGGAACTGGGGTGGTCCTAGATGAGAAAAATAATAAGTTTATCATCGAATCTGGAGTATAACAACTTTTTAAGGAAGATACCAAACTCATTGTCGGAGGAGTTTTAAAATGTTCTGCATATATTAAAATGAGTAAACACATTTCTGAATATGAAACAGGTTATTTAAGCAGGTTATTCAGCACGTTCGGTACAGCTGAAGACAATAAAAAGTGCCCAAGTTAAGTTTCTTAATGCCTTTTATTAGTTTCGGTCTTTAAACCCTTTTAAATGTTTTAAGTTGGAAATATTGTTTGTCTACAGCTGTATACATGACATGGTTTGGTTGATCTTCTCACCTGAATAAGTTGAGACAAATTAAGAATAGTTTTGTATTTTTTGTGTTTCATTAAGATTAAGACAAAATGGAGATTCCTGGGATCAAAACAAGATGATATGATTGGGCAAGTAGATAAAATATTGCTGCCTTTCGAACCACATGATATCAAAGATTAAAAGCAGATTAAAGATCATTTGATTTCAAAATACAGAAGAAATTCTGAAACTTCTGGTCGATATACCCATTGCTTCATAATCTACCAGTGAATGGTTGGTCATTGACCTGTCACATTCTGATTCTTGATTTTTACAGATGAATTGTTTCCAAATTCCTCTGGTTCCTCTGTTCCTAAATATCTTCGTTAAGAGAAAACCGGATAGGATTAAAAGAAAATGGATAACTATGAAAATACTAAACGAGCCATTAGAAGGATACCTAACAACATGGAAAGTTAGAAATATCTGGCAACAACCAAGATAAAATGTACTGGCAATACTGGCCATCTGCAATATTAATACCGACTGCTGTATCTGAAAGAAGATGCAGATGCAGTAAGGTATACTTTGAACAAACAATTCAAGGTTCTGGTAGATATTTATGCGACTTTTTGGCAGTTTAAATCAATTTTCATGCCTTGGGGAGCTGTTTCAGATGTTTTGGTTACCCCAATCAAGTCTTACTTACCGACAGCGAACTAGCCGATCTCTGGATATCCTGAACATTGAGAGACTCGGCTTCCTGAAGCCACTCATCCACGTTGACTCCCCCTGCTCGAAGGCACTCTATCCGAGCTTCAGCTTTAGCCTTTGCCGTTTCGGCCCTCCGTATGTTCTGTTTCATTTCTTCTATCTTCGTTTCTAGATCGGGCCCGTTTTGGTCGTTGGGATCTACCTGCCGTTAGAACGTCATAACAATAACAGTTTGTGAAGGACGAATAATTCCATTCTAAACATCGGTAAAAATTAACACATGACGAACAAATAAAATATACAGTACAATAATTGAAAATACAGTAAATGTATTTTATGTTTTATTGCCTTGGTTCTGGAAATAAAATAAATAGTTATTACATCGTATTACTCTTGTTAATGAGAAGAGATAATAAAAATCAAAATCTGTCATAATATTTATCCTAAGCTATATTTGTGCGTGATTTTAATCAAGCCTGATAACAAAATGTACCTATGTTTCAACGAAAGGCAAACTAATAATAGTTACAGAGTTTTTGTCTTTTTTTTTCAGAGATTTTTGGTTGTAACGAGCGTTCAAATAAAAACGTGGTCAAGTTGGTTCTGAAAATTTGGACGTAGGGCGTAGCGTATAGCAAATGAACTTAAACGTCATCTGTCAAAGCGCTATATCGCCGCTATCAATTTGAATATTTTCGTTTTAAAAAGCGTTTAAAATGGTGTTTTCTCAAGAACAAAAAGTGTTTATCATAGAGTCCTACTTTAGAAATGGACGCAAGATTGATGGAATATGGAAGTATTCTATTGAGGAATGTTTCATAGAATTTCAAAATCAATTTCCCGGCGTTGTTGAGTACAAAATTTTTCAAAGTGCAGTTCAGCGTTGTGTTAATGTTTTTCGTGAAACGGGCAGTGTAACAAGAAAAGAAGGAAACGGCCGACCTAAAAAGCGGACTGAAGAATTAAAAGAAAATGTCCAACAAATAATGGAAAATGCGCCAAGAACTTCTGTACGTGTTTTATCACAAATGGTGGGAGTATCAGTCGGTACCTGCCACACAGTGTTAAAAAAAGATTTGCGTTTGTTCTCCTATCGTTTAACTTGTCAGCAAGAACTTCATGAAGTAGATTTTCCGCGACGGGCTGTATTTTGTGAATGGTTTTTAAACAACTACGGTGAACTTCATAATATCACCTTTTTTTCTGATGAAGCCTGGTTTCATTTAAGTGTTATAACAAGGAGGGGGACACTTTCCTTTAATTGTTTGTTATTGTTATCACGATTATTGTTTAAAATAAAGTTATATAGTCATTAACGTTATTGAAACTGACAGCTGCTATACAGCTCGTTGAGAAATGAGGTTAAGTTGGTCGCTATAAGCTACGCCCTACGTCCAATGTGTCAGAGCCAACTTCGACCACGTTTTTATTTGAACGCTCGATACATCAGTTTCATAAGTCTGTAAATATAAAATTTGCTTGAAAATCAAAATTCTTGTTCTTATAACGAGACATACATACATAATTAATAAACACACTAAAACCATAATCCGATCTTACCTTCTGCCCAGACTCCTTCAACGCGTTGTAGATCTGGAGCTTCCTCACGCTCTCCCTTACATTGTTATTCTCCCTAGCAATCTTGGTGGCCCACCTACGGGCCTCCTTGCTGAGTGTGGCGGAAGCCGAGTCATGATCCGCCGTCACGTGATCGACGGGGTCGTCGTCGCAGGGCTCGAACTCGTATTGAATGTGCTGCTTCAGTACCGGATAGTACAGGTAGCAGCACTGCAGGTTGTACTCCCTGGTGAGCTGCTTGGCTTGATCGCGAATGGTGCTGAAGGAGTTCTGCATGGCGGAACAGGTGAGGAGCTCGGTCCTGCCCATCAGGGAAAGGTACTCGGCTACCTTGTCGTAGACACCGCTCTCCATCGTGGTCATGCAGAGTTGCAAGTCGACGACGAAGTATCTAATACAATAGTTATTTACTAGGTACAAGTGTTAAAAGTGACAGTTTATTTTGTGAGTGGGGACTCCCAATCTATCGCTTACGTGTCGGACACGTAAAAAGATCTTATTACTTTTCAAAATATCGGAAGCATCATGAAACTACAAAAGAATTTCTGTTTCCGAAGATCTTCGGCATCTTTGTTAGCAGATTCGGGAGCTAATTTACTTTAAAACGACATGGTGGATGGAAATCATCAGCAATTGCTGAGGACTACATCGAGGATTCTATTACAAATCAAAATAAAATTGCTGAGAATTCTTCCCAGTACCTCTTCTACTGACGAATTAAAAATGTTATTTTTAATGACAATTTTACATAAAAATAATAACAGCAGAACTATAATTTTGTATACTCACCTAGTTTGATGAGCGTTTGCTGCAGCAAGACACAGAAGGTAGTCATTTCTAGCGCCGGTGGATTTTTCTTCCAGCTGGTCTCGTTTCGAAGAAAATTTGGCGCTGTTTTTCTGTAGGGAAGTAATCGATTGGAAAAATGAACCCTTCTTCTTCTTCAGTCTGAAAGGTAATGCCTGCCAATTAAATCGTTTGTCTGATAAAACGGTTCGATTTAGCAGTACCAATTAAACAATTTTCATATGCATATGGCTACTTTAAAACTCGAAGAATAAAACTAAGTTTTACATTTACAATAGAGAGTAATTTGTCCCATGCTACCCCGCGTAGAGTAACTTTTGTTGTTAAACATTTCATTGATCTACTGACACGAATTGTATACAAATGAACAGACACGCACTTCGCATATATAATTCGAACAAGACTACAAAGTTCTGAAGTTCTAGCAGGGAACTCTCTGACTGTCTTAAAAGTTTTACTGTAACGTTTTGAATAAAAAATATCTAGTTGACTTCATCATTGTTCTAAAGTTTGTGATAGAATGTAACTAAAATAATTTCGCGACTAAGAACTAAAAAGCTTTTCGCTTCGAAGAAATCTTTTGTAACAGTTTTTTTTAAATTTTAGATTTAATCTTTTTTGAACTATGACTTCAATCTCTTTTAAATGGTATTTGTATAAAAAGCAACCCCAATTTTTCGAGTTCCTCACAAGCGAGGTGTGGAATTTGTCAACTAATTTTTCTCTGAAAACTTTCTTCTATGAATAAAGAATGTCGGTTTTAGAAAAACTTATTTTATTTGAAAATAATGTTATAAAAAGCATTTGGAAACATTATTTTATAATTTCAAATATTTCGAATTTTCACCACCAAGAACGGCGGTGACATTTTTAAAATTAAGACGATGTTTCGCATCGTATTAGCTATGTCCTGTACAAATTTAGTTTCGTGCAACTCTCTCGGTTTCAAAAATACAATACCTATGTATAAACATACATCCGTAACGAAATTTTAATAATTCCAAATATTTCGAATTATCACCACCAAGAACGGCGGTGACAACATTTTTAATATTAAGGCGATGTTTCACATCGTATTAGCTATGTCCTGTACAAATTTGGTTTAGTGCAACTCTCTCGGTTTCGAGAATACAATACCTATGTATGTTTTCAGCCACGAAATTTGAATAATTCCAAATATTTCGAATTTTAACATTAAGCCGATGTTTCGCATCGTATTAGCTATGTAGATAATTACAGTATTTATTCACGTGTCCCTTGCGGCTCGGCAAAACTGATTTAATGTAAACAATTAATTTTGTACATTGCTGATATTCCTATTGGCATGATGACACCCACACATTACAGTACCCCTTAGAAAATTTTTATCACAAGCCTTTATAAGTATATGCTGGCAATAGAGTGGCCAGCCCGGTCACCGGACTTAACACACTTAGATTTTTTATGTGATTGCATTTAAAAGACAGAATTGTAATAACTGTAATAACGCAGACTTTTTTGAACAGATTAGAAGTATACAAAATGAATTTCTTCCGTTCGAAGTTCTGATAAGCAGCAAACGGTGTCAGTTTAGAATTTGTTGTAATCTCATCAATTTCCAAAAAAATTTATAATATTGCATTTAAAAAACAGAGGAAAATTTCTTGTATTTAAAATGTCTTGATAATTAATTACTAATTGCTCAATGCTTTATCGGAAAGTACAGCGAAAGTAAGCAGTTATTTAAATTTTTCCACTAGGAAATCTCCAGCGCTTTGCTGTAACGATTTTTCGCAAAATACCCAAAACAATGAACTAATTAAATACGACGATCGTGTCGACGTACACTGTGAGGGTTGTGTTCTGTATTAATCACTCTTTAACGTAATTTGATTTTGTACAACGCTTTCATACTGTGTTTCGCATTATCGTAAATATTTGATGGATAATTGTGCAGTACAACGCATTAATCGCTTATAACATGACACGGAAACATTACAAAAGCGTGCCAGGTTAAAAACGATATTGAATCCTTTAAAAAATGTATGTACATGCAATATGGTCGTTTTTCATTAAAAAAAACTTACTTAACATGAATTCCGTCGTTTTATAATTATCCGTCGTTTTGGGCAAAGAAAATAAGTAGAAAACACCGTTTACATTTGCAGTTAGCTCGTCGGATGATATAAAATGTGAAAGTTTGGGAATTGAAACTATTTTTCAGAAATTATAGACAAATACACAATAGATAGAATTTTAATGAATATAAACAATTGCAGTCTATAATTCGTCGATAGTTGAATTGTTGAATCCAGGATATACACATTTACACTTAAGTGGTTTTATTGGCCTTTGTTGGCACTGCCAACACGGCAACAGAATAAGTGTAAAATTAATTGTAATTTTTGCAGTTGTAAGAAGTTAAATCAAAATACCAATACAAATGTTTAATTCGAACAAAACGCCTACACATTTTAAAGGAGTCTAAAATTAATGCTAGATAATGACCTCCGAACGACGAGTTTTATTTTAGAAACAAGATTTGGTGAACAAAACAACTAAGGCTAACTTAATTAATGGAAAAAACAAACTCATTTATCAGTGGGAGCGGAAAAGGAACTTGTAGATTTAATAAAACTCTACGTTTATTTTCCTATACACGGCTAGAAAACGAATCGCAAAACCTAGAATATTTAAAATATACAGAATGTATGTGATATGCTGCACCAAACTTTAACGATGGATTTTACGTCAAAAATGCTACTTTTATTAGTACCTTTTCCTAGTATCGTGGACTTACAAATGTTTCAGTTTGCACTATTCATTGTGATACACCCTGTATTGCAAATTGAACTCGCTATTATGAATATGAATATGTATCTTCGATTTTCACAACACTCGGTACATGTTTGTAACATATAATAATTGATATTTTATGGATAATTTCTATAACCATATTTGTCAATTTGCTGAAGATTTGCTAGCACTGAACAATGTTTGATATTCGCTGTCAAATAAATGATTTATTCGCTACAATCCAAGAGGAGATCGAAATTCCATTAGGGAAGATGACCTAGAACTTAGTGGGCCCTAGATAACTACTAATGGAGCCGACTCTAGAACTTCCCAATTGACTTCTAGTGAATATGCACATCTACCAAGTTTTCCATACTTTAAACGAATTTGCATGCTTCCAAATGAACTCGAGGATAGTGAGGGTTTGCTCTTTTTAAAAGAAAAAAACGTTTATCGGATCCGAAAAATTAGTTCGTTAATTATTTTTACAGTTTTCTTAAAAAATAATTGTTGTAGCTTTTGCATTTATCAATTTTAAATAAACACAATCTATTCGGTCTATGTCTGAAATGTTTGTAGCAATTATAATCTCAATTTAGCTGATAAAGTTTTGAATATTTATGAACTAAAGGAATATCTACTAATTGTTTAATAATTTCCTTGCCATTACTTCTGAATTGGTCAGTTACCCAGGGATTAGAATGATATAAACGGACGCATATTTAGTAAAATTTAAGATACTTCCTAATCCAACTGCCAGATGAATTAATTAAACTGTATAACTGAGCCTAAACCTACCAGATGTTGATGGATTAACATTTACATTGGTTACACGGTACATTTTAATTAATTTTCTGAAACTACTTAAATACATAATTTTTACATAAACACGTTTTCTTGGCACATAATTAATATATCACGTGTACAATTTGGTCTGGGTAGCAGTTGTGGAATTACTATTGCATTGCCTAATAAAAAAAAACTGTTTCAACCAACTTCACAGCATATTATGATTGGCGTCTATTTTGAGACATCACAGAAAGTAAGCATTTGTGGAAATATGAGTTGAAACTACTTACTTTTCTTCTATGTCCCTAGCTTTATCTCGAACTTCGTGTGCTCCGTGCTCCTCATCGAAATAAAATTTTTTCGTTTTATCTACATCTTGGACACAAGTTTGGAGTTCTTTTTGTACAATTGCTAGTTGATCTACACACTGTAAAAATGTACACATACAATTTTAGCCAAAGAAAAAAAGTCTACATCTACGTTGTGTAACTAGTTTTAATCGCCGTACAACGAAGCTTTAAAAATGAAAAGAACTGGTGTTTAGACCTTGTAGCATGAAAGAGTGATAGACACATTTCGCTAATGAATACGATTTTCAAGTAAAATTGAAAAACATCATCAGGCAACTACTGCCAATAAAAATCAAAATTAAAAAAATATATATGAAGAATATAAAATTTTAAAATTAAAAAAAAATGTTGTCTGCAGGTACTTATTTGGCTTAGCGGCGAGAATAGGCAGAACGAGGGAAAGCTGACACAAATTGAAAGCGGCGTTTCCCCCGAGTGCCCTCCAGCTAAATAAATGAAAACAATTACGGACTTTACGGTTACATCAACGAAGTTGCTCGGGCGACTCATGCATAATGTGGAAGCTTTAATCCGACTCACTCTTTTCGACGCTTGGACTTTGTGCGCTCGCAGGATTTTGGCGTCGTCGGCGATCTGCTGTTGGAAAACTTCGACGGCCGCCAACCGGGCTCTCGCCAGCTTCTCGTTTTCCTCCAGCACCGTCCTCCACACGTTCCACATATTCCTGCAAATAATTACGGTCTAGTAGACAGGGCAGCATGCAATTATGACGACGCCGACGCGACGCCCTGGTGCATCGCCGGAATTCTTACTTAATAACGGTGCGGGATAAGGATGTTTAACATTTTCTACCTCTAAAAATACACGATAAGAATGAGATGCGGTAAAAAACATGTTTTATCTGGTAAAATATCTGATTGACTGTGGGATTTTACACTCACGTGATTAATATTTACAATTATAATTAAATTCCAAGAGATATTCATCATTAAAATGTTATTTTAATTAAAACTGACGTTTGCGGCGTATATTTCACTTCCCTGCTTCAAATTATCTCTTTTTTTACGGAAATTTTTATGAAGGTACCTATACTTTTCCACAAAAGTAATTTTCTTTATTATTATTTGTATTTTCGGGAAAATTATTATGCAATGTGTTTTAAAAGTGTTTTTTTAATATTCAGTAAGTTCTTCCTCAATCATCCTGTTTTACCCAAAACCTAGGGAAATTGACATAATATTTATATAGGGTGTCTCAGAATATATGGGCAATCTCTCGGATTTATAAAGGGGATGTTAAAATAACATGACAAGTTCCTATAATAACACAGGGCAACAATTTTCACACCCAAAAACCAGACCTCACTTGCCCGAAGGTTTTAGTGCGCAGAATTCAAATCCGGCGTCAGAATTGCTCCTATACGTCACGTTTCCGAGATATCCTAACCTAAAAGTGCAAAAAACAGGGTTTTTTGCTATATTTGAGCTTATATCACAGAACGAATTTTTTTTTTCTAAAAACGAATCATGCCCTCTAAAACTACCACTCTTACCCTTCAAAATGCTTTTTTCAGATTTGAAAAACCTTTTTTATTCGCGAAGATATCATTGAATGAAGTTAGGTACTTTAGCGTTGTCATAACTTGAAGAGTGGTAGTTTTAGAGGGTTTTTAGGAAAAAAAATGTTTCGCTCTGTGATATAAGCTCAAATACTTATAGCAAAAAAAACTGTTTTTTGCACCTTTAGGTGCCGGATTTGGATTATGCGCACCAAAAACCTTTGGGCAAGTGAGGTCTGGTTTTTGGGTGTGATCTTTCGTCAAATTTTGTTGCCCTGTGTAATTTTTCCTAGAAGGTCCTCCTACGAACAACAGATAAGACTCTTTAAAAATTGACCCATGAAAGCAATTTGTTGTAGCACAATAATGCCAATTTTTTTACACCCTTTACGACAAAGGCACAAAAATAATATCTTTAGATAGCTTGAACCTTAAACTAAAAAAAAGGTACTCTTGGTTGATCTCGATAAAATGAACTGCTTTCGAGAAAAAACTATTTTTGTTTTTGGATTTTTATTACATCCGTAAAGAGAAATAAACAGATGAAATTTATTCTGTGCTTATCTAAAAAATGCCACTTTTATTCACACTTGTTTTTCCCTTTATTTTTTGGTGCTATGGTTGTTTTTTTAACATTTACTGATTTAAATAAGAATTACAGTACTTATCTGAGTTTGTCAGTTAACGATAGAGTGTGTAGAAACTTGTGATATTTTCCTATTTTTTTTTATTCCTCATATTTATGAATTTACGTTTGCTGAATATGCCAACATACATTTTTTATTGTATGGACATCAAGTAATGCCTTAGAAGCCAGAAGGCGTTATGTGGAACGATTTCCAAATCGAAGAATTCCTGATAAGAAATCTTTTGAAAGAGTGGATCAACGTTTAAGAGAGACTGGTAAAAATTACAATTTATTTGTTACTTGCATTAACGTACTTTTTGAGTAGGTAATATCAATTACTATAAAAAGAATTCTTATTATAGTCACTGGTAATATGTAGAATTAAAATGCTGTAAATAATTTTAGGAACGTTTGCAAAAGCCATACGCAATTGTGGAAATCAAAACAATCGCGGTGAGGTCCCTGAAGAAGATATCCTAAATGCCGTAAAAGCAGATCGATCAAAAAGTGTCCGGAAATTGGCTGCCCAATTTAAATGCCCAAAATCTACGGTTCTTAGAATCCTTAAAGAGCAACCATTGTATCCCTATCGCATAAAGAAAGTCCATGACTTCTTCCTGCAGACTTTCCGCGAAGGATGTAATTTTCAAACCGGCCTTTAGATAGGTTCTGTAATAATGCTAATTTCATCGGTTCAATTCAACGAACGAAGCCAAATTTTGTAAAAATGGAATTATAAACTCCCATAATTTGCATTTATGGGCAGAAGAAAATCCACATGCTTCTATTGTGACGCATCATCAGCACCAGTTTGAACCCATTAACGTATGGGTCGAAATCATCGGGCCACATTTCATTAGACCATTTGTATTGCCTAGAAGGTTAACTAGGGAACTTTATTTGGAATTTCTCCAAGACAGCTTGCCAATACTTTTAGAAGACAAACCTGGGGTACCACCCCATTTTAGTCTGACAGTTCGACAACACAACCAGGCATTTCGAAATCGTTGGACTGGAAGAGGAGGACCAGTGGCTTGGCCTCCTCGATCCAACAATCTGTAATTCGTAGACCTAGAGAATGTACAACATTAGAAGGAGCTCAAGTTAAACCGACATAAAAAATTATGTAATAAAAATAATATTAAATAAAAATGTTTAAACTTTAAAAACAAATAATAATTATTGTTGTAACAAACGTCGTTTTTATTTATCAGGCTACTTTAACTGAAATATGAAATTATATTTTTTAAAATGCTTGCAACTTCTAAACAAAAACGAATCGGGCCTATGTTCATATAAGAAAAAAATGTTGATATTAACTTAGCTACCATTTGTCAAGTTTGTCGAACACCCTGTATACCAGCAGACTAAATTTAATTTAAATCGAACAAAGCATTTTAAAGTTATCTGGAAAATACAAAAAATTTGGATAGAGATAAACTTAGTTAAATCATCTTATTTGCAACCGTAAGATTCTGTGATAGTTCCATGTACGTACATGAAACAATTGGACGCCCTGTATATTTTACTTTTTTAACCGGTAATTATCGACACATTTATCTTATAAATTGATAACATACATTATCGGTTATGCACTTGTCTGTACAAACACCTTCAATTTTTTTATAATTGTTCATATTTCTCGGTTTGGTGACAATATGATTATAGTAACCTAGGTATTTTCGACAGCACTACTAAAATACAACATAATAGTATCAATGTACTATTCCATGATGGATGTATATCTAGACATACCTAAATTCAGTTTTAGACGTATGAGTATAGCTCTTTACATTTTTGGTAGATATTTATAAAACACCCAATAAATGGTTGTACGTACAAAATATTTGATTAAATACTGGATATGTTTATAATATTATCAATCATTTCCTAATGTATTTTTTATCTGGAGTCTACCTACATCATTACAACAAATTTTATCTAAATAAAATACTTGAACTAAAACAATAACTTCATTAAACTTGTTTTATTTAAAAGCGGGTGCCACTTTATCTACAGTTAAAGTTGTTTAGAAGCTGTAGAACATTTTTTTACTATATTGAGTGTCAATTATGATTTATGACAGTGTAATAAATGTACCGTGTTGTGTTTACGTAGGGAGATTGCTGGTGATGATACAACAGATAAAATTGTAACACTCCTGCTTTCTTTCTTACAGTGATTGCTTTATTGCAAGAAGCACTATCCATGAGGGCGTTACATTAAGTTATTTACTCAGGCTACAAGGGCTATTTCCAGGATTGTATGCAACATTCTCCAGAAGTGTATCTTAAAATTTGAGTACGATTAGGTAGTTGTACCCAAGATTTCGAAAAAAAATATTAGACGAAAGTTGTTACTTTGATGAGTTAAATGTACTGTTAAAATGTTGGTGCTTATTTCTAGGACACCCTGTATTGTCCTTTGGATCTGATAAAGCGCAGATAAATTAATACCTACTTATAAAGTCATTAGTCGTATCATTGCATATCTAAGTAAATATAATGGATCCTGGAGATGTAGGTCCTTCGCCTTTAGTATTTTTTTTAAATCAAGGGGAAGTTGCAACACTGTTGGATCTCACGCAAATAAGAGAAATTTTTCTTAGACAAGGCACTCTTGGCTAAAAAATTCTTCAGACTTTCTTCGCGATTATTCTCAAAAGAATAACGACAGCAAAAGTAACAACTCATTCACAAATTCAGTTATACCCGACAATGAAATATGAAGTTATGCAGTTATGCAGTTATGCAGTTATGACTGCATATTATAATACAACTTCAAACAATCCTTGATCCTTCTTCTACATCCCATATACGTTCGCTGATTCGGGTGACTGGGTTTGGAATTACTTTGTAAAAGGGTAAACCTATATAAAATAAAAAAAGCAGGTCATGGATGTTGAATTATTCAACGGCAATGCCAAAAAAAAAGTTGGCAGCATATTTTCTTGACCTACTTACTTCAATTCTATTGATATTTGCTTCTGAACCACATTATAGACTCACATAAAAAAATTGAGTTTATCTCATAAATGAAGCAAGAATGCGTTTTATCTTATTTTGAGGGAAATGACATATTTATAAACACTTCGGAAAAACGTTAATGGAGCAACGTGATGAATCTACTCAATACACTTTAGGCATCAAACGTTTATACACTGAGGCCCATTATAACAGAGAAGCGAAATATAATCGCCGCTATAATGCATTAATGGACGAGGATAAACTTGAAAGGATATTAAGAACGTCCGAGTAATTGGGAAGGACTAGCGTAAGTCCCTGGTTCTAGTTTCCAACCTTTTACACGCTATAAGGGAGACTGTTACGAGATTGTTATAAATTAATTATGAGCACGTCACCTAGAGACCTAAATTAATTACAGATAGGACTTCACAGAATGACAAACTAGAAGTCGTGTAATTAAATGCATGCTTATGTTATGTTTATTATTTTCGAATACCTAATGCAAAAAATTAAAGGGTCAAAAGAATTTCCGTGATTTTTGACAGACTGTATTTAGGTGAAAAATAGTCGTTTCGGAAATTAAAAAAATATATCTGCAGTCAATAAATAATATTATTTGCCACAGAATGAAGACAAATTGGATGGGCAATAAAAATCTCAATCTGTAGATTAAATCATATTAAGAGGCTTTGTTGATATTATTTGGTATAAAAATTTCATACATTTTATGACAGATATACGTATTTTTGTATATGCATAAATAACTCTTTTTATTTCATAAAATTTTGTGGTGCATATCACGATTTATAAAAATATATAAGGAATGTGGAGGAGGAAGGAGAATATACTTAAAGACATGATTTTAAAGCATGCAAGATATTTTATGAAGTAAAAGAATATATGGACCAAACTTTTATTATTCCATGCAAGTTTTTTAATGTCTAACTTCGTTCGGTATTTTCTCCCTTAGAAAAATGCCATTTATAAGGCAATGAATATATTTTTTAATATTAATTTTGTCTTTCAGAATCCCTCATAGGAAGCAGTGATTGGTTCAATGAATCATAATAGCCGTTCATAAGAAAAAATTATCTAGAAAGAGGTATCCTGTGTCCAGAGTCTATTCATTCCAATCGTACGCCCAAAAAAAATGGAAGGGTTTCCTGATGTTAAACACTGAATATTCTTGTAGAATATATGTACTTTAAGCATGAGTAGAATCGGATATCTAAATAAATATTTTTAAAATCAGGGATTTATAACAAGTAACTAAGTATTACAAATTATTAGTTATTGATGTTTGATAAATAAGCAACTTGATTTGAATTTTATATAAATTTAGTATTTAATAACTACCAGTTATACGAAACCATTTAAAGAATTGTAGTTATTTTCTTCACTGCACAGATTTAATATTTTTTCATTTTTAATTTATACAAAGTGTAATTGAAAGCTTGGCCAAACAGTAATGGTAGTTCTACAGCACAACTAACAAATTTTCTATAAACATGGACGCGGAAACGTTTCGTGTTCGGGATAAAATAATTTGTTGAATGTATCCATATAAACATTTAATATTTTATTTCATTCATAGATAATCTATAACAAATTGTTTCTCAAAAATGCCTTCCCAAACATTTGTTTATAGGCCTTTTTTATTAACTTAGTCATAAAAATTTGATCGAGTATTTTAGATACACCAGATTAGAAAGACAAACCATGAGACTGTTTGGTGGAGTAAAATATAAATAGTTTTTCAGTGAGTTCGCATCTTACTGATTGTGAATTACATATTTTCGCATTTTATTACGCTATAAAAATGTAATACTAGAGATAAGAATTTTTCAGATGTCGCAAATATTATACTACATACACAAGGTAGGTACCTAATTAAGGAGAAGTATTAGTGACTCATTCCAAACAGTAAGGTAATTTTCCATTCAATATTAAATTGAAAAGAAACTATAAAATCAATGAATAGATCAAAATTTATTTCAATGTTATTAATGTGATTTTAGTGTTATCTTAAGGCATCTACTTTTTTCTGATAAGAGTCGTAAATAAGGCAACATCAAAATTAAGTTACTTATTTTTTCTGCTTACATTGTGCTACTGAATTAAGATTAAAGATGCTTTTGTTACAGCCCGAAACACATTCTCGTATAACTTAACAAGCATTCTTATTTGAAATGAACAAAGAGCCGTTTTCAAACAATGCTTTTTCAATGGTCTTTTAAAATATTTCTATTTAAGTTTTTCCACAATCAAATTATAATATCTTAAAAATATATATTTATATATTAGTCAGCTTCGGAAAATATCGCTGCTTTTCTAAATGCTCTGGCATCGACTCTTATTTTCAATATATTCATATAATTTGCAGATAGCTATTAAAATAAATAATTACAATAACTATCCCAATTAATAAATGTCGTTTGATCCTCCTATATTGCACTTGTGTGCGAAATATGCAATAAATTGCTAATTATCTCTTTTTGACTATCTCAGTTTTACTTGAGATACTTTAAAATAACATTTCACACATTTGCTACATTATGTTAGCTGGAAGAAAAATCTTTTATATAATCTGTCACTCTGTCAGCATCCAATTCAAAGATAATTAATAACTGCTCCAATAAAGTCTGTCGCTACAACACAGATTTGGAAATGACAGGTATGCATACCATTAGTCATTACGTTAATACGATATGGAGTGGAAAACTGACTGTATGGTCCATCCAATCATTTAATTCAGTTTTTAGTCATTTTAACATTTAACATTATAACACGTCTGTGTTTGGAAAAAAATTAATGTATTTTATAGACGAAATGGATCGTTTTTACGTGAGCAACAAAGAAAAAGAGTAAACGCAATATGTATATTATTTGGACCTTTTATGACCACGTTAATTTACGATTAGAAACTGACAAAAACGTAAATAAATGAACTGTACTCAAATGAATCGACCTAGCATTTAAGAAATTGAAGAAAGGACTCACCATTTTTCCTCTCCTCCATCCAGTTTAATGTCAGGAATGTTGGGGATCTTTTTATTTAAATAAGCCGAAGAGATTTTAAGCAATGCCTAAAAGAATCCCAAATCAATAAAGCAAATCTGAAAAACAAACACACACCAAATATTTACTTCTGAGTAGGACTTTTCAATGGCAGATCTCTTGATAATAAACGTCCGTATGTCCTCCAGCAAGTCGCACTCGTGCTGATTTTTTAAAACCAATTTGTTGATCTGTTCCGAGTGCAGCGTTTTCAAAAATTTCACGTAGTTGCCCTAGAAAAATGCAGTTTGTATTGGCAGGTACACCTGGACCGTGGGGCGGGTGTATATCTTGGTTTTGGAAATGATTGTGGCAATGATTTGAGTGAGGTGTGTGATTTTTTCGAACCTTTCTCGGAGGGGGCTGCATTTTTTCCGAAAATGTACACGGGGAATCATTCACAACACGCACTCCGCCGCTCCCGCTGCTCCCAACTCCTCTGCTATTGATTATGTGACTCCCGATGACCGACCCAGAGGCGGCGGCGCGACTCCGTTGTACTAGAAATCCGAACTGCCACCTACAATATCAGTATTGATATTTACCATTACGATCTCTCGCATATCTCAGATAACTCTGACGCGGCCTTTCGATTGTTTTGATCGTAATCCCGTCCCTGCACAACTGATAAGTCGTTTTCAATACACGCCGAAATATGCGAACACATGTCCAAGTAATTTCTGATAACGTGGAACTGAATGATAAACTGCGTAAAGCAGAAAATACGGGGTGTTTACGTCTATCACAACTTCAAAAAGATATACCTTGGTCCAGTTTTGAATAAAGTGCTTTGAAGTACATAGGGTCCAAAGCTACCAACTTAAAATGTAGATTGTGGTTTAAAAATTATATAAAACTCTTTCAAATATCTCTGAAGATGATGGCATAGGTTGATGAAACTAGGACTAATGGTTTACATAGTTAAAGCCGAATCTTCCAATTAGTAGTTGAGGAAAAACATTGTCACTAAGAACTCTTTCGACGCCACTGGAAATTTTAGGAATTGGATACGTGCGATTAATTCTAAGGAATTATTATTATCTTAAATTTAAAATAAGATTATTACAAGTCAAATAAATCTTATTTCAAAATAAAAAAATTATTAAATAAAAGAAACAAAAAATTTTGAAACTGGCACTGTTGTGTAGAATGCACATAGCAATTTCAAAGGCCAACAGTCATTTTAAACATCTCTTTTGTTTGTCATTAATTTTTTGTTGGGATTGATGATCGCTTCTGGATATTTGCACCAATCTTAAATAGAACGCGGTACGCCGAGAACCCATACCGTGTTTTAGGAGATGTTTTCAAGATCCGTTAAAAGAATTTTGGTGATGTAAGAATTTCGAATGAAAGCGAAATCTCGAATAGCGTTGCAAAATATTTTTTTCATAATCAGCAAAGAAACTAAGTCAGCAATAAAAGAAATTTGTAAAAAATATATTTTCAGCAAAAGCGTAAAACTAAATCAAAACCTTTTAAAAGTTACATTAGGTAAGGTTGTTGCCTACAAAGACCTTTGTCAAATAATAATTTTTTGTAATGTCACATAAAAGATCAACATCACATGAACACACTTCGTTTATGCTTTGTACATTTGATTCATTGAAATAGTGTTTATATTTTGTGGTGGTAACTATACTCAAATTTGAGGTATCTTTATATCCTAGTCCTAATGACATATTTACAAAAAATGTTTTCTAAACTAACTAAAACTTTTGATTATGAAAACAACGTATGTTCAAAATTATTAATGAATGCAAATAACTGAAGTATTTAAGAATATATTTAATTGATTAATCTGTACCTATATATAATTAATTGTGCATACCTCTTTTTCATCTTTTATGATTTCTCTTAAAACGTATGCTCGATTTTCTTCTTCTATTTAGATGTTTTCAATAATTTCTTACTACTAAGTTAATATCTTATATTACTTCTATAACTATTTATTTTTTAGATTTCTATACTTTTATATTTAACTTGTCAAAAAGTCATAATTATTACAAAGCAAACTAAAATTAAAAATATTAAACTGCAAAATAAAACGCAAATGTTTAATTTATTTATTAAGCCTTTAGTAATTTATTTAGTTTGTCGTTCCAAGATAAAAACTCGCCCAATATTTTGGGTAGTCCCTTTGAATTAGACAAAATCGTATGTGACAAAATCCCAGGTAGTTTTGAGTAAAGTTTTGATTTAGGAACATTAACAGTGCCATCTGTTAGACAATTACCGAAATTTTATAAATAATTGTAAACAGTCTGCAGTTTACTTCAATTTTATTTTGAATTTTTGTTCAAAAATCTAAGAAAAAGAAAAATTAGGCCAGCTTTTGTAAGAACCGTAAAAATAAGTAACACAAGGTTTTACACTTATGTTGTACAATTTTTTATTTTCACCAAAAATTCGACCCTATTATACATATAAATTGTCTGAAAAAAGTAACACTTTCAATATAAGAAAAGACATGTATTACTTAGAATAAACTTTATATAAAAAAAACAGCAAAATTATGTTGGACATATATAACTAATGTAATTATACATTGCCAAATAGTAAATTATATTTGTGAAATATATTCATGCAAGCTCGGATTCATCCTCTCTTTTCCGTTTCAAGCTAGTTTCACCTTCCATGCCATTGTTAGCCGGCACAATTTGCACATTTTGGGTTATTTGTATTTTCGGTTTTGCAATTGTCTTTTGAGGTTGGGTAGCGATTTTTGTAACTGGTTTGGGAATAGTAACCGTTTGCTTATTAATGCCAGTATTTGCTCGCCTTAAAAAACTGATATTTGATTTGGGTGTAAGTTTCATTCCTGTTGCCCCCGTTATAGAGAAATTTGCCTTGGCACCTTTCTTTACGGCGTTTTTAAGTGTGTAATTACAAGAAGATAAACAATAACGGTCTGGTGGCAATCTCAATCCGCAATGAGGCTTTACTGCAGGTAGCATCGAATAATTCTTAACATGGGCTAGTTCCATAAGAACTTCCCTTGGTGGAGGAGTCGTAAATGTCGACTCGCATGTCAGTTGCAAAGCCAATCGAACATCATCTACGTCCAAAAACTTTTTCTTTGAGTTACTTGCATCAGCATCCGAAAACTTTTTCTTTGAATTGTTAGCATACATACGAGCTTCTTCCAAAATTGACGTGGCGTATCTGTATACAAATTCTGTAAGTTGTACGATTGTTTTGGGTTCATAATCTGTTATACCCATTTCCTTCATTATAGCCATTATTACCTGACCGTCTTTTGGAATATTCTTGGGTTGTGATGGTTTTGATTTATCCTTATCGGACATTTTAAAATTTTTTTCGCTGCGATGATCAATATAAAATTAAATGATAATAACAAATCGAAAACTGGATACTGTTTATCAACTTTATATTTCTTAACCTCTAACACACTAAACACACAGACACACAGATCACCATGGCACATCACAGATCAAGAATTTTGGCACAGATTACCAACTCTATGACTATGGGTCACATCACTCAAAGAGCGTATTCATTCATTTGCCCCGGTGTAAATGTCCAGTTTAGAAAAATAGCACCATAAATTAAGATTCAAATTATAAATTTGTCAGTTGAAAATAAGTGAAGAGCTAATTTAATGTTAATATAATAATTATGTCGGAATGGGCATGTGTCGTACTATTGGAACTGTTTTGGAGTACTCTAGGAACATAGCCAGTTATGTATTCTTCTAGCTTTATCGTTTATCTGTCATTTTCAAATTTCCGTTCGTGTTCCATTCCCATGTCTTCTGTCAATCAGAAAATTTATTTGTAATTTATTTAACATACATGTTTCCCATGTTTCCAAACTAGTATTTCTAATAAAACGAAGAAATAATAATGACTTAGATATTACTTGTAATAATGGTTGTGCTACACATTATATAAATTAATAAACAAATATCGCAATAATATAATAAAATGGGAGGTTACGTACCATTTTCCAGGATTACAGCTATATTGTTTAAAATGGTTTTAAAAGTTTGGGCCTACTCTGGCCTAGTCTTAGTGTTCTGTTTTTTACTGTATTATATGTATGGTGGAATATTTGCTATATTATTATTATTTTTTGCTGTCACAGGTAAAAATGTGTGTAAGTATAAGCACGTCTACATTATTTCTTTTAGGTATTTTATACCAAGTTCAGGATAGTTTACTCTACAATCCAGAATTGCCAAGCCATTCTAGAGTATATGTACCAATACCATCCATGTTCAGCCTTCCTTACGAAAGTGTAACTACTAGATCTTTAGATGGAACACAGATTCATATGTATTTTATACATCAACCGAACGAAAGGCAGCGTAATGCACCAACAATAATCTTTTTCCATGGTAACGCAGGAAACATGGGTCATCGTTTACAAAATTGTGTAGGACTATACCATAATTTACATTGCAATATACTGCTGGTTGAATATAGAGGCTATGGTCTTTCAGACGGTAGTCCTTCAGAAGAAGGATTGTATATGGATGCTAAAGCCAGTATCGATTATTTATATATGCGAAAAGATATTAATCATTCTGAAATAATTGTGTTTGGAAGGTCTCTTGGTAAATATCAAATACATTTGCTTTAGATCGAGTATTTGCTGACTTTCCATTTAGGTGGCGCTGTTGCTATTGACTTGGCAGTAAGAGAAGACTATACCAATAAGATATGGTGTCTCGTTGTAGAAAATACATTTACGAGCATCCCTGATATGGCTAAAGTATTGTTAGGTTGGCGAATGCTGCAATACTTCCCTCTGTTTTTTTATAAAAATAAGGTAATGTTGCTTTACTGCTCTTATACAAATTTTAAACAAAATAAGGCACGGTATGTTTTTAGTTTTTCTCATATCAAAAAGTGAAGCAATTGAGAATTCCAACGTTGTTCATATCAGGCATGGCCGACACCCTCGTTCCTCCCCGTATGATGTTTGAGCTGCACAACCGCTGCAGCAGCATAAGAAAGCAACTATTACAGATACCGAATGGCACGCATAATGAAACCTGGCAAGTCCACGGTTATTACCACTCATTGGCTGTGTTTCTCCAAAGCTGTAGATTAAAAAATATGGAACAATACGATATTAAAATAGATAATGGAAAAACACAGAATACTAGTAGTATATGGAACAATGTACAAACTATATAAGTAATTTAATTTATATACAATTTTGACACTCAAGTCACCAACGTGATAATGCTGTGAGAGTTGGATTAAGGTAATTTTTTTATATTCCTGTAATATAAATATTGTCAAGTCGTATTAATTCGCATGTGGTTAATTTTAAAAGTTTCTTAGAAAATATCCAAAAGAAAGCGTACGTATTACAACTTTTTATTTTATTAATTTATGTCTCTCCACAAAGGTAATATTAGTATTAGGTAGCTCCTTCTGTGATTCCTCGATAATTTACTTATTAGGGATTTTTGTATTAAATGAAATGTATAGATAAAAATTAAAAATTTTTATTATTTGATATTTATGTACTTGGTAGATAACCGATTTTTTCGGTATTTAAGTTAAAAATAAGACATCTCAAATTTTATTTAAGAACTTTGTACACTCCATAAATAGGCTCAATTTACCAAAAGTTTTTTTTTTATGGTTATTATCATAGTGTGCTGTGTGATGATATACTTAGAATTAGAACATTACTTCTGGAAATACTCACTGCTACTACTGTCAGTACTATTAAAAACGCTAGTGCCAGGAGAAAGTTAAAAAAAAACTAATATTTAGTGCAAGATAAGCATGTAGAGGTGTTTCAATATCTCATGAGCCGCGAAAGGCGTGGCGTATCCGCATAATTTTTCTAATAAGCATGTTGTGAAAACATTGACTCAGAACTAGACCATGTGCATCATTACAAGTAGAAATCAACTAAGGCGCTCGGGCATCAATCAAGTCAACTGGCGAACGTTATATATATATTTTTGTTGTTTAAATTAGAATAATACAGAATAGAACATTTTATTATGATATTTGTAATCGGAGCAAAGGCTTGTTTAGGATACGAGAGCTCGAGATACACTGTGAATAATGAATGCAATGTTTTTAGCACGTAGAATAATTTAGGTGACGGTCGGAATTATGTTTCTGCGCATATGAAGGTCAAAGCTCATAAGATTTTAAAACACCTCTAACACTCCATTCATCCATCAATCTCCAGCAGAGAATTAAGTGATTTTATCTTATAGTTTTTTTTCTGTTAAGCATTCAAATTCCATATTTGCACCAAATGGAAAGAGTATATTTTAAAACCTATATTTGCAATATCATTTTTCAAAAATACAGATTTATCCCTTTTTTGCACCAATCTTCAATTATTATATGCATTTTTAAAAACATACACCTGTTATAAATATCATTGATGTTTATAACCGTAACCATTTTATATTTGTTCCTGTAATTGACATGATTGCAGCAGTTATCAATGCTCAAATGCGATTTTTATTTTCACACGAATACAATATATGTATTAAAACAAAAACATTAAATACTTAAGTGGGATAGAAGACTATATAGCCAAAAATAAGTTAACTTATCTAACAATATTGGTTTGATACTTTAATAAGACATTTATTGAGGAGTTCACAAAGGAAGAATTTATTCTCCATTACAACAAAGAACTTAAATTTAGATTTTAATATACATACGGAATATCCACAGATTGCTGCCCGGAGAGTAAAAAGCTTTTTTATTTTTGTTTTTTTTTTCTTTTGTATTGTATACTGTTGAGTATTTCATAAAAATGTTTGATTGACAAAAAATTGCATTGCTATAGATAGATTTGGATTTTAATATGCTGATTGTGAATGTTCAGAAAAACAAAAGAATAGTGGAACAATGAAGTAACTATCTTTATTTAAAAAAAATATATAATTGTCTAGTTCTAGTTTTTTGCAAATAAAAAGATATTAACAAGTTTATATAACGAGCGTTCAAATAAAAACGTGGTCGAAGTTGGCTCTGACACATTGGACGTAGGGCGTAGCTTATAGCGACCAACTGAACCTCATTTCTCAACGAGCTGTAAGCAGCCGTCAGTTTCAATAACAAAGCGGCGATACAGCGCTTTGACAGATGACGTTTAAGTTCATTTGCTATACGCTACGCCCTACGTCCAAATTTTCAGAACCAACTTGACCACGTTTATATTTGAACGCTCATTATATAACATTTTTTTTTAAATTTAAAATAAAGCCACTTCATTCGCTCTTGCAACTCATTCACATTTTCTGAATACCCTGTACATCAAAATCGAAATTTATCTACGGTAAAGGATTTTTTTAACAAGCACGTGTTTTTGAGGAATTATTGCAAAAAATAAAAAAAATTGTTTTGTGTTTTACTGTCACTCCGCTACAGTGCCTGATTTACAATAGTGGGGGCCTGTAAGCTGAAAATTGGTGGGGGCCTATTCTAGAAAAAAAATGTCTTTTTTGGTAGGACCTCCGCCCCAAAAAATATTCTTATTGTATACACTTTCTCCCTCTAGTGGCAGCTCTTAGAATCATATCTTAATAGATAGAATTCAAATTTTAAGAATAAAAAATTATATTTTTCAGAATAATTTATCTTTCTTGTTCATAATGGAGAGGTCTTTATAAAATCTTATAAAAAGAAAATTGTTAACATGGTGGAGGCCCCTAGTTGGTGGAGGCCTATAGGCTGCAACCTACACCAGCCTATAGATAAATCAGGCACTGCTCCGCTACTGTCCAAAATTTCAATTGCCAAAATTAGGACTATACAAACTTGTAATGTAACACATTTTTTTCCGAACAAATTGTGTTACTAAAATTAGTTACTTAAGTATTGCTTACATTTTAAAACTTTTGTAACTGGGAATCAAAATATACATTTTTCTATTAGTTTTACCATAACATTTTATTATTAGATTAAAAAGTGATATGTATTTGTCACCTCTCTTATATGTATGTAACTTTTTTTTCATGTTAGTAGCTCCTCGCATTTTTGATGTGTCTTCATCTACATAGATTCGTATAGTATAAAAAAAGTATTTTGAAAAATATATGTAGTGCTTCTGCTATTCTGTTTTTTTTTTTTTCAGACATAGTAGGTACTACTATAATTTACATATTTGCTATTACATTAAATTCATTAGAACAAAAACAAATTAACGTCAATGTATTTATTTACTTTATTATTATTACAGTATATTATATCTAATATTTTAAATTGTGCCATTCTATTTCTTATAATTTTAATGACAATCTTTGTTGTGATTTATATTTACTTTTTATAAATGATTTTATTTATATACCTACCTACATTTTCATCCAAAGATTTTTACTGATTAGTTAATTGATACCAATTTTTTTTAACACCTATACATTTGTAAATATCAAGGCCTAAAATATACTTCGTATTTTTTGTACTTGTGTATTTATTTAACTACCTTCCATAAAGTGATTAAAATACCCTTTCTGCTTAACCTATTAACTTGTCATTTACTTTTTACACTTTTTACTACTCAATTTAACAACATTAAACATTGTTAGTATTATTCTTACATCTTTTTTAAAATATGACCATTATTATAACTCAAAATTAAATATTGTCCTCGCTAACTCGTTATGACGTCACAGTTACCTTTATAATCAACACATTCTTATCGCCTCATTTAGTTTCAACAAGAGTGGTTGTACCGTATCGCCACAAAAAATCGTTTTTCTTTAAGAGGCGACATGAAAATGTTTTATTTTTATTGCACCAAATGTAATGCAAATATAAAACGCAAACTACATAAAAGTATTTGGATCAGTAGAAGTGTTTTATATTTTTTCAACCAAGCATTAAATTAAAGGTGATAAAATAAAATAACTGCACCAATCCAAAAGCAGAACGTTTCCTTGAAGTTGCAACGTAGCTCCCATAGATTAGTAGCTCCTCCCAAACTGAGATTGAGGGTAGCCAGCTGGGACAATTTCACAAAAAGAGTAATCTGTCAGTTTTTGTGTATGAAATTATGTCAAAATCAGATCTCGTGAGCAAAATAACTTGCCGAGGATTATAAAAATTTGTGAAAATGGCATATAAATGGTCTACTAAATTTCAAAAAATATCTTCTTACTGATAAGAAACCTTATCACCTGGGTTTTGACAGGATAACGTATTAAAACTAAAACAATATGTTAATAAGTACAAAGCAGTTTTCTTGACAAACCCTTCGTTGCATATAAAATGTTTTTCTGCGAAAAATCGTTAACTAAGTATCTAATAGTGATTGGTGTTATTTTAACATCTACAAAATGTTATTGCGGGGAACAAAAATTTATGTTCAGAGAAGAGCGCTTACAACTAAGGTACCAATCCGGTTTTATTGGTGTATACATATAATTTATTCATATTTTCCTAGGGAAGAGGCACGAGATATGTTTTATCATGCATACAATGCATACATGGAAAATGCTTACCCTGCCGATGAGCTAATGCCTCTGAGTTGTTTGGGGCGCTACAGAGGGCTTACACCTAATCGAGGAGATATTGATGATTCGTTAGGGAAGTAAGTACAATGTTTACCACCTGCATCCTTTTATTTTGTGTACAATCGTTTCAGTTTGCAACCGAGAAATTTCTTAGCTTCACAAATTCATTCGTGTTATCAAATATGTGCAAAACTGAACATAAATCCCTATTTTGAGAGGAAGACAGTTTTGGGTTTATGAAACGAATTTGTGCATAACAAATGTAATTATTTTTAAATTTAGTGAAATAATCTAAATATGTATTAAGATTATTTATATCGATATTATCACCATGTCAGTTATTGAATTGTGACTGTATTTTATTGCTTATCTTGATGTATTGTATCGTACCTCTTAAAAATATTTATTATTAGTTGTTGATAAAAGGAATCTAGCACTTTTTTAAAGTGTGAAGTCTAGAATTTTTATGTTTTTAATGCCTTTGAAATGTTACAGATTCTATAATTTTATTGATGCATTAATAATAGTGATTAAAAATATATAATTACAGTTTACTTTACCTTGAATCTCATCTTTTTATGTATTATTAATTAAGTAAATGTTATTGTCAAAAAGGAAAATCCCATATTATTAACGATACATAATTGTGCTACAGGAACATCCATTAGTATTTACTAAATTCTTAAACATTAGGCATAATTAGATGTTATACTACATACAAGCAGTGACCCAAAAGTTCGGTAGGAAAATGAGAAAAATTTAAAAAAAACTATAAGATATTGAATATAATTATTAATTTTGCATCAATACACCTACTAATATAATTTTCATGTGTGTGTGCATGAATTTTGTTCAAGATGAATCACATTTATTATTTTCACAGTTTTTTTGTTCTTAAATATTACGTAACACTTATATTGAATAGACAATAATTGAAAACCAAAAGTTAATTAAAGATATTCAAAAATTACAATGGACATTGTATTATTATGGAAAAGTCAGTTGAAACATATTAACTAACTATTTTTCCAGTTTTTCGTTAACCTTAATTGATACTCTGGACAGTCTGGTAATACTTGGGGATCTAGAGGAATTCGAACACGCAGTGAAACTAATCATAAAAGATGTTTCGTTTGATAATGATGTTGTTGTCTCTGTATTTGAGACAAACATACGAGTTTTGGGGTAAGTATTTTTCCCCTACTAATATTAAAATTATGCAATAATCTAATATAATTTTAGTGGACTCTTGTCTGCACATATCCTAGCGGATTACTTACAGCAAAGGGATGACATCATGTTGTGGTACAAAGGAGAACTGCTTGATATGGCAAAAGACGTTGGATACAGATTACTGCCATCTTTTAATACCACTACGGGAATACCACATTCTAGGGTGAGTTTAAAATTTAAATTATTGCCATAAACGTGTACCCATCTTTTCAAATCTAGGTAAACATGAAATATGGTTTAAAGAGCGACCGTCTGGAATCGGCTCGTGAAACGTGCACGGCTTGTGCCGGGTCGATGATTTTGGAAATGGCAGCGTTGTCCCGTTTGACCGGAGAGCCTATCTTTGAGGCTAAGGCCCACAAAGCTATGGATGAACTCTGGAAAATGAGGCACAGGAGTTCGGACTTGATGGGCACGGTACTTAACGTTCATTCCGGCGATTGGGTGAGGAGAGACTCTGGAGTCGGGGCGGGGATCGACTCGTATTATGAATATTGCCTGAAGGCGTACATTCTGTTGGGGGACAATAAATATTTGAACAGGTTTAACAGACATTACAATGCAGTCATGAAGTACATTTCACAGGGACCAATGTTGCTTGACGTTCATATGCATAGGTAAGAAAAATAGATTAGAATAAGACAAATCCTTGTATATTAAAAGGTGTAGGTTACTTTCGCTCCCACACTCGCCCGCAAAAAGGGGCGTACGGTATTATCAAGGGCTTTCCTCGCAAGCCGCAAAGCGGATTGCCGAGGTCCTTTATCCAAACGTATTCTGAAGGCAATTCCTTAGCGTCTTCTAAGGGAAATTTCCTCTTTAAAATGAGTCCTCGCTGAAAACCGAATTTTTTCCGTGCGAGAGAGATAGCCGAAGTACATACGATGTTTAGACAGAGATGCAGACAAACGTCAGTGAAGACGTCGAAATAAATTTTGTCTTTTGAAGCGTTTCCCCGGCCGATCGGGCCACGGCGGGTCTTTATTTTGCCGTTAGGCACCGGTTCCGATTTTTCAGAGATGTTACTTTACGTTTACACCGTAGCTCATTTTGAAAACTCGCGACTGCAAAGTTGAAGGTCCGTGGTTTGAATCGCGGGCGAGTCACATTTTTCTTTTTTTGGTATTGAAAACCAAACAATTTAATGTTTTGTAAATATTATGTTAGTGTTTATTTTCATATTGGTAAATGTGTTACATAATGAACTGGTTGCAATTCAAATTGTGACATTAACTGCTATTACTTTCTATGCCACCTAAATGGATACAAAATCGACCCTCAATTTTGCCACTATTGCATCCTTGCTTTAACCTAACACCACACTTTTTTTATATTATTAAATTTCTTTCATGCAAAATAAACAAGTCGTCACATAACAATAAGAAGTACAAATTTTTGTGCAGATTTGGATATCAGATGGCAGTTTTTTTCCAGCAACCGTAAAAACAAGCATTTGACGCTATTAGACTTGCAGACATTACCACATTATCATCCAATCATGTTGCTATTAGTGCTTCATTCTGATTTTCGTTTATTGTACAATTATTAGTAGTAGGTTGGTTATTATTTGAACTTTTTACACTGAAACATTTTTTACAATCTTCCGATCGACATTCTATAGCAAGATGATTTGCTCGTAAATAGTTAGAACGTAATTTTAATTATTTTGTTTCTCTACCGCTAGTTCCTATTGATAAATCGTAAAATTATGTGCAATAAAATTTTACTTTGATATGTCGCTATTTTTAAAAATGTACTGAACTCGTGGGACATAAATGCGAGTGACTGACAGAATACGCCTTATTCAGAGGTAAATCATCCAAATTCTACTGATTCTTTTAAGTCAACTAATGCAATTAAATGTTTCTATTTTCCCTGCGTATCCTTGAATCTTCTTTCTAACGTTGCCAAAGTTATGCTGTAATTTTCATATAGAACCTCCAACTCTTCCACCTTTCAAACATTCTGATGCACATTGTCAAAAGCCGTACCATATTTTTTGCTAAATTCTGCATCTGAACGCCATTAGATACTATTTGCCCTTAATTTTCCCTATTTTCTCGATTAGACTACTCACATATACAGGGTGATTCAGGTTTAATCTGGATAACTTCAGGAATCGATAGAACCAGTTAAAATAATGTTCGTTCATGATATAAACTTATTTCCTAAATCGCACCGTTTCGGAGATAGAGGACAGTGAAGTAGTAATTTTTTCTCCCTTTTTCCCTCATAACTTTTGAACTACTCATCCGATCGAAGTGAAATTTGGAACACAAACACTCCTTATGATCTTACCTAAACTCTTCTAAGTTTGAACCACCTACCCCTCTCTGAATCACCCTGTATATCCAAATGGTAAATTAACTCAAAATCTATTCTATTTGCTGGGATAGGATTTAAAAATTATCAGTACGGATTTCTAGCACACCCTTCAATAAAATGTGAGAATGGTAAGATATCCATTTGGTAAGTCACATTGTATGTACATATTTGAAAAAATGGAGTAGACATTTTTTTAATCTAGTTGCAATTCGTATAATTTTTTGCTGCCACTAGAATAATAGAATTAATTAAAATATGTTACAAACTATTTTTTGTTCTAGACCTCATACAAACTCTCGTAACTATATGGATGCATTACTAGCTTTTTGGCCAGGTTTGCAGGTGCTTAAGGGCGACATAAAACCAGCCGTCGAAACACACGAAATGTTATACCAAGTAATGCAACGGCACAAGTTCATTCCCGAAGCTTTCACGACAGATTTCCAGGTGCATTGGGGCAACCATCCCTTGCGTCCCGAATTCTTAGAATCCACGTACTTCCTTTACGTCGCTACCAACGACCCGTATTATCTGGAAGTCGGTAAGACTGTTTTGAAGAGCTTGCAGAAGTACGCCAGAGTGTCTTGCGGATACGCGGCTGTGAACGACGTTAGGACCGGCAAGCAAGAGGACAGAATGGATTCGTTCGTACTGGCAGAGACCTTCAAATATTTGTTCTTACTCTTCGCCGATAAGGAAGATCTCGTACTGAATCTGGACGAGTTTATTTTTACGACGGAAGGACATCTGTTGCCTCTCAGCTTGGCTGGACGCACAAGTAATGGTAAGTAACAATTTTTTATCGTAATTTTTAGTTTTTTTAAATAATTATCGCCCTACAGATTAGAAAATGCTTAACCATTTGTCACAAGAAAAAAACGTACTAAGGACTTTATTTCGAAAATATTAAATTTGAATGAAAAGATTTGTATTTATGTTAAAGTTAATAAATCTACTGTCGAAATAAGGTGATATCATTGAAAATTAAAAGGTTAAAACTGGTGAACAATTTTTTTGTGAGAAAATTGCAGTAAAAAAAATTTTTTGATAGATTTTGATAGCAAGATTTTACTTTAATATTTAACAAAAAAAAGAATCACAAAATAATTTTGTTGTGGCACCCGATTTTTAAAAATTTAAAAAATGTGCCATTATCTAAAAAACTAAGTCTGATTTTTTTTTTATAGGAACAAGGAGCTCCGAGTTGGAAATAGATGATTCGGAGTTTGCCAGATCCTGTCCCAATACTCTAGAATTATTCCCCGAATCCGTAAGGAAACCTTTGCAGAATATGGTCGATGGAGTATGTCCCAAAAAAAGTAAGAAAAGACGGCTCGTAGCCAGCGAATTTTCCGCCGCAAATCTAAATCATCTGAAGATGATTAAGGACATGGGCATAAACATAATCGCGTTAAATGACGGCCGGGTCCAGCTCCTTCACACTTTTTCGGCAGTAAATATTTTTTTTCTTAAAAAAAAACGTCTAGTTACAATTTATTACTTTATAGGCACGTTCGGCGTCAGACGCAGAGGAAGGCCTTCTTTTCATGCAAGAGATGGTGGAACTTTCCAAGCTCCAAGCACAACAGCCCGAACCTGCGGCCCAATCGGTGGCTGTGCCAATGAGGGACCATACCGGAGAGGAACAGATCATCGTAATGCAGGCGGGCCCGTCCCAGTTCGGAAAGAACCTGAAGGGCGATCAGAAAATTACCGCTCCAACGATCATCGTTCAACCGTTCCGTGGCTGCGGGGACATACACTTGCCCGGATTAATAAAAGGAAAGATTGCGATTATGGAAAGGGGCGAATGTATGTTTGTCGATAAAGTACGGAAAGTCCAACGGTACGGCGCGGTCGCCGCTATCATCATCGACAACACTCCCGGCAGCAGCACGGCGAGTTCCCCGATGTTTTCCATGTCCGGAGACGGTGTGGACGACGTAAAAATACCTTCGGTGTTTTTGTTCAATCAGGACGCGTCGAAATTATTACTAGCTCTGTCTAAGGACCCCAGAGTAGAGGTGACCATAAGCGAAATGAAGGATTCTGAGAGGTGGTCTCAGGACGAGGAAGAAAGCATGTTCCACAAGTTGAAGATCTCCGTCCAAGAATTCCTGAACAAGCACACGGGCATAGCGTTTACTAAAATAATCGAAGTCGGGGGGTTCAAGGCGAATATCGGCAACGATAAGATTCGGATAACCCACGAAGATACCAAAGACGAAATCATCGCCAGAGAGACCAATACCAACCAACAGTGGAGCCAAATTCGAAAGGGACTCCTGAAGTCGATACTTCACTCGGAAAGTAAAGAGTTATTCGTGCCCCTAAATATTCTTCGAATATACTACCAAACCCTGAGCGGGGTTTCTATAGAAGAGTTGAAGAACACCGATGCCGTTAAACAGACCGAGTGGTTACTCACGGAACTGGTGAAAGAAAATCAGAAGAAGGAGGACGATCTGGTGAAGGCGGAGGATGACCAAGGTGTTTCTATTTTAGCGGAGATAAGTCAGTTGACGAAGAGCGACGTGGAATCCGCGACACAAAATGAACGCGAAAAGTTGTCCGAGTTAGATTCTATCTTGCAGACCGTCAATCGGTTAGAAAACTCGTACCAGACGGAAGACGTTTTAGGACAAGTTGTTAATAAAGTAGATTCGTCCGATGAGCTAGTTGTAAGTGAACAAAAAAGTGATAAAACAGGTAAAAGTAGTGATGACGATGAACATATTAAAACGAGAGTTACTCACACTGTGGATGAGTTATGATAGATACACGCATAGATTCCCGGGATGCAAAATATTATTTTCTGAATTTTTGTAACGTCTACATTGGAGATATATTTATTTACGTCAAGTAATAAAAAATTAAGACCATATCAATTTTTATGATATTTTAGTTTTTTTTTCAAAAAACGGTTACACGTGTTTTTTAAAATTTACAATCGATGCCACGTTGAATATAAATAAAGTCGTGTTGAAAATACCCAAACGGAGAGATTACTTGTGTTTTTTTTAATATTAAGTAACATCACCTTTAATTTTGTACGGATCGTTTTACATCGTTGAAATTAATTTGCGCGCCTCATTATTTTCAAAAATAAGTTTCGCTGTTAACGATTTGTCCATTACGAAGTATATTTAGTATTCGAAGTTTCAAAACTGTTGTTAATGCATCCACATGTTCCTTGTACACTGTGTACATAAAATATTTATAAATTGTATAAAATGTAAGAAAAAATATTTTTGTATACATATTTTAAAAAACCGTTAAGTGTAAATAAACATTTTATTACTTAACATACATTCATTTTATTTGTTCACGACGATTCCCGGACCCGAATAAGCAAGAGTTTTAACAATTTTAATTTGACGTGACAGAAAAAGTCAATATTGGCTCGATTTGTTGCAATTTTTCACTCCCACCCATCGCAGACCCAAATGTTGTCGACTATAAAGTTTCTATTATTATACAGGGTGTTGCAAATTGTTGTCCGGAGAATTCTAGAGCAGATTCTACATCCAAAAATGCGGAAAAATTCCTATAAACGTGTTTGCAATTTTTAATTTCTAAAATATATTTTTTTGGCACCCTCTATTTCGAAAACGAAGCATTTGCGGACATACGTTTAAAGGAATTTTTTTCGTATTTTTGCATATTTTGCAACACCCTGTATAGTGTACTTTAAAAAAATATTTTGCTTGGGGGAAGATTCTTTATCTAAGAATAAAACGGGAACACATTTTCAGGATTAAATTCTGTTTGGGATTTTTAAACTAAAAGTTTTCATCCTAGGACTGAGTCCTGATCAGAAAATTTAACTAAAAAAATTATTATTGCGGGTGGATACTGCCTCGATCAGCATCGACTTATACCAGCAATATCTAATACAGAACTGTGTCCTTCGTAAATGACTTATTCGAAAGAATTGGATCTTGCTTCTGACTGAAATGAGCAGAATCTCGGAAAACTGAAGAACGGGTTCACCTACTGAGTCATTCATTTGCCCCGAGTCATAATCAGTGAGTCATTTTGCAAAACTCGTTTATTGTGCCCTCTAAATAGAATTATCAGAAGAATAATAAGCAGAATGTGTTTACGCAGGGTGATTCAAAACTTATACAAAAAACAAATTAAATACAATTTTATAACACAAGGTGGTATAAAAAAACGGACAAAAACTTGTTATACTTATTTACTTGGGAGAATTCTCAGAATTGTTTCCCGTAATATTATCAGTAAAAATAAGTTCACCGAGTCGGCGGGAAAGATCATACTTTCGTAATACTTCCGAAATTGTAGGTTGCTCTTTACCGGTGACCATATTGAAGGCCTAGGCATCGAATGGCAGTGATCAGTCACAGATGTAGCACTCTATACGTCTCGTGTAAAATTATAAAACTTACTTTTCTCAAAATGTTCTAAGCTCATTTTTCAAGTCATTAAAATCAAAGTTCCTCTCTATGAACTGATAAATCGTAGCAACAATGCTATTTTCAAAACGACATGATCTAGCCGATTATGATTGGTCTAAAGAATGCTCTTAGCCTGTGGAAAAGTGTTTGTATGCTTTCCTAAACTGTTTCGAAGTTGTTACCGCTTGGTTTGACGTAATTAATGTTATTTTTGGACGTTCGGTATTTTCAGAATTAATCCCAGAGTTCGAAACCTCAAAATGTCCAAGATCCAGGTATTAGACTGCCTATTATAGTCAGTTCTTACTTCATTTGTGAGGTATAGGGTGTTCAATCTTTATTTTTTTTCTAAATTTGGTAATGGTGGCCATTTTTACCATTTTCTGTATTTGTGGGCAAGTAAATATCAATAGTTTTCAAACTACTATTAATAAAGATCATTGCCGACACATTTTTTTTATAGAATTATTTCAGTGCCAGCTTATAGAGCGTTCATAAATGTTTACAAGCCATGCGACAGCCCAACTTAGCCAACCAACATTGCAGGGTTGGTACTGGTATCAAAAACTCCCTAAATCTTGGCGTCACCAATATTAATGATTCGTTTACAATGAACAATGACAAACTGTTGTCTACGCTTGAGACAATATGATCGCTGATTGGGCGAATAGAAAAATTACACCAATCACAGCCGGTGAAACAGAATGTTGTGTTTTAAAGTAAATCTGATCTTTCCATTTTAATAATTTTTAATTTTACCCAAATTTCATTGCCAACATGAAGGAAATAAAATCATTGTCCCAAACAAAATTGTTACAAGGCTTGTAATCATTTATGAAGACTGTATTTCTGTGAAACAATTTATGTCTTTTTAATGCTGAAATATGGTCCGTTTTAAATACTTTTCAATATTTTTTAAAAAACTGAAACAAAATCAAAACCCTTGTCGGAAGCTTTTCATTTTATTTTTAAAAGAGAACTCTCCCTTGAAAAATTACGGTCAGAGAAAGTTTCATATACAGGGTGTTTGAAAATAAATGCGAAATTTTTAGGGGATGTTTGACGAAGTTATTTTGTGTTTAAAATTAAATTTTTTATTTATTTTTATTAATTACTTCAGAGAATCCTGTATCCTGTATCTCGAAATCGAAGAATTTTGTACCCACATCCATATCAACTTTTTATTTTCAATGTTGAATTTTTACTTTGACCACGCTTTACTAAAAGAAACTCGTAAATAAAAGATTAACAAAACCTACAATAAAATATGTTTTATTTTTTCCTCAAAAACGGTGCATCCTACGAAAAAAATTGAAGAGACCAATTTCAATCAGAATTGATAGCGGATTTCTAAAGAAATATTAAAACGGGAAAAAGTCAGTGGCGTACCATTTATTTTTATTTAAAAAAGTTGTGGCATTCTCGCACGAACGCCACTGGTGCAAGTAGAAATATTCGGATCACCCCAAAAATGCCCATTGATCCCTCCAAAGCTTGTTTCAAATTTCGACCCAATATCTTTAAAACTCTGAATAAAAAAAAATTAAAAATTAAAACTAAAAAAACACTGTATTTCGGAAACGAAGCATATTTCGGCCTACATTTATATGAACTTTTTTTCACAAAATAACACCCTGTATAATGAAGAGTATTATAAATAATGTGATTTATAGGGAAATTTACAGAAAGAAAGACTACTCAATACTATCGTTTAATAAAAAAAATGTTATTCATTAAAAAAAAACAAGAAAATTAAAGTTATTGCATTGATTTTTGCATAACAAACAAGATGAATACACTCAATAAGATTTTAAACGTGATAAAATATACAATTTTTGCTAAAAACTCAACATCGTCCAAAGTTATTCCTTATAAAAATATCGCATGTTAAATATTTCCAAAATTTACAGCTTTCCGTGAAATTGTTTAGCCTACAAAGAATTTTACAAAGATTTCGATATGTACACTTCATTAAATTAATCCTATACACCAACAATTAAACCACAAACCACAGAAGTAAACATCCGACAAACCAGACGTTTTAGTTAAATGACTACGTTAAAGTAAACGGAAGAGGACTCACTTCACCCCATTCATCGATTTGTACTCTAAATACATCTGTTTAATGTCTGATAAAGCCTCTTCTATTTTCCTGGCAAACCGGTGACAGTCCTGAAACAAAAACTGGTATTATACAGCACGTTTCAATATTTTCATTAATATCTCAAATTAATTGTAATATTTTTATTGTGCATACTGTTGTTGGGCAGCTCTTTTTGTTAGAGATGTGGAAGAACAGTAAATCCTCTCCGGCGATGATATACGACACACCATAACCGTCGTCGGCTACAGGACCAAATCCACCGCCCGCCGATATGCAGTTGGGGTGCTTCTTCAGATCCAAACGATTGGTTTGACCGTGGGGCGTCTGGGACGTGGACAACCTCCAGGGTTCACTAAGCACTTCCTTGAGGAAGGGAGACTCCGCTTCCAGATACTTCGAAACAACGTAAAGGCAGAACAGGTGTCTGTCTATGCCCTTTCCGCACATGGCGTCCTGATAACCAGCCTAAAAAAATGTGATGAAAAAAAATATTATGACAAACAGCGCACGAGTAGCGGATTAAACCCACCTGATGCCTTTGGCAAGCGCTTCTCAGCAACCTCACTTGTTCCTCAACGGGAGTTTTACCGTCCTCCATTGCCTTAACCCAGGCGGCCGATTCGAGTGTAACGGGTCGAAGAGTTTCCGTTCGACCCTCCCTATACAATCTGGTCATGGTGGCTTCGTAGGTTAGGCAAAACTTCCCTGCGTCTCGATAATACGCCAACTGCAGAGCCATCTGGATAAACGCGTCGGGGCTGAGTCCGCAAGTTTTCATGAAACCCTTTCCATAGTCGTTGTGTTCCAGGATCCGCAGGTCTATGTCACTTATGAGATTTTGCGCCACTTTCAAGGCACTGTCGATAGCGCTGGTAGCTTCGTGTTTCAGTTCCCACTTTAGTCGGATCGGGGTGGGTGGCGTGATTTCGGGTTTGCCGATTGTGTTCCCGTCTTCGTCGTATCTAAAAGATACGTTTATGAACATATCTCCAAAGGTTTCTAATAGTTTGTGCGCACGTTGCACTTGACGTAAACTAAGTTCGCTAAAGTGACTTTGTTTTAGGAACCAGTACTCGTTAAATAAGCTAAGTAATGATTTATTTTCAAAAAGAACGGAAAACAAACCTTTAGAACTAAGTTATTACGGTGATTATAAATAATTTATGTGATTAAGTTGTTTAGAGAGTAAATCTGAGAAAAAGCTAAGATATGAGAGATGAAATCGTGATTTTACATGGTTTTAGGAAATTTTGTTAATAAAATCCAGAAATTGCAAAAGTAAACACAACACAGCATGGTTTTCATAGAAATAGTTTCGTTTTTGGACGTCATGTGTGTATGGTAAAAAAAAATAGATTTTCATTGTAATACTTCATAATAGGCCAACCAATAGAGATTTTTTGGCACACTTAAATATTACAGCAAATTTCATGTATTACCTTTTGAAAAATACTTAATAAATTAAAACTTAAGTGATTTCCCCAGCAAAGTTGTGAACATTTTTTTTTAGACAATAAAAACTGCAAAACAATGACATTTTTTTGTTTTTTTTTATAATATCTCGAAAAATAATGATGGAATCGTCTTACTCTCAATAGGATTTTTGTAGAGAATAAAAAAAACCTATAAAATGTTTTTTTGTGCGACCCGATCGGTTCATTTTTTACAATCCGAAAAAACCTCTAAAATAGACCTTTTTTCAAAAATTCATAACTCCGTTAAATTCGAAGCTGGAAAAACAACCTTGCAGAAAATGACAGATAATAATATGTAGTTTATTCGTGCGCAAGATGGTTTCTGTCCCATGCATAGTTTTTGCACAATTGTATTATAAACAAATTAGGGCCTTTTTTGCACAGCGTGGCGATTTATCAAAAATGGTCCAATTTAAATTCTGAAAACGGCATCTGAAAGTAGACGACAAAATCTCCAATTTGTATATCTCGGATTTTTGCCTGGGTGATGGGAAATATGCCAAAAATGTCCTTGAAAATCGCCCGAAAAGATCGAAAGTACGCTCGAGCCAGAGTCCTCCGCTCAACGCTTCCCCCACTACCTAACCGACTCTGGCTCGAGTGTACTTTCGATTGTTTTTCCAGCTTCAAATTTGACGGAGTTATGAATTTTTGAAAGAGGAACTATTCCACCATTATTTTTCGATATAAAAAAACCAAAAAAAATTCACTTTTTGCAGTTTTTATTGTTTAAAAAAATATATTCACGACTTTGCAGGGAAAATCACTTGGGTTTTCATTTAGTAGGTATTTTTCAAAAGGAAATACACATAAAATTTGCTGTAATATTAAAGCGTAAAACAGCCCCTTTTTTCTCTTTATTGGTTGGCATAAGTAAAACTATACACACAACAAAAGCAAGTCATTCATCAGTTACATGTGGCGACACATTACCTTTCACATGGAAAAGAGAAAGAAAACAACATGCAAAGGTTAGCAGAGGATGGGGCGAAGTGTTAGTCATTAAGGAAAATTAGATAAAATTACCGGTTTTCTAATTCGTCTGTTATAAGGTACTCCCAGCAATGAACAATAATTGGAGCATCCGCCCTGATAATTAGAGAAAAAAAAAAATAATACATAAAACAAATATTGAGGAAACCTACACCTACGTTTACAAAACAAATAAACAGGAAGAAAATGAGAAGCAGCAGGCAGTAGGACGCCAGGAGACTCCGTCACCTAGACTGCAAGGCATTAATTTAAAAAATATATATCACTTTTATTACCGAGTTTCCCACGTCTCTGACGTCATTACCCATTCCCAGAGGTGAGCCATGACTGCGGCGTCTGCCCTATAAAACATTAGATGCTGTCTGAAATTATTTAATCATCACATTTTGTCGTTTTGTTGGGTATCCTGCCACAGTCGAGTAAAAATGAAAATTATAACGGAGGTTCTGAAAACTTCAGCAGAATACTTAAAAAAAAATTATTATTAAAGAGAAGATATCAGTTTGCAAAGCTGAAAAAATTAATTAAGATGAATTAATTGTAATTTAAAAATAATAATATGTTTTGGTACTTACCATGAATGTTCGGCATTAAATCCAATACGTCCGTTGCTTCCTACGCACAACGTAAAAGATTTGTCAAACCACCTGTCATATCCTTTGCCGTGTAGTAAGGCTCTTCCATATTTATCTAATTTTGATGGGTCTTTCTGTAAAAACAAACAATATCGTTATTAGAAAACAATTTCTATACAGTAACTGTAAAGTTGGCGCAATATTACGATTTAACCAAACTTACTTTATTCCAAAAGCTGATATTAAGAGTTTTAGTCTCAATTTGAGCCAAACTAAACTGCTTAGCTAAAATAGTTTTATTTAATGAGATACAACAGAAATTCCATATGTAATACTGCCCTCAAGTTCTGTTTTTGACTACTAAATACATATCTGATTGTGACAATTGAAAATATGTTTTAGACTACTGCAACGAATGGGGTATCCGTCCCCGTTTCAGATACTATTATAAAACAAAATAATGTAAAAATTTTAACCCACATTTTTTATTTTCCCCATTTTAAGTATTAAGTCAAGAGCACCAGCCTGGACTTGTGTAACGCGATATAAACACACTATGGTTCCCGGAAAAAGGCCACGACAGATTGGCGCAAGGGACTGAATACATATACCTGCGACCCACTCCACAAGACTCTCCAACGAACGCTCGCCCCAACAACATTTCTTTTACTTCGCTTTGTTTTCAATAAAAATACTTTTTATTTACCGTAGAGAGAGAGAGAGTTTCATTTTGTGGCACACCGAAAACAACCCTCAAATGTGAATGTGAAACAAATTTGGGATACAGCTGTGACGTAGGGTCATATTCGATGCAAAGTAATAAATCATTGCCTGTCAAGGGATCCAGTGCAGTACTGTTTTAAGGGGTTTAGAAATTGAATAATTTCTTTATGAAGAGATCAGTTCACGTCTGACACCCTGTTCCTGCAAAAATTCCTTTATTCTCATTCGATTTTCCTTTGATAAGAGACCGACAATTTTTTGCTCTACTTTGCATCGAATACGATCCTACTAAAGACTGTCTTTATTGTGCCATCTTTTAATAGGAAGCTCAACTAAAATCTCATATCACTGTCATTTTTCTTTTATTTAGTAACGAAGAAATAGAGATAAGCAGTGATTGAGAAATAGAATATTTCAGTCAATGGAGAAGAGTTAATAAATTTTGTTTACTATACACAATTTTTTTTACGCAAACATCCCATTGTATTTAAATTAATATCACAATGAGAGTTACCACAATAGTTATTACAATTATCTTGAAAAAGTTCAGTCGCATTAAACCAGAATACATTTTTTATTTAAAAAGTGACGAAAAAACACGAATCTGTAGCAGAAATCCAAATATTTAAGAAACAAAGTGATCAAGACATCAAACGGAACACATCGTCCAATAAAAAACTGTTATCTATCAATTTTCATATAATTATGCTAAGAACTGTTATAGCTTCGGAAAAAATCAAAATCGGAATGATTGTAACACCCTGTATCTCTCTTAATATCAACCTTTGACCTAGATAACCTTGATTAAATCGTAATATTTTATTTGTAGTCGTTCTGAGTCCAATTAGTAGTGTGATACGAAACCTATAATCAATTAGAAATGTATATACCAACCGTGTCATATTCATACGGGAAATCGTCCAGAGCAACAACAAATGCCGCTTTCTCCACGGCATCCAAGGAAGTTTTGTTAACTCCTTTGTTGAATAACATCTTCCTTATGTTGGCCCAGTGTGTCCTTTCGCCGGCCGTAAGGGCAGCCAATTTCTCCTCACCGGGCAGTGGCTCTGACGTGTCATCGAGAATTTGTTGAATTTGACTGCAATAACATTTTTTATACTCTCGATATTGAAAAAATAAGATTAAAAATTTCTGCTTACACTTGGATTTCTGCAGGCTTCAAAATCCTGCGTTTGTAAATAATGACCTTGAAGTATCTCCCTTTGTGATAAACGACAATGTGATTCGAGTCCGCCAAGTGACAAATCTTATCTGTTTCTGTACCAGGAATCCTGGTGGTGTTAAAAATCCTTTCGTACTGCCAGGAACACAGCGGAACCAACCCTTGCACTAGGATAGGTTCCAATTCTTGTCTCTCGACCAGCCTCCTGAACACGAGTAAAGAGTTTATGGTGGACGCCGCCCTAGCTGCCTGATTACGGGTCGGGTGTAATAAAAGTGCGTCGATACCGTAGAAATTTGAGTTAATCATGAGAGGCGATCTTCCACGGAGGTAAACGTACTCTTCCCACCAATCGGAAACGTAGTTTGAAGACCACCAAGACTTCAGGATTAGGTAACGCTGCAATTTTTTACTAATGCCGTTTTCAAATTCGGCAGCTAGCTTTTCCATTCTCTTGTACCTTTCATCGTCCAACAGAGGTCTAACACTTCTTAAGTACTAAAAATATAATTAACAAAAATTAGAATATATTATTCCCAGCACAGTAACTAATTAACTTTTAACTTAATTGCTGCAAAACTACTCGAGGTGAAATATTTTTTTTTACCCTGGTCATAGTTTCATGCACTGTCGGTAACGGTAGCCTAGGCAAGGATCCCTGGTAGCTGTACAACCTAGGAGTGTTCCATCCATTAAAAACTTTTACCAGTACCAACCAGAGTTTTGTTTTCGTTGAAATCTGAGCACCTCTGGCTCTCGACTCGTACATCCAACCTTTGTATATAAAAAGAAGCTTCAGTATATACCGGAGTATGTATATTGCAGTTAACCAGTATATTAAAGATGTTAAAAAACATGCTGCTAGTTGCCACGGCAAAGTATTTCTAAAAAAAAATACAAAATTAAATTAAAAAAACTTGCAACATAAAGGATATGCTAAAATAGTTGATTTCCTTTATGGGGTTTTCTCAAAATATTTATTAAATCAACAATGAAATATGTAAAGTACATGAAACTGGAAAGTGGCGGCTAAAGATGCACCAATTTTTTTTTAAATTAGCTAATATAACACCAGACTCAAACAGTACAATTTTTTATATGTTGTTTTCTATTTAACTCCTATACCTCCTTGGGTGGACAAATAAAATATTTTAAAACACAATCATTTTCATTTTATTTAATTAAATTCATTATATCATCCTATATCAATCAGACGCTATCCTCCTTTTCACGTGACAGTTCCATTAAAGGTGTAATTTGCTTTGCATCTCACAAATATTAAAGTTATTAAGAAATAAGGACATCAAAAAAAGATAACAGAAAAGCGAAATATTTCTGGTGTGGTATAAATTACGCGCACGTTATTATTATTGTTAAAGTTCCTTAGATTATAAACAGAATTCGAGTCATTCAAAAGTTCAAGATCACGTCGCTGTAAACAAAGTGTTTATTTGGCACATAACAACAATATTATATCACAAGAGAAATTGAATTTTAATAAACTCAATAGCTGCTTTCAGTGCTTTCTTTCGGTTGCCGTTTTTGGATCTAAACGCGTTATGATCCCAAAATCATGTTCGTAGTTGTTTTCTAGTTTCCGCATCTTGTCAAATTATATGATCAGGATCGGCAATCCCCTTTCCCCTATGAATCAAACTTTTTCTGTGATTCGAACTTTTGATCACGATCACATATTTAATATAACCTTAAAATTGTAGTGGTTTCATTTTTTTGTAAGAAGACACTTACTATTTTTCTAGTACGTGTTTGTCTGATCCTGATTCGTGATCATGATTCGAAGCTGAGAGTGAAAGAAAACGGCTATTGGTTAAATTCATATTCATATTTAGAAGAGTCAAATACCCGAGAAACTTCTAAGAGTAATCATTTTCTCGTAATGTTCACTTCTATTACTTTTTTGTATGTTGGTAGTGTTGGTGCTATTTAAAAATGTTTAATAACAACGCTGGTAGAGACTGAAATTATATTACCCACCTCTTTACTGATTTAATCGGAAGACACTTACCCTGGCAATGTTCTAATAATTCCACTAGTCATATTCAGAGGCACTGAGTATCCATTCAAGTGGACAGCAGTCACTAATCCTATTAACACACATAAATATCTATAATGCCCCGGGTACACGCCATTGTGTACACTATTCTGTAACAAAAAAAATATGTATACAAACATGATAAAGCTATCACGGTAATATATCAATGTTGGGTATATATTGTACTCGGTAACGATATTACCTTAGGTTGTTATTCTGTGCTATAACTAGAAAATACGATTCCTAAATAATTTCATTAAACCGTGTTTGCAAAAATTACGGACATAATACCAGAAAATATTTATTGACATTTCTCGATTTCTCTTTTGAGTACTTAGGTGCCACTCTGCAATATTAAAAAACTATTACAAAATGGGGATTTATTTTTTTTTTAATTTAAAGCCGATGTTTTTGACTGTATTAGACATGTGAAAGTGAATAATTAAAACAAATAAAGCAACGGTTTAGACCCGTATAATTATCGGCTTCGATTGTGTCTGAGGAAGGTAGTGGGAAAGACAGCGAAACGTCAAGGAAAATTACATGATCTTGGTTACAATCGGAAGAACTAAATGTGTGACTGTGAAAACCTACACACTATCAAGTAAATCACTTGTTGAAATGAATGACAATATTTACATTTCTCAGAGTAATGTTAAGAAGACTAATTTCCACATAGGGAACCGTAATTGAATTTTTTTAGAATGTCATTAATATGGTGACTTCTATTTTTTGAATTTTTAAAGTATTATTAAATATTAATTAAGATCAGAATTAAATGTGTGAAAAATATTTGTAACTACAAGATTAGTGTTTGTTTACACATAAATTGTTCCGATAAAAAAATCGTTTAAACAACAGCTGATAAATGCGTCTGACGTTTTCCAGACGAGGTTTGTTTTGACCAAATTTAGAAACAACTTAAACAATGGAAGCTGGTGTTACTGTCATTGAAACCAATTTGGAAAGCAGTTAGATTTATATAGCGTACGCAATTATTGTTGAGAAAGTTGTAATTCTAATACATATGTACATATATAAGAAAGTCAAGTTCGCGAGGAAAAAAATTACACTAATTTGTTCATTAATTGTTTATAAATTAAGCAGCTGAATAATAAAATCATTCCTGGTAAGTGTACATCTCAAAAACAATTGAAAATATTTAATGTTACTATTAATATCCTTTTCGTAGATTAAATTTATATGCATTCATTAAAAATTTAACTAGCACTTAAATATTTTTCCTGATTAATGTTGTTCGACTTCTCCAAACGTTATTTATCAACATATGGGTTTGAGGCAACACTAATATAATAAATTATGATAAAATTCTAGTTCTGCCATTTGAGGCAAACCCAGTTCAAACAACTTCTAATTAGAGCGATTAAAAAAGTAGTTTGTATAGCTATTAAACTTTAATCTGTTTCATACACGTACTGCTAATAATTATAGTGCGATACTTTATTATTTCAGTTTTTTTTTTTTCACAACGGTGTTTGAGTGTCACTATCATAGTTCAATAAAAATCAATGCGAGAGATTTTAAATGTTTTCAAATAATTATTTTTCCCTCCTATTTCAAAATAAAGATGTTAATTTTAAAAATATTACACAATCGCACTCAAGTTTGAATCTATATCTGGCCGATATAGTAACAGAGTTCAGAAACACAAAATTGCATTAAATTTGCACCTGCTTTAGTTGATCCTCCATACAGATTACCTAGTAGGTATAGAAAAAGTAAACACATTGAAATGTATTTAACTACCACTTATCTCTGTTAATTGTCTGTAAGATAAAATTCATTTCTAGATTAATTTTGAATGTACATACCTACTAAACATAAAACTGCAATTTATACAGTTTCATGGTTAACGGCATTATATTTCAATAGCGATTCGATGATTTAGTTCGCTTTATTCCACAATATCGATGAAACAAAGGAGCAGGCGATTGCCTCACATGGGAAATACCACATAAAACAGTTCGAAACAAACAAAAACATTAACTGAATATTTGCAGCCTAAGCGAAGTCCAAAAAGTAATTGTAAATAATCTAATTATAAATTATTTTCAACAAACAAAAATATTTCGCTTAGTAACCAGTACGCTCAGGCTGTGAAAGTTTTTTATTCACTTTTTATCATTTTTAAGTAGATAAGATAGTAATTTTTAAATCCGGTTACACGAAATGTAGATATTGAATTCTATACATGACACGGGTACTTAAACTAAATGAAAATGATGCAGCAAAATTCCGGACACATTATTTATGGACGTATACAATTATGAATCTCTAATAATTGCATTAATGACATTATTTATATATCGCCGGTATCCATAATATTAATTATGTTTTTTCCAGCAGACAAATTATGACGTCATTAAAAGCGAAGCAATAATTAGAGAAATACATAGAAGTTCATTCTCTCAAAACTAAAAGCTATAATGACAACTAGACTAATTAAGTCTTATATATGATAACAGAACAAATTTTTTTGGACTTTTTCGATGAGGGAATAAGACGTTCAAGGATTTTCATGACATGGCTTGTTCGAATGGTCATTAAAAATGAAAAAACCGCGGGGTGCTATTAAATTATAGGGTTGAAATTGAAGATAGGGGTGAAAATGTACTTTTGCAGTTTTTTAAATATAGCACGAAAACGAAGTAAAATTTCGGTATAGTTCATAGGAAACATTTTGTAGAGAATTGAATTTCCTATCGAAAGGGCTCATTTCAAAATTTTAAAAGCAAAATTGCATGCAAAAAATCCTTAATAAACAATTAAAAAAAAAGAAAAAATTAGATTTTTTTAATTTTTTTTTACTCTAATTTTTCTTTTTAGTAGAAGTAGGCAAAGAAAATTGCTTTACAACGAATTACTTAATAAAAAACTATTTCAATAGTTTTATTTGTTAATAATAAATAAAGATTTTCCACAGCTGTATGAAACTATGAGAGATTTTTCAAATGAAATTACAGTTTATCATAATATATTTCTTTTTTACTATCTCAAATAAGGAAATTTATAATAAATATATATAAATGATTTAATTTAAAAGTTACTTATTAATTATACTCAAATATTGTTTAGAATTTAAAAACATTTAGATTTGTAAAATTATTTAATTTCAAATGTATTTCAATTCTGTTTCGTTACAAGTCTACAAGGTCGACTTTTACCGTTACTTGTTTGTAAAAATAATAATTATAATCATTACTATGTTAAAAACGACGAAAATCTAAAAAATATTTAAGTTTGACCGGTTATAACAGTCAATATTAGTCCAAAAACTTTTGAAACTGCATCATTTTGAAGGGAATCTCATCTAGTTTTTTTGTACAGCAATTTTCTTTGCCTACTTTTACTAAAAATAAAAAATTAAGAGTAAAAAATTAAAAAAAAAATCCATTCAAATTGTTTATTAACGATTTTTTGCATAAAATTGTCCTTTTAAATTTTTTAAATAAACCACTTTGATGGAAAATTCAATTATCTAACTAATTTTTCTTATGAACTATAGCGAAATTTTGCTTCGTTTTCGAGATAGAATTAAAAAACTAAAAGGGGTGCATTTTCACCCCATCTCCAATTTCCACCCTCTAATTTAATAGCACTCCGCGTTTTTTTCATCTAAAATGATCCTTTGAACGATTCATGCAATAAAATTGCTTGAACGTCATAGTTCATTTTAACCCTGTTTTTTTTGGATATAATCAATAGCTTGTAACTTGAACTGCAGACTTTACTGTAATTCCTTTACACATGGAAGTTTACCCAGCAATGATTGAATTAACAATACTTCATACATTAACATTAGCTGCTTGGTAGAGCTTACTGAATTGAATACTATTTCTTCAATTATTATAGCTTATAGTCGAGTAAACATGTTCCTAGGCCTCGATGAAAAGGTTATTCGTCCTAAAGGGTAAAAATAGGACAACCTCTACAAAGTAAATATGTAATGAATTCTGTAATAATTATGGACTAGTTATTCATATTCAAACTAGTTATTCGAATAATTAATTGTTCCAAAAGGTCAATCATTAATGATGGAAAATATTCATTAACGTATGAACATTTGAATAATAGAGAATGGTAAGCAGTCTAGGTAATCAGAGTTCAAAATTATTACATACAACATACAAGTAATTAAACAATTATTTTAATGTTACATTATAAGAAGAACACTGGTATGAACATGTGTAATTATCTATTTATTCATGTTATTGGAAACTAATCTGTTTTTTTTTCTCTATTCTTTGAAAAAATTAGATATAAGTACTTGGTCGCTAACATTTGTTTGCTATAATTAATTTAAAGGCATTCTTAATCTAAATTAATGTACAGGTCATGAAATATGGATGCGCAGTGGACAGAGGTATCACCTACTTGCCCTGAATCATTTGTGTATTGTGTATTGTCTTTGCGGGTCCACTATTTTTTAAATAATATTAAAGAAACTTCGATCCACACCCGTCCCATGTTGGGAATTTATTTTTGTTAAAATCCAAGCGAAAATGTCATCCTTTTTCCTCTGAACGTATTCTCTTTTTAATTTAGCGCGGTTTTGAATTAATCTTAGACTGTTATTTAAGATGAATTCGCTATGATTTTTTAATTTTTATCAATATAAAAATACAGTAGAGTTAACATTACATGCTTTTTAAAAACTCATAGGTATTAGCAAAGTATAATAAATAAAAAGAAGCAAATACTTTTGCTAGAATATTCCTATATTTCGTTACAATTATTATAATCATAAATATTAGGTAGGTATGGTATGTGTAAGCTGTACTAGATTGTAGGGGCAAAGGTAAGTAGAACTCATAGACAAGTAGAACTGATATGCATATTACTTAAATGCATATTTTATATCTTTCTTTCAATACCTCATAATTTTCATTAAAATGATTTTATTAAAAAATATGGAAATGTCAATTAAAATTTAACAATTTAAATTTGCACCATATTTTTGCAACTTGTCGTTCTCTCCGAATAAGTATTATGTAAAAAAATAAAATATAGGTGTGCCAAGTGAGAGATAATTTGATTTTACAATTTTTTTTTCATTTTTACGATTATTTGGTTATTTAAAATTAAATTAACATTCTTTCAACCATACGTTTTACGTTAAAATTTAATTCTATGATTAGTAATCGTTTAATTTTAATCGGCTACTCAATTTCAGTTCAAACTAGTGAACCTCATCATGCATGACCTATTCTAACCAGTGTCAACTTTATATAACACCATAAAATCACGCAGCAAAAACTATAAAGCTAAGGTGAACTACTGCAAACGTTAGGATATTTGTATTTACTTGATATTATATTAAGACTGTTGCGGTGTATATGTATAGTCCATTTACTACAACTTTGCAATGACGTCAGAGTACGAAATGATACAGTGTTGCCAGGCTGTAAATTTTTTCAGGATATTTCAGAAATTAATTTTTGATAGCGAAAGTCCATTTAAAAGTAATTTTCAATATCTATTGCTTTTTTTTTAACCGCTGTTAGTTGTCGATTAAGGAAATTATACTTTTGCATCTCACTGAATATTAAATGTCATTTGAAGCAAGAAGCTTATGGGACCCGACAACGCTTAGTTTTTGGTAGTGATATGGGAACACTACGTCAAAAAACGTGTTTAACATGACTAAAACGTATAATATGATACAAATGAAACTCGGCACAAGTCTTTAGATTTTGGAATTTAAATAAATTTAATTAAATATTAAGAGCTTTAGTTTAAATAGTATATTGCGAGCAGCTGCCAAATATTCTGAAGGAGAATAATCTCTGCTCATAATTTAGAAAATAAATTGATTTTAAAATATAATCTATAATCTAAACCAAGTACATTACATGTATACAAAAGCATTTTATGACTTTTATTAATAGTGTATATTATTAATATCTGAAAAATATTATTTAAAATGTTGAAGTAGGTACTAATGAAAGGGCGAAACAGTAAGTAGGTATACATTTTTATTTTCTGATAATCATTTAAAATAATAATTTTATAATATATCCGCTGTAGTACTACCTGTACTATGACTATCAAAAAGCTTCATTTGACTGTAGCTGTAGCACTAACAGTTTCACAAATATTTTTAAGTTAAATAAACAATTCTCATAAAACTCATTCAAATTTTTCTAATGTTTACGTTATTTCATACAAAGTTCGTATAAATTTGAGAAATTTTCAAAATTCGTAGAATGCACACCAATTTCAAAGAACGTTTAAATATACTTAATAATTTTCTGGAATGTCTTGATTTCGTTTATGACTTCATCGATAAATGAATATATTTAATTGATTGTCAAAGATTAACGATCAGTTTTCTTTGTAACACCATGCACAAGTGCTTCATTTGAATTAAAGTCCCTACTGTATACATTTTCGTATCAGTATAAAGACAGGAGCTCTGGAAGATAAGGGAAATAATTGCAATGTCTATGCCAAGCGTACTGGCTTCTAATTTCACTCAATTTTTCAATTACTTGAATCAACTTTTCCACTATGATGAACACACTTTACATATATTTATTTACAGCACTTTTAGAAAGTTCCGTTAAGCTAATTTATACATTAAAAAAATCCACCCTGGAATGCTTGAAAGGTCAGTTGCACTGGTTGCAATTGACAACTACCGTTTCATATTCTATACATTTTTAGAAAATTCACAATAATTGCAGTTACAATGTACTATTAACAGAGAGAAAAAAAAATTGTAGGCATAGTTGCCATACAATACCTATAAATAAACGTCGAATATTATCTCAACTAATGTAAATAAAAAATTCACCTTTTGATCTATCAACAAATATAATAATTTTATACGTTCTTTTATTACTGATACATCCCACTCTAGTATTAACCGCTTGAGTGCACTATTGTGCAGTCCAATTCGAAGGGTTTTGTAGTATGGTGGAAACATGTTGGTTTCGAATATCAAGGACATGCAAACCTAAATTTTACGCATCAGAACACAAAGTGAATATCCTTGGACCTTTCTGACCGTGAAAATACTCTTAAATCGTTTAGACAAAACGATGGCCTCGATTAGCAACGTTTTAATTATTTTTTTTTATATATATTTGCAAATATTACACAAAATTTATTAACAATTAACCGTCAGTAAAAATAGAATCGGAAATCAGCAGTTTTTTTCATTGCCTACGTTTCAGAAATTAAATAGCATTTCGATTTTTTAAAACAGGAAGTACTAAAAAAACTCACTTGAAACCTAGCTACCCGCTTCTTCCACGACCTGACGCCAGATTGCCACACTAGATGAAGAACTTCCCTGTCAAAATTGACATCCCATCCCTCGTGGGTTATGGAGAATGAGAAGGCAACAGCAGAATGGGCTTCCGCCATATTGGTTTAGCTGAAACAAAAATAATACAACTTCAGTACCTTCAGATTACGTTTTCAGTTTTTCTTCTTTTCTTCTGCGAGAAATGTAAATAATTGGTTATATTAGAGTTGTTTACTCAAGAACTATATTAAACGAATCATTTCTCAAATAATAAATAATTAGAGAGCTCGGATAGTAACAGAAAACTAAAGTCGGTCAGAATAATTTTGTGTTACTTTCGAGGATGCTGGTTAAAGCGGACATATCCAAAGGTATTTAACAGGGCGTATACAGTATGTTACGATATTTCCACATAGGGCAGAGTTTATCATTTTACGGAAAAAATTGAAACTGCGAAATTTTTACAAATCTACTACACAAATATGCAAAAACAACTGTTGAAGAAGGTCGCCATATGCTGCTGAACATTATTCAGCATGTCGTTGAACTCCGCAAACTGAATTATATCATCTGTGGTCTGCCGTATTATTTTTTGTACCGTCTGAAACAAGCGTTCTCGCAAATTTTTCAATGGTGTTCTGTCCAATAGAAACTAAAAAAAAAACTCCAAAAAGATCATATGGAACTAGGTATGGTGGGGGAGATGGCCAACGGGGCCGCTTCCGTCGATCCAGCAGTCAGGGCAAGTAGAATATTCCCTATCCCCATATTTAAAGATTTGTTTTGTTTAACTTTCATATTTTAAAAACTAGACTTGCTCAGACTACCCGAATTCAGGGAAATTATAATAGGAAAAGTTAATTTTGCTCTAGCACTTTGCTTACGATTGGAACTTCTGAGGAATACTATAATTCAACATGGTTACCGTTATGCATGGCATACTGACCTGAGAGAAAGTGCAATAAAAAAATATTAAATTTCTACTTGGGAAAAGACACTTTCCCAGACGAAAGCTAAAAGTTCGGTATGAAAATGTTCAACAGTACCTATACAATTTAACCGCCTGAAAGTTGCCAGAACAGATTGCAGATGCAGAATACGAGAGTGACGCCGCTGAACCTCAAGGAGCCGCGCCAGGCAACGTCGTTCTCCGAAAATCATCTCTATTTTATTAATATTAATAATATAATTTTAAATTATAGTTGACGCATATGTCTTTAAATATTCATTTCTAATCGATCGATACTTACCAACAACCCTATCGATGTGATTTCAGCTGCGTACATACTGATATGCCGATGCCGTTTGTATAGCTTTGGCGAATATTTGGCAACTGAAGACGTGCTTCCGAATGCATCGACATGCACCATCCACACGATACGGCATCCGTTTGACAAATCTTTGCCGCCTTAATAGTTACATTTTGCGATAACATAAACTACGATTTTAATAATGTTTATTGGAATATCCCGAACACAATACGTTTACAGTTTACAGCTGCACAGGAAACAGACATTTTAGCATACAGGAGACATGAATCAGTTAGCAAATTCCAACAAAATTCCAATATGTTATGTTCACCAAAAGGTAACATACATATTTGTAATTGTTTTGCTTTTATAATAGAGACGCAAATAATAAATATCATCAACTTTTGAAAACTTAATTTTTTTGACAAGTGAAACGCTAAAAGCCGAGCTCCAACCTTTCCTAGCTCTCTTTCTCACTAATTAGTTTGTACACATTTGTAGGTAGTTAATTAATAACCCCTCACTACTCTCTTTGACAACACTTTTTTTTATTAAATTATCATAATTTTACGCAGACATATAGTAAAAACAGTTCGTGAAAGCAGCATAGTTTTCAAGTTTCAAGGAAACTCTGATAAGATTATTGTATCAACACACCTACGCTATAATACTTAGGCATTAGAAAATTTCCGTAGAATATAAGCCAAAATAAATTATACCTATATATATTTAAACATTAAAAAATTTCTGTTACATATAGGTAAACAAAAAATTTTCCAAACAGAACCACTAGGTAGGTAATTGTTATTTGCTTCCGTTGAGACAAAAATTAATACAATAGATTTATACAGGACGGACTGATGAACACATCCAACTTAAAAAAAATATGTTTTTTGAAATTTGTTTTTAGGTTTACCAAATAAGTCTTACAAGTGCTTGTCAAATATATTCAACAAAAAGACTGCTTCATTTAATAAAACGAAACTGAATTATTTTAACCCAACCTAAAAAGTGATACAATGAAGCTGCTAGAATAATATAATTTTAATAATACGTTTTATACCCTAATAAATATAACTGTATTTAATCTAACGAGGAATCTTTTACTTCTAGTTGACAAACAAGCGTCAACTTTCACACAACTGTGCTTATTGCTATCTTTAAACAGCAAACAAACAGCATTTTCGAAACTTTAGACTTTAAACTAGGATCAGTTATTTTTTGCGTCTATGATCAGTTTAAATAGATCTAAGATTATCTGTACGATACCGGGGCTATTTATACTATAAGATTGTGCAAAACGGCAAACAAAATTACTTCGTAATATTACATTGAACGCCGGCACTTGATAAAAAATAACATTTAATAACAAATTAGCCGTTCGTTTTCAAATAAAGAACATTGTTTTCATTATCCAGACGAGTAGATAGATATAATTTTTTAAATCAATCAGTCTGATGGAAATATAAAATAAATGAAATCTTTTTAGATTGCGTGATTTTACGTAAATTGTAATCAAATGTTTAAGTTCAAAATTGGAGCAAAGCGGATGTTTATTAAATTACCATAAACATTTAACTGATTGTTTAATACATACTGATATAACTAAAGTCATAGTCATATCATATTTACTAATAAAAAGAGTAATTAAATCTGTAACATTAAATATATAGACTATTAAACGCCAAAAATGATTCCTTCACAATAAAAAACAAAACAGACTTTTAGCTGTAATCAGCAGAGTAGTTGTTTCTCACAGTATCATAAGTTCAAAGTATGTGTTGCAAATTTTTAATATTCCTACTTCTTGTAACTGTACTGACCTATTTATTTCTCAGGGTTGTTTGCAATTAATATTAAATACATAAGCGTGATATATATTTTTTATATTTATTTACAGGTTTAGCAATTACGTTAAACCAAATGGAAGGTTAGTTATCTACTCGTACTTTATAACCTCATAGTTTGTTATAGTCTTGTTGTTCTTGAACCTTTTGATCTTGGAATGGCCGCTGTTGTTACACAAAGCAAGTAGAATATTTTTATTATTCGCAGGCGATACTTATCGCAATAAGTGGATTGATGGAAATGTGTAGCACTCAGTGTAGCAAGTTGTTGGATGATCGATGATAAGAGGCATATTTTTGAATGATTATTATAAGTTGTTCGAGTTTTCAAAAATATTTGCCAGTCCGAAATTTCAAACAATAACACTAACAATATAAGTAACGTATATAACTTAAAACAAAATTAAGCATAAAACTCCTTCCAATTTACAGGTTTTTTGAAGTAAAATAAAAATATCACAGAAAAAATGTGATCTTTGAAATTGTTAAAAATAGTATTTGAAAAATGTGTACCTTTCGACAAATCTATGCTGAAATCGAAAACAATACGTACAATTTGAACTTCGTTCCAATGAACTATGAATCCAGTCAAAAAAGTAGATTTAAACATATCGAAAATAAATTTTGAGACTGAAAAGAAATTTCAAATATGTTCTATCTACATAGTTTACTACGTAAATAGTTACAATTAATTTGTGTCACTTTGTACATATAAATAAAAGTACTAATGATTAGAAAATCACTGATTTTTTTTATTCTAATATACCAATTCAAGGCAAAACCCATGAGAGGTCAACGTATGCTTAAGTAACTTCAAACGCTTAAATCCTGCATAAGTAATATATTTAATGGTGTAATGAACTTCCGATTCCATTAACTTTTTACAATAAAAACTTTCATAACGAAGCACATATTTTAAAACTTCGAGCAATTTTCAAAGCGAAAAGATTTGAAGATTTAATTAAAACAGTACTGAATTTTTCAGGTATAAATTAGTAAATTATTTATAGAAACTTGCACTACTGAAGTCAACGAACTGCACATATCTTGGCGAACTTGCTGCACAAGCAATGGTGTCAAATAATTAGTACTACACTGTCTGATTAAATTAGATTTGAGCCAGAAATATATCTGAAAAGATACTTCCGAAAGAGTTCGGTTTGAAAATCCAAATCCGTTCAGTTTTATGCAACTAATTCCCTTAGGGATTTATAAATAAAATAAATAAATGTTGTTCATAATTATGATGCCCTAGCATAAGAAATATGCGTTATGTCATTCGTACCAAATCAATTAATTAAGTATAGTTCTGATTTTAACAATATGTATACAAAAAGACACGTGATATCCACTTAGTAATATTAATTTTAAAAAATTGCTTTCTCCTTTGGCCACCTACATCATCAATTAAGTGATACTTATTCTTGTTTCCCATTTTACATCCTGTTTGTGAAAATATCGTTTCCTGTACTGTACCTACGTATTCCTGTGATAGATATTTTCATTCCTTATTGATCTTACTCTTACTCAGTGGTAAAATTCATTATCTCATTAACATACAAAATTATTTTAGTTATAGATTAGAAAAGCTGGAGTATAATAGGTATCGGTTTACGACCCTTGATCTGGCGTACCTACTTGATCTAAATTTTTATCACTACGCATACGAGGGTCAATCACCGTTATCCTCATTTTGGGAGGTGTGTCGTATTATTTGATAATAAAATACTACAGTGGGACCATTTTTGATAAGGGTGCCACGCAGGGTCAATAATAATATCATTTAATTGATTAATATAGCTTCTACATGGTCATTATTAGTCCCATCTGTTTAATAATAAATACTATGGAGGATACACACCTACAATGGTAAAGATGCCAAGGAATATTTTTGTAATAAATTTAGGAGAGCTAGAGAAATTGCCACTGAAGAACTGTTGTATTCTTATGTACTTTCCATAAAGACGCACTTTTCAAGCATGTAGATTTATAACGTCTATATCAAAGAAGAGCTGCTACGCTATGTTAAGTACCTAGTCATATAATACTGATTATTGAGATCGTAATTTTAGAAATACAAAATCATCTTAAAATATAAAACGATGCAAGTAGCTGAAAATGTTTTTGCTTCACTTTTGGGATAAATTCGAAAAATGTAACATTTTAGCAAGAAAATTAAAAAATTATTGTAAAGCACGTCACAATAATTTTATTTTTTAACTATTCTGAACGCAAAGAAGATAAAAAAAACTCGTGTTTGAAATCATTGGAATTTTAACAATTTTAGTAGGTTCGTATATAAACAATAACTTATAAATTAATTTATTCAAGTATATATTAAATTTTGCAAACTTGTAGCAACAATCAGCAGTTCTAGAAGACTACACAGCGTTATATAAAAATTGTTTCCCGAAGCAATAATTAATAGGTATACAAATTATATATACTGTCATAAATTATCAAAAGTTAATATATCAAATATTAACACCTTATTGCGTCAAACGTATTTAAAGAACAACGATAATAAATAAAAAATAGGTACTCATTTACAAATAAGAGGGTACACCATGCAAACAAACAACTTTAATGTCGTCAAAAGACCTGTTTTAGCTTATCGAAAGACGGCTAACATTAAACCAATTAAACCGTATTTCTAACAATATAGAATTAGCACACAGAAATAAGTAATATTATAAGTACTTTTGCTTTGCTACTATTATGTACAAACATATTTGAAATGTGATAAAATCTTGATAACGTGAGATGTGGGGTACGTGGGTGAGAAAATAGACTGAGAAATTTAGAGGTATAGTGCGAAGTCCAAAGTCCAAACTTCAAATTCTAGCCAAAGGTTATCCTGCTTAATATAGAATAAGGAATTATTTCCGTGTTCCTATGAATGTTACTAGTAATTATCATAATTTTTAATATCTACTAAAATCTAACGACCGTCTGTTACAAGTTTAGGTCAAAATATTTTTATTAATGTGCCTCTCGCTGTAGTCACAATAAAAAATACTGATAAACAATTCATCTATAACAAATTATCACAAATAAACAACATACGTAAACTGTTTATCTTTTACATTAACAGAAGTAGGTGTGTATTATTAAATTATTTCTATTGGTTCGCTTTTCAGACATGCATTTACAGTTATTTACTGTTTACAAAAATATTTCTCACAAATTCCGTTAATAAAATGATTTATTTTTATTATAATTAACAATCAGTGTCTGAAGGAATGAATATTTAAAGTTTCAAACATTGGAATTAGCATTAAATATTCCATTTTAATTAGCAAAAAATTATAAAATACAACTACCTATATAGGTACACCAGTTAGATTCTGAACAGAAGATACCTGTGGGTACCTGTGATGAAATGGTTAGTTAATAGGTATTTAAATAAAAAAACTTACCACAATTTTAATCCAAAATTAATAGAATATAAATAGTTGTTTCACGTAATATAAAAGTATGGGATTTCTAACTACCAAACCATAATATTAATCCAGCAGCAGGTAAATATTTTAATACCAGTCCCAAATAACTAAAGAAAGATGGTAGCAGAGTAAAAATTACAACTAACTACCGCCACACACCACCGCAAACGCAAAACAAAACTGTTTCTTCCGTCCAACGACTCCGAATGAGACTCGGAAAAAACGGTCTGTTGTTAACTACGAAGCCTAATCTCTCCTTGTTTTCTGCACGAGCACGAGGTATGCTATCATCTTTTTCTTTTTAGTGTTGTGCGCGAACGCGGATAATAGTGGCGGCACATGTAGGGCAGGAATTGGGGTCAAAATAGAAGCAAGCCTTAGCTGACCATCTTTAATATCCGTAGCAGAAGCTTAGGTCACAGCATAGATAAAATATATATATAGGAATGGGTCACAGTAAGATGATCAAAGCAAACTGCCTCATTTCTTATTTAGAAGAAACCTAAAAATAATTGTATTATTTCTATTGTTACAAAATAATTTTTTCTATATTTTTTTTAATTGAACAAAAATTCTCTATATTTTCAGAGAGTGAAACAGTTAGATATATTAATTAAAAAAAAACGATGATTTACAAAAATAAAAAGTAATTAATTTTTCTTAATCCACAGGAAATAAAATAACAATAAATTAATATCAGGTATATCAAAACATAATTTCATGTTATAAAGAGCTCAGAAATATTATTTTAATAAAAATATAACAAATACGTAAGAAACTATTATAAATTTTTTATTAACAATGAATAAATTAGAGGAAAATAACAGCAAATTTCCCCTGACTGTGACAGATATAAATATGGACGTCCTTATAGCTGTTTTACATTGACAATTTATTCATCAATAAATTGACGAAGTTCTTGATGAATTAATTCACGAATTTATTGGTAAACAGTGTGGTTTTACACTGCTACAGACTTTGTCAAGTTTTTTGACGTCTGAATCAATTTTACCAATGAATCAAAGAAGCATTATATTTCAAAAATGTCACACCTTTCCACTCATAATTGTATTGATACAACAGCGGTATCGTATCTGACACATATATAAATATTAGTTTTTGTAAGTAACAATCAGTAAAAACAATGCAAAACTAGTACGACGCCACACAATTATTTACATATTTCAATAACATAACTTCATTACTGATCTGAGTTTGGAAATCTGTTGGGTTGGTACTTCCGAACTTCACGAAGAAATTGATGTAAATTAGAACATGCTTTAATTCGTCAAGATCTTGATGAATAAATTCATGAAGTTATTTGATAGCAGATTTGGTGCATTACACTTGTCCAATTTCTTGATGAAGCAACTTCATGAATTAATTGACCAATAAATTGTCAATGTAAAACAGCTAATAGAAATTTCACCCAAGAAGTAGATAGAGTAAGTAGAGTCCTAAAAAAATAATAAAAAGGGGAGAATTAACAAAAAAAATAAACAATGTGACAAAAAACACCGCATATTAATAGGAAGTTTAAATACAATCTCATAATTCTCATAGGTATATTGTCCTCCTTTCATTTACTAATAGGCAGACAGAGAAAAGTAACCTAAATAAGAAGTTTTCTATAATAAGATCTACGGGGCGTTACGTCGACGCCTTTAAATCTGACTAATTACGTATGTGTTTTGCATTTATAACTTTTATTACCAAATAATAAAAATTTATACAATGTATAACAAAATTCGGCAATTTTTTGTTAAGCTCTTGAGTTAAAAAAGATATTTATGAAATGGAAAACACTTGGGCTCTAATTTGACTAAGGATGAAGACAGTCATCAGCTATGTTTCATTTGATAATACAAAATTTCGATAGACGAGCCGGCGAAGCAAGAAGAGCGCCAGAAGAAAGGGCCCTAGCCGGCGGGGCCCAGCCAGGACAAAAGGAGGTCCCACAAAGCGCCTACACCGGCCGCATTTGCGGTCGGGGTAGACGACGGATGGGGCCCACCTACGAAGGCTGTCCAGGCCTACACGAGATGAGGCAGGATAAAGAGGGATAATCCCCCTCGATCCCAAATCATTGAGGCCAATTTCTAGCCATAGAATAATGGCGCGGTGAGCATTTTCATCAGTAGGCCTTCATGCCAAACCGTATCGAAGGCCTTTGCGACGTCCAGGAAGACAGCACCAGTGTACTGTCCCCTGTTGAAATTCCTTAACATTTTAGCAGTAGATGTCGCTCAGTACAGAATTGTAATCACATGTAATGAACTCACCTATACGTCATCTATATACACAGTCTATACATTTGTTGTTCTTTGGTTCCTAATTGTCAATTTTCAGTTTTCTTTTGTTCTGTTGTCAACTGTCACTTGTCAGTGTCTGGTATCAAATCATCAAATCAACTATATTTTGCATTGTCAAGTCTGAAGTCAATTAATACTGTCACTTTATTTTCCAGTCATTTTATATGCAGTGAATGCGTCGGTCCATATGTTGGTAGACTTTATTCTATGTTCTGGATCGGTTCCAGAGAAATTTTTAACTGTGCTGATTATCTGTATGTATTTGTGAAGTGTCTACTGCCTAGTCTACAAATGGCCGGAGCTAATGAACGTCATTTATACCATAACAACGATACAAGCAGCGACACTGAAGATTACACAGATGAACGACGAAGAAGGGTATTTAAAAATCGACTGAGGTAGGCCCCCATCCACCTAATGCTTGAGGTGAAAATAGGGCAAAATTGGGAGACTATAGTCACATCAGATAATAATTTATATAGTACATACATATAAAAAAAATGTTTTCTTTTGTTTGAGGTGTCCAGAGTTTAGTTAAATTAGAGCATCTTTATGAGATAATAAAGCTAATTTCATAGGTTTGTTTTAAGACTTCAAGAGTTGGTATGTTGTAAGTTACAAGTCAAGTAGTAAAATAGAAAAGTAAAATACACAAATAAGTTGATACAAAAAAAATCTATAATCTATAAATAACTTGTTTTTCATATAGGTAGTAAATATTTTTGTGTTGTATGTTAATGTTATGTCATTAATTTATCATATACCTACTTACTAGTAAAATTTTATGAAAAATTTTGACAAAAGCAGTACAGTTAGAAAAAGATTTGGAAAATATTTTTACATCAAGTGATTTTTTTAAAGAAAATAAGTGGGGCGTATTAATGGTTCTGCTTCCTGATAAAATGTTTGGCTTTCAAAAAAAGTCTTGATTAAACTTTTTTAAGGAAACTATTTTTCATTTCATTTCAATATAGAGGTTTTTTAACGCAGATGAAGATAAACATAGACATATTTTTTACCTATGGCATAGATATTTCTGTTCGTCTATGCTAACAATATTTTGTCATATTTTTTTGTTGGTAGAGATTTTGAGGAAGTGCAGGAGTTATTTGAAATTTTATTTTATTTATTGTTAAGAACCCATTGATAAAGCGCAATACAATTTTCTTTCCTAAAATGGTTAGAGAATCTTCAAAAAATGTTTTAATATGTTTTTGAGATTAAGGTCATTTTAAATTGAAATATTTTAACATTCTAGTACGAAATTTAATTTGAATCATATTTCGTTCTGTTTAAAAATTAATGTCTATGACTAAAATAAAATTTAGTTGTATCAGAATAATCACTTTACGGGTAATAATTTTGTGTAAAATAAGAGGGATATAAGGGCGGCTCTACAAAAAGTGAAACTTGTAAACTATGTATATATTATTGCTGGGTCTGTCAGCACAGTACTTTTGAAAAATTATGTTCTACAGACAACAGAAAACATTTTTATTGACGGTATACTATCGTAATCTCTTGTAAGCACTGTCCTGTTTTGATCTTTTCTTAAAATAGCCATAGTCAGTTTATTAACTTTCATATTGCTTTGCGTAGTTATGGATCGATGTCGAAGCCGAAACCGTGCCTTGTACAACGTTCCACGTCCCTATCGGACCCACGTTGCCACTCTGTAGCTACGCCTAAGCAATGTCACAATGCTCCTCGCAATAGGCAAGGGCTGCAAATTACAGCATAATTTTCACATATTAACTCCTTCATGATTACAGATCAAGAGCCGCACCCTTACAAACGACCGGATCTACAAAAACCCAAACCCAGAGTTGCGGCAGTACCAGTAACATGGCCAGCGAGGACAGGGTGACCCTTGTGGTTGACAACACTAGATTCGTGGTGGATCCCGCAATATTCACTGCACATCCCAACACGATGCTCGGTCGGATGTTCAGTTCGTCTTTGGACTTTACGCACCCGAACGAAAGGGGGGAGTACGAGGTCGCCGATGGCATCCCAGCGTCTGTTTTCAGAGCAATTTTAGAGTACTACAAAGGGGGACTCATCAAGTGCCCCCCATCTGTATCTGTGCAAGAATTGAGAGAGGCTTGTGATTATCTGCTGGTTCCCTTTGACGCCAGTACCGTTCGCTGCCAAAACTTGAGTAAGTGTTTTTATTTTGTGTAAAAGTTATGTCATATAAAAAAAAAACAAATTTTTTAAAATTTCAGACTTAAAATAAACTCATTGAAGATATGTTTAAGGAAATTCAATCAATGTTACATTTGTAAAAAACGAATATAGTTAATATTACATTAATTGAGCTTTTAAAAAAATTGTTATTCCAGGAGGTCTGTTACATGAGCTCTCCAACGAGGGTGCCAGGTGCCAGTTCGAGGTTTTCCTTGAGGAACTTATTCTGCCGCTCATGGTGAATTCTGCGCAAAGGGGAGACAGAGAGTGTCACATTGTCGTTTTATTGGACGACGACAGTGTGGACTGGGACGAAGAGTATCCTCCTCAAATGGGAGAAGAATATAGTCAGACTGTCAATAGCACTGCCATGTATAGGTTCTTTAAGTATATAGAAAATAGGGACGTCGCGAAGCAAGTCCTGAAGGATAGGGGTTTGAAGAAGATTAGATTGGGCATTGAAGGTAAGAGCATATTTTTGAACTGTGATGACATTTCACCAAAAAGTATATGTCAAATCGAAAAAAATCTGAACCGGCAGAACTCTGTACGACGATTTTTCTAAGTAGAATTTTTTTTTTTAAAAAAAGTGTCGGACTGGAAAAAATGAATATTTTGGAAACTTCTTGATTTTTTTATCTAAAAAAATTTGTGGTTATTTAAGACGCAGAAAGGTATACTTTCACCAAGTTTCGTAAAAATTAAATTATTTTTGCAGAAATGAGAAATAAAAAACAAAAAATAAGAAAAAAACCTATTTTTCACATTTTTCTCGTAAATTTTGAGGTTATCTTAAAAAGTGTCCTCTACAAAAGTTGTAGATTTTTGCATTATCTATAACTTTTGTGTTTGATACTTTTTTGTTTGAAGTCAACTTTTGCCAGAAATCCCAATGATACAATTTTTCACAACTTTTCAACCTCCCAAATTGACCCTCCGCCACCCCTGCTCACGCATTTATTTTTTCTGGGTTTATTATAAGCCCCTTTACCATTTCCACTTTCAAAAGCCCAGGTAACAATTTTCTTTTCTCCAAGTGTATTTTGGTCGGACTATCAACTCGTTTCACCAATCGTAAGATCGTTATCCGAAAATCTTTTTCCGCCCGGATCGTAAAAGTTTTATGATTCAACATTCTGTGTTCAGATGTTGAAATTCTAACCTTAAGAAAAATAAAATGGTGGAATAATAGGTGGAAGAAATTGGCACTTTTCCATACCATACTGTACAGGGTGTTAATTAAGTGTCTTAACAACCTATAAAGAGTAATTTTTTTAGTTTATCAATCGAAAAAATTTTATAAGTATGAGTACAAAATCAATTGTTTTATAGATACAGGATATTGAAATTTAAAAAAAAATCATCTTTTCTGTCTCTGAAGATGTTTTATACAAAATAGCAAAACTTAGACTATTGATTTCTGATTTATCTAATTAAAGGTCAAAATTTCGTTACTTTCATTAAAAACCTCAGAAATTCGATGCCACTGAATATTTTGAAGATGTTTTCGCCACTTCTAACTCCTTGTGGTGTTTCCCAAGAAGTCTTTCATTTTCTAAAAATTTTCGATTTATTAGTTTTTCAAGTATCTACTTCTTAAACCTAACATAACTTTAGAACTAGTAATTTTGCAAAACCGGATTCAGATAATTTTTTTTTTCAACTAAATTCGCTCTTATGTAAAGCTTACTTAGTGGTTAAACTTCTGTCGTCAAAGTAATAAACCTTAGTGTACTGTAATGTTGACTTTCAACTAGTTGAAGTTTTTAATTCAACAAAAACGATAGTTTATACCCAGTTCAAAACATTTTACAGCCCCAAACACTGGAAGGTTATTAGAAAACGCTAAATACTGATTTAAATCTTCGGATCCCGATGAAAAATCTGAAACGTCAACTAAAATCGGAAGATGAAGCCTCGTATTGGACCTTTTTCTTGTACGTTTGTATTTTCAGGTTACCCCACTTACAAAGAAAAGGTAAAAAAACGTCCAGGCGGCCGGGCCGAGGTGATTTACAACTACGTCCAACGACCTTTCATCCACATGTCGTGGGAGAAGGAAGAAGCTAAAAGTCGACACGTGGACTTTCAGTGCGTTAAGTCCAAAAGCGTTACAAATTTGGCGGAAGCTACCGCTGACCCGGCGCTTGAGTTAGATGCTAGGGGCAACCCTATCGCGGCTTCCACGATCGCAGATCCTCCACCGTTGTTACCGATCGATTTACCCCCGTTAGGCGGTGACGGGGATGAAGGCGCCGTCGGTGGCGCTGATCTGGATATAGTTAATAACATGCCGCCGGAGGACGCAAACTTATGAATTCTTAATTTTAATGCTTTTCCACGTCATAATATAAACTTAATGTGGATTTATTTTTTCCGTAAATAGAGATGTAAGTTGTTTTATCGTGTTTTGTTTTCATCCATGTTATGGCTATTTATCCGTATATTATGGCGGGTTGTGTGTATGTAGTCGTATTTAATTTTTAGCAATTTTGTATAATGGGAAGTATTTATCCAAGTTGCAGTTTATTTTGAATTTACTCTTTCATATTCATGCACAAATATTAGGTTAAATTAATTTCTGGCTATAGGAACGGAAAATGTGCATGATTAATTGAAGAGCTGGAAGATGTTAGCAAATTTTCAAGATATGTCGGCAACACACGATTAGTAAGTCTCGGTGTTGATGGACATTTTATTAAGGTAAGGTGTTTATTTATAATGGGGTGTTTGCATAAAAAGCAATGAAAGTTAATACAAACTGTACGAGTTTCTCCTTATACTAGAGAACTCTTTATTTAAATAACTCGTCTGTATCTCTTTATTATGAAATAAAAGGATGGCGGTGGTATGAGATTTTAGTTGAAGTTCATATTAACAAATGGCGTAATTAAAGGAGAATTTAACGCATCATGATTGTCCGGCAAATTCGTTTCACTTTTATATTTTTTATGTCAATTAAAAAATTCTTCATACAGAAACAAAAAAATATTTTGTGGTAACATGTGAGAAGACAACAAACACCCCATTATATATTAATTTTAGAATTTTGAATTATTCATTGCTGTTTAGTACAAAGAATATCTAGTTTATTTTTTTAATTCGACATTGTACACAGTTAATTGGAAAAAGGCAGTTTCCAGTCTTGGTGTGGGTATCTTTATTATTTTAAAAGGTTTGTGGTGGCCGGAAACCGCATTTTATTCCCGTGTGAAAATCTGAAGATTGATATATTTTCTGTAACTAGGAGCCAAAGGAGTTGCGTCTGCTACTTCATACATTTTGTCATTTATCACTGAATATAGACGACAGTTTTTAACTGTAAAGAAAACTCTAATACACATCACTAACCCACGAACCCCAACGAAAAGTCTATATCGATGAACATAGAAGAGATAAATGATTTAGACAGCACCAAACATTAATACACATCACTTTTTTATGTTCAGTAAATTTTATTAGTATTCGCTACCAAAATATTGAACGGAAAAGTCTGAAGATGGTACCATCGCTTTTTGTGTTATGCCGTGGCCTGTGTACCTGGTCACCAATTATAGACTTACGATGCCCTGTTATAAAACCCCCTAGCCCATTTTTATATTGACTTCAGTTCTAAGATGCTGCAGGCAACAACAAGAACTGAAATCAATATAAAAGGGGGCCTATGGATTTTGATCCTAGCTAAAGCTGAGGAAATGTGTTATAAGTCTGGTCACGGCATAATACACTGTAATAACCACCGATTCCAACGACCAGACTGGAGACATTGCATTGTCGACCCCCATGCCCATCGGGCGCATGTGAAAAAGTTTATATTATTGTTTTAGTGATGTAACTTGTTAACCTCTATGATTTATAGGTCTCTTATGAAAACGTTATACTAAGATTAATATGAAACATGGAAAATTAAGACATTTATATTTGGCTGTGTCCTTGCTCATATTTAAATATTAAGTTTGTGAAACTAACAACATTCCTCGGTCTTGTCCATGGTTATCATTAACTCTTGAGACTGAAGTTAAAATTTTGTGTTGCTCAATATGTGTGTACGTGTTATATATATAGTGTGTCCCATAATAAAGACGGAAAACATTTTTATTTGTACGTTTGTAACAAAATTTTTCCTCAATATAAAATATAAAATTTTATGAATACTGCATACGAATCATAGAAGTCCTGATATGAAATTATTTTTTAAGTAGTTTCTGACAATTACGAGAGTTATTAATATGTCCAAGTCGCCGTAAATTTGAAATTGATTTTGCTCTTTTTCCTTTTTCTGAACGCAATCGTAGGACACACTGTATATTCAAATTTTTCCTATGTAGCGGGTGTGTATTATAGAAATAGGTAATTTTCTTTGTCAAAGCGCAACAGATGTGTAGATAACAATGAATGGGTAGCGAACAATAAATGGGGCATTTTCGGTTACTAAAATATTTATGGGGCCAATAATGATTACGCATTACACATAAATATTTTAATTTGTGCTACAAAACTACGAGCACTAATACTGATTTATTACCCACCCTTTACTATACTGAAAATAATGGCGGCAGTATTTGTATCGTCTCTAAGAGAATTAGGTACATGCTCGGACCCTTTCCATGTTGTCTTATGTTGGAATAAAAAAATTGAAACGACTTAATTTCCGTGATACTGTATTTAATTCCTAAATAGAACTGTTGACGTTTATAAACCTGGGTCTGTGAATATTTTTAACACATCCTACGCAATTTCTGCTTTGCTTTTATTGTAAACGTAGCTTAAGGTTTTATACATGTCGTTTTATTATAAAATGCAAAATATATACTTTAACCCAATTAATTCTTTTTATCTGTATCCTCTCGGTCCCATAGCTCGAACCAAGTTATATTGCTACAAAAAATTAAGAAAAATAACGCATAACTAAGAAAAAATTTATTAATTTTTAGGTTCATACAACTAAAAAGTATTAAAGTCCTTTCAAAAAAGCAATATTAGTCCTACTTATTCAGAGATTCTTGTATTCTGAAACAATCACTAACTATTTTCCATTTATCGCCCTGCGCAGTCACTATAAAGGTTTGCTGGAATGTCTTCGGAGTTTTATCTTGGTACTTCACAGAACCACTTACTTGAATCATAAACGTTAATTGCCCACTTACAGCAGAATCTAAAATTCATAGGTTTTACGGAATTAGTTAATGTTTATATTAAATCTAGATTAATTAAAATTTTTAGCGATGTTACTCTAATAAAAATAAAGTGCTTTTGGGGCCGTTGTGTTAAATATATGTAAAAGCAACTTTTAGTTCAGTATATTTTTGTTTTATGTTTCTCATTACCCAGTATCGGCTGAGCATCTAAAGTGTTCACTACATGATCTGTAGAAGGTAAATCAATTACAAACTTTTGTATACTTTCGTTCCCAGTAATTCCATTTCCATTCCATGCTAATAGTCCTGTATCCAAATAAAGTCTAGACATTAACTACAAACAACAAAATAATGAGACAAAACATTGTTTAAATTAAATATATAAACTTACATGTCGTCTTTTATCTATGGTTTCATAATAAAGTTTCGTAAATTCTTCAGCCGTTCTGCATGCTTGGTCAATTTTGGCTTTAGTCTAAAAAAATTTATGAAGTAGACATTCATATTTATAGTATTATAAGGACTACCTGATCCATTTTCTGAATGAATTGAATAAGTTATAAACTAACCCAGGAATAACTAGTCATTAATTTTATACTGATATATTTTGTTAATCCAAACTAAGATTAATAGAAAAGCAGGAAACCAACTGGTTAGTCGTAGGGTAGTACTAAATAAATTCTAAAACCTAAAAACACACATTTAAAAAATAACGTGTGTATAACAATTTATACTGTTCCTACTTCCTATTCTAATTTTCTAATTTATTAGCCGTTTACTATTTACAAAACTGACGACAACCAATCTTTGACAGAACACAGCCACAGACCATTAAAACACAGCATAGAACACAATACATACACGATTATATACACGCATGGAGTGGACACTACACATTACACACACGCATCATGCATACACCCAGAACCACTCATCATCGGTGTTACAACAAAATGCGACTTTTACACTTTTTGAACGTCATCTGCCAACTCATTACAATTTTTTTCTTAGTTGTATTAATTAACAAACTAAATTAGTGTTTGGAAATCATAATTTTAAGAGGTAAATTAAATATCATGTAAATATAAACAGAACAAAACTCACATCTTTGAACGGTCCGATCATGTCGACGGTGTAGGTTTCTTGACGTTTCTAGAGACAAAATACCTGAAGTGTAAGTACTATTTATCAGGGTTTGAAATTAGGTTTCCCCTTTCCACGAATTTCTTAAGGAATCCATTCTACATATATTTAAATAATCCACGTTATAGTAATCTAAAGGATCTAAAGGAATCACTGGCAGGTGTGTTTGGCATTTAATTTAAATGAAAGTGTGATTCTTGGCAACAATTTTTGAATACAAGCTTTAGAGGCCCAGGTATATATAATAATTAAAATTAATAATTTATCGAAACACGAAACGGTTTACTTTTCAAAAGGCAAGATCAATGATCCTACTCATGGAGACTATACACTATATACTATCTAGTCTCCATGATCCTACTGATCAGATTAATATTACGATCACTATTACTGAAATGAATTCCTTCATGGTTCGATCAGAAAAAGAACATTTCGAACGTATCAACTTTCTACTCTAGTTACAGTTATCGTCAAATTCAGTGTTAAAGAACGCACTACTGAGTTCTATTTGCAACTTTTGTAAGACATTAGGTATTTTTTTAACTTAAAGAATTTTCCATTTATGTGAATCAAAAATAAAACTTTTAAAAATTATATAATAAAGATAAATTAAAGTTTAAAGTTATTGTTTTTGCTATATATACTTATTATACTGTAGGTTTATGGTATTGATAGAACAATAATAAACTTGTGAAAATAGGCATTGATATACATCATCGTAAATTTATATTGGTTAGTAGATGATAAGTGATTAAGTAGTTTATTTACATTTTACATAAATAAACGTATTTTGGAAAAAATATTCAATCATTTTCACCCCCGCCAGAAAATGTTATTCCGCATTGAAATCACGTGACCCGTACAGACCAGTTATTTTTTTAGTAATGATGGCGCCAAATATTAATTTCTAGTTTTGTGATAGTACAAACAATCGGAATGAAGATTTTGCTTCAATTTCCGTAAGAATTTTTCCCAAATAACTAAAAAGAAATAGAAAACGTATTGTTTTTATCTAAATAAACGATTAACATATTTCGATAACTAGAAAATGTGTAATGAGGACATGTTGATGAACATCAAAGAGAGATAGAGTTATACACATTTTATAACTTTCATCGAGGAAATGTTTCACGGTGTCAAAACACAATCAGTCTACGAATGATTGAAAATCGCTTACACTTTATTTACAACTTATTATAAACTTTACTGTTGATATTACGCGTATAATATGATGAAATTCCTGATTGAGAAAAGAGACGAAAGGATAGTTCACTAATTCGTCTTTGCTGTGTCGACTGGAAAGTGCTGCCCCCTATATTGTCAATGTTGTTAGGCTTACCAAATGGAGTCTAATGGAGTGTCGATTTAATCAAAATCCTTTGAAAAATCAATCGAAAGCATGAAAGACTTTAGAGAAATGGTAACAAACAGGATATTTTTTCAAAACGTTTTTGTTGAAAATGTGTAAAACTGTGATCGTGCAAGTGATAGCTAAATAGTGAAATGTTTACAATGTAGACATGGGAGACACCTCTGCTGTTTGTCACTAAATTTTGCAAGATTATTACCTGTATTATTTATATTATCGTTTCTTACGCATGAAATTTACTTTCCTTGCATGTCAGACGACGTATTTATTAATTTTGGAAAAGCAAAAATAGTCTCCCTCAACACTGTTCAGGATAGCCAAAGGCAATATAAAAGTCCTTTATATTTTTTTAGTTTTAGTTGTTGCAGCAATTTAATAGCTTTAAACATGCTGCAGAAGGTGTATTTATAAGTAGAGTGTAGTCTAATCTTTGATTTTATCTAAAAATAAAAGGGATACTAATTGTTGCTTTTTTTGTTGCAGACGTAATTATATATTTACTGAAGTTCCCTTACTGGATAACTATGTAGTAAGTACAAGCACTTTGCTTACTCCTTTATTAAATCTCTATCAGTTGAAAAGAAAATATGTCTTGAAAATATCAAGAAAAATTCAGTTATGGTTATGGTAATATTCATTATATACATCATTACTTTTAGGTTGTGCAGAAGAGTCGATCTACCTGCACAACATAAGTGCGATGTCACAGAGAGTGAAAAGGCCTAACCGTTCTGAAGATGGCTCAGTTCCTGTTAAGAGGCGTAAAGTGAGTTTGACACATTTTTGTTATATTTCAGTTCTAATAAATAACATCGAATTGTCTGGAAGATTTTTATCAATGGTGAAAAACAAAGCGTTATCATTTCTAACATTAATGAAAACAACTTGAATTGTGAGATGCAAAGGCAAAGAATATACAAATTTGTCAATATTGAATACTATGTGTAGTTGTACGAGACTATTTTAATTGTCTAATTATTATTGATTATTTAGAGAGAGTATGGAAATTCTATTTCCTAATTGTTAAAACTAAAAAAATTAATTATAGATTGTTTCATCAAAGAAATTATGCTGCGTAATTTTGTTGGGTATGTATCATTTGTGTTTTAGAATATACCGTTACTTGAAAAGTATTAAATTATACTAATTCAAAGTAATTCTAAACATATTCCTAAAATTCTTATCGAATTAAATTATTAAAATTTTTTTAAGTTATTTTCAATTGGCGTAATACCTTTCAAGTAAGGTAAAAGCGCAATAAGAGAATTAAAAAAACGGAATATTTGTGTTCTTTAAATGACTGCTAGTTAAATTTAGAAAAGTAGGTATATATGTACAAAAGATTTTATTTTTTTGTAAGTTTTGTAAGTTATTCTTTTGATGCTTTATTATAACCAGGCCAGTAGTAAAATATATATGGAAATTTCTATTTTCCGTGTACATTTGTTAATGAAATTCAATAGTTTCTAAAAAAAAATTCAAAGTAAACTACATTAAGAATAATGTGAGTATAATACGTTAAATATTTAAATGTAGTTGATAGTTCTACAGAGGTAGATTAAGCGTTAAAACATAGTACAACATGGAAAACAGTAACAAGAAATAGTGGCGTTAACTCTAATTAGAAACGCACCTAAAAATAAAACAGTTTGGGGGCTGGAAGCGAAATAACGTAATTGTGATAATGCCTCTACATAAAGTTTACTAATTCTTATAATTTTATATACAGTGAAATTTGGTTATTACTACTTTGTTTTTATGGACCGACCACATATTTGACATATTTCGACCTTAGATAGTTTCATATAAATTCATTTTCAGTTTGCTTATGTCCATTTAGTATAATACGATTTCACCGTCTCTTGTTGTAAAGCAACTACACCCTAATTCGAAAAACAGTGTAATGTTTTCCAAAGAGAAATTTGCAGGCTTCAACAAAATAAAAAACGAACTTGTTGCATTCAATTGTGTATATATTTTCCAATTTTTGTCGACAACTTGAAAGCAGTGTGCCGATTACTTACACTTACTAAAAACTATGTCTTATTCCATGTTATTCGGGTTTTAATTTTTGTAATTGCTACAAAAAAACATTTTTCATATTGCTTTGTGTTTTTAATGGAGCAAAAGTTAAGTTCCATTTAATTTTAAATTTTGATAAGGTGAGCTGTTGAAACAAAATTGTAACTTGTCACTTTGACACCAAAATTTAATTATCACTAGAAATAGTATATTACTACCAACAGCGTTTCTTACCAGTTTAGTTTCGAGTTCGTGTTATATATTTCCGTTTATTTATTGGCGTTTGAACAAGGCATTAATTCTAATTAATTATGCGATCAGCGGACGGCGGCCGAGGAAGAGGAAGCGGCCTCCCTGGCAGCGGGGACGTGGCAGCCGAGATCTAATGACCTGAAGAGCATTTACAATCGCACCACTACCGAAGCACCAGCCGAACTGTTCCGCAAAGATCTGATCAGCGCCATGAAACTGCCCGATTCAGAACCGTTGGCATCGGACGAGTATTGGGTTATTGTGGACCAGTGGAAACAGGAGTGGGAACGAGGCGTCCAAGTTCCCGTCAACCCAGATTCATTGCCAGAACCCAGCGTCACCATTAGCCATTGTAATAACTTTAAAGTTCAACAGGAGTTCAGATTGTAAGTACACCTTTTTTGCGATGTTAATGAAATTATGGCACGTTGTGATAGCACGGACGGATATGTCTAATTTAAACGGATGTGTAACAATCGTATTAAAGTAACGGAGTGTTTTAATTGTCGATATAATTATTTTCGATTCTATTGGCGGTATATCCTGATCCAGGTCCATAGTTCAGAAAATTCGTTTTAAATATTAGCGACAGTTTGTATAAGGTGTCCAGAAACGAGTTTCTACATATTAAAAAAGTTTTGCAGTACCACATTGTAGTAGACATGGACTTTTGAATAGACATACGTTTTTCTAAATCATAAAAAATTATTTAGTTGCAAATTTTGTAAAACGAGTATTAATTACACTAGAATATCCTCATCGATCTATAACTATTGTAGAAAATTGGAGAACCATTTCAGCGACGTTCAGCAATAGATATTTTTCGTAGTAAATAAAATTATGTTGTGCGTTGTGTCAAAATCTTTACTAAATAAAAGAAATAATATACAATAGAACGATACATTATTTAAATAAAACAAATATTTTTGAAGACTAGCAGCTACTAACCTTTGAAATATGGCAGTTTCATCTCTGACCACTTTGTATAAAATTTCCTCTCCCAGGAATGTAAACATTTTACACCTATGAGGATTAGACAGGGGAAACCACATAATTATTTACCCCCTTTACCATTGCGTTTGTAGGAACACCTACTCACCTACTTGCCAATATACCTGGCTGGTAGTAGAACCTTGATTATCCGACCTATTGTGGATCAGCACTAGGTCGGATAATGGAAAAAGTCGGATAATTCGGGTTCATTTATTTTTATTATTTTTTTAAGAAATAAAACAGCAGAAATCCGACAGGTCGTCGGATGTCAGATAATACGGATGAATGTCGGTTAACACAGAATCGCCGTTTTGGCCACGATGTTGGAAAATCGGGAGGACGGATAAAGCGAGGTCGGATAACCGAGGTTCTACTGTATATGAAACTTGCCATGTTCTTGGCAAATACTCAGTAGTATATACAAAAATCAACATAGACTTAATATTTCTAATATTCATCTTAATATTTTTAATATTTTATATATTTATTATTATTTATATTTTTAATATTTCTTCTAATATTTCATTGTCAAAGACAAAATTTTATTATTACTTTTATTCGTTTAAATAACAATTGCCTCTTTTTGTGGCAATTCTTTAGTTTTGACGGCGTTAACTAGCAGATGACGTAAGCTCTTCTAAAACTGCGGACAGCGTCAGCAATTCATACAGCTCACTTGCCCTATATATCTAATTTCTGCTATTAACGCTCAATTTCTTTAAAGAGAATATCGTCGTTGATAACACAAAGGGACGTAAGCACCAAAAGCGCTATTCAGTAGTTTCTTTGGACAAGTAAATTTTTTGTGATATGTATGATTCAAAAAGAGACTGGTGAAATTTCTTTTTGTCGCTTATTTATTTACGACTTAATACTACTTTCATAAGCGGATTTAATTTTATTACGTAAATACAGTAAAAGTATATTATTAGTTTTTACTCTAAATGTTGGGTGGCTGGAAAGTGTTTCCAGAAAAATCAAAGAGTAGCAAGTTACTTGGCAAGAAGCAAGTAGCGACTAGTTGGCTAAAAAAATATTTAATACAAGTTGAAAGTGTGTTTGAACGTTGTCTTGTGAGTATTTCTTGTAGAAAATCCAAATTGGTGATAATTAAAACTTTAAAAGTTATGTATTTAATCAAATTGTTGATCAGTGATTTCTTATACAATGCACGTGTAAAAATTAGAGCAGCAAATTACTAAAAGACATTGGTATCAATTTTTATGTGCACGTCCTTCGATATATGTATCTCCTTTATGATTTGTTAACGTTTTGGAAAGTATTTCCACTTATTTTTGAACGTACTGTTTAAATGAGCATATTTCTCTTCATACAGATTTTTAAATTTTATGATAAGATATGTAAATATTTTCAAGTATTTTATTCATAACAGTGAAATAAAAGCATAATAAATTTAAAATGAAGTGTTCAAAATCTTAATAATTTGAGTATTAATGAGATTTCCGAATGCAAATTATTCCCTTAATTAGTCAAAACGCTAATAAGTGACATTTTGCCCCTTCATTAAATAGCCCCTGTCAAAATAATATTGTATTTCAAATATCCACCTGTAAATCGTTGCTGAAAATTTGTTTTTCCAAGTAACTTAGTAATTTTCTTGACCGAAGCGAATTATATTACAGGGTAACATAATGTGCTTAACAGCTTTTAACGAAAAGTAAAAGTTTATATGTTAAAAATATATAATTTAAAAAAATTACATGACTCGAATTACTTCCTGGAGAAATATTAAAGTTGGACTTACATTAGTTGCTAAACGATTACATTACCTAAATTTGGCTGTTGGTTGGTTTAATTACTAATTATTACGATATTTTGTTATCAAAAAATATCTAAATACTGTTTTATAATAGTTATTGTAATTGGCTTAAATATAATCTGATAAATTTAGAGATTATTTTAGCAAAAATCTGTTACTGTTCAACTGGTGGAATAATTTTTCACAAATGCATAGCACTTCGTTATTCAAGGGTCAAAATTAATTTTAAAGTTATTTTAGCCAAATTACATTCTTACTTGGTTGTTTTTTATTTGAATGTAATAAAATATTGGGGAACCCCATCCCTTTGGCCATTCTGTAATTTTTTTATAAGTAAACCTGTGATTGCCTAAATTACATTTTTTGATATAAAGTTCATTTTTTAAGATTTTTTCTCCTGTGAAATATTGTGAAATTAGGGTATTTCCATTTCAATAGGTTATAAAAAAATAAAATATTAATTTTATTCATAAAATTAACGAAAGGCTTCAACTATTTATTTTTTCCAAAGGTATGAACCATTTTATATGTTTCGGACGGCTTTAGCACACTTAGCCAGCATTTTAAGAAACACATTTATATGAATTATTTTTCTAATATATAAAATTTTTCCGAATATAAAAAAGGGAATTCTTAAATACCCAGTATTTCATATTTTTTTACTCAAAATTTGTAATAGATATGAAGAAAACAAATTGCAAACTAAAAAATGTGAATTAGAAGATAGCTTTTGTATAAAAAGTGATATGGGGTGGTTAAAAGGGTTAAGATTGATTTCTATATAAATTGTCTTATTTTGATCTCTGGTTTTTGTATAAATTGAATTATTTTGATCAAAAGAATCTGCTTTTTTTGTATAAATTGACTTATTTTGATCAAAAGAATATCTGGTTTTATGTTTTCTGCAAATTTTGAATATCGTATAAACATTACACGTAATAAATACATGATCCATCAAAGATCTTTTCAAAATCTTATTCATGATTGAGTTTTTCATTATCTCAACCTGATTTTAAAAATGTCCTGATTAATTCTGGTTCGTCAACTATCTTAAATCGATTCTCTACCATGATAATTTCAACACGTGATCTTCCACAATCGTGTTGTTAGCCCAAAGTTTTCAAAAATAAGAAATATATATGTTCGAAAAAAATTGTTTTTTTCTTAATGTTCATGTATTGTTCCACAAATTTCTAAATATCGCTGTAGTCCAATACATGTATTTTCTTTATTTTCAGACCAAAAAATAAATACATACGAATTACTAAAGATGAGAACTTTAAACCGGAAGAGCATCTCCTATCCCACGCCCCAACCCAAGCGGAGGCAGCTTGTTCGTACGATCTGGACGAATGCGATGTAGCTTGGCTAAAAATTCTAAACTCGGAGCGAGCTGCGGCGGGTTTGGGCGCCATCTACGAGGATCAGTTAGAGAGGGTGATCGAGAGGTTGGAACTTTGTTGTTGGGATAAGATACAGTCTATCCTCAAGAACGAGGAGGGTTTAGGAATCGAATATGATGAAAATGTAATATGTGATGTTTGTCGATCTCCAGATTCTGAAGAAGGCAATGAAATGGTGTTTTGTGATAGTTGCAATATATGCGTTCATCAGGCATGCTATGGCATCACTCGAATACCCGATGGGCAGTGGCTCTGTTGTACGTGCAACATCGGGAAGAGGCCGGAGTGCGTGCTTTGTCCAAATAAGGGGGGTGCCATGAAATCCACTAGATCGGGACAGAAGTGGGCTCATGTCTCTTGTGCGTTATGGATACCTGAAGTTAGTATAGGTTGTGTAGAAAAAATGGAACCAATAACCAAGATCTCCGGTATCCCATCTAGCAGGTGGGCCCTAATTTGTGTGTTGTGTCGTGAGAGGGTAGGTGCTTGCATACAGTGTTCCGTAAAGACATGTAAAACCGCATATCACGTCACTTGTGCATTTAAACACGGTTTAGAGATGCGGGCAATCATAGAAGACGAGAATGCGGACGATGGCGTGAAGTTACGGTCTTACTGCGAGAAACATAGTAAGTCCAGTAAGAAGGAGAAGAGCATCTGTTCGGGATCCGAGGATGATGATTGCAAACGTAAGAAACGGAAAGACATGACGTCCGAGGAAAAGAACCAAGCGAGGGCTGCTCGTCTTCAAGAAATCGAAGCCGAGTTCTTTAAACACGTCACCGTTAAGGACGTCTCCATCCATTTGGACACCGACAACGAGGCGCTGCAATACATTTACAATTACTGGAAGCTTAAGAGGAAAGCGGGTCACAACAAACCGCTGCTCCCTCCTAAATCGGAAGACGTAGACATGCTTTCCCATAAACGCGAACAGGCCGATTTGGAGAAAATGAAAATGTTTGTGCAATTAAGACAGGACTTGGAAAGAGTGAGAAATCTGTGTTACATGGTGAGCAGAAGGGAAAAACTGTCGAGGACTTTCTTTCGGTTGAGGGAGCAGACTTTTCACAAGCAAGCGGCTGTACTCGATTCAGTTCACTCACTGCCTACTACGGTTGTCCAAGCCGTAATCGAGGCCAACCACGGACCATCAATATACGACCGTTTATACTCGCACAATGAAGCTGAAGATCACACCTCCGATTTCGACGTAATTTTGGCCAGGATCGCCGGCGTAAAATCCCCTACACATTCGGGCGATGAACATAAACCCGAGATTAACGGTTTATTCAAAGACGTTAAAAATAATCCTTACAAAAAGTATTACAACGGCTCCTCGAAAAGAAGGAGCGGTAGTTTATACGGCAGCAGCTTGTCCAGCGCTAGCAGTAGCGACGAACGGCCCAAAGACAACAAAGAGAATCGTTTACACAGCACTTCTGAGGATGAGAAACCGTCTATATCAAATCTGAACAAGAAAACGTCCCCGCATAAGCAGACTAGCCCTGCTAAAGTGCAGGATAAAAGGCGACAAAAGAAGCATAGTATATCCCGAAGTAAGATAGAAAGCAGTAGCGAGGAAGAAATAAATCCTCCTACCAAAAAAGAATGGACCCAGGGCTCTCGATCAAGATTAAGTCAGGTGGAACGCGAACTGGGCGAGTCATGCAGTGACAGTGACGATCTTATGCCAATTCGTTCAACTCAGAAAACCGACAATCAAAAGAATGTGAAGTCTATGTCGTCTATTTATTCCGATAGCGATAGCTCAGACGTATCCATGAAGAACGACGATAAGTCGTCAAATAACACAAACGACTCGCAAAATAAATTACGTACTAAAGCAGCTGTAAAGGAATTCTCCCAGAAACCGTCTACATCTAAGAGTCCCAATAAGAGTAGTCCGGAAAATAAAAAGAAACTCAAGAACGACGATATGCGAAAGGACAGTAACTCGAAGAAGAAAGATTATGTTCCTTCCGATCTCATAGTACCTCAGAGGCAGGCGGCCAAGAAAGCCACGGAAAATCTGAAATCAAACACTTCGTCGAGAGCTAAAGAACATTTGGCGCCTGGTGAAGATTCCAGTAAAACTGAAGAAAAACATAAACAGAAGGCGAAACTGAAATCGACTAAAGACGTTAGAGACCTTCCCAAGGAAGAAGAGAAAGTGAAGGATAAAAAGAAAGAAAAAGAGAACAAACCGGCTTCTGATATATTTGATATCGACAAGGAGGTCGAGAAAAGTGATATGCAAGAAATTTTGGCATACGTTCCTCAGAGACAGGCCGCTAAGAAAGCTGCCGAACACATTAAAAGTGGACTCGGCAAACCGACTTCGCTCTCATCAGATCCTCCTCCTGCTACTGAAGCGGACAAACCCAGAAAGGAATTAGAGTATGTAAAAACAAAAAAGGATCTGGAAAGTAAAAAGCCGGAATTGAGGAAAGAACCCGAGTCTGTCAAGACTGCCAAAGTTTCTGAAACCAAACGCAAGTCTTCCACAAACTCAACGAGTACATCGTCTTCCTCGACCAGCAGTTCCTCGGATTCCTCAACCAGCACCAGTTCCGATAGTGACGACGAACCAGAGAAACCACAACCGCGATCGGAGAGTCTTTTCTCAACCTCACCCCGAGAAACGACTAAGCGGAGCACAGCCAAGGACTGGCCCTTTCTTGACAAGGGACCTAGGCCCGCGGCATCCTCTGGTTCCTCAAGCTCGAGCGATTCCAGTGCCCCCTCCTCTCCCAGAAAACTTCCTTCTCCACCACCACCACCACCCCCTAAATCAGACTCTCCATCGCATGCCGCACCACCCGAACAACCAACTAAGTCACTCAGAAAGAGCACTGATAAGAAGCAGTCTCCAACAGCTTCTAAGAGAGAAGAACAGACACGACCACGGGGAAGAGGACGTGCACCCCGAGGCCGTCCGAGGACATCCAACTCTGGTGATCGGATCGGAGATGCTGATGTCAGGCCTAGAGATATGTCTGATGGCCAATGTGTCAGTGTGGAAGGAGAACGAGCTAAAATTAGGAAGGGGAAACAATCTGCAGGAGATGAGTTGGGAGATAACGTCGAGAAAGAGATCGCCAAGTCCAGAAAGTTATCGTCTCCGGTCAAGAAAACGGACAAGAAGTTAAAGGACATCAAACAGTCGGAAATTGAAAATTTAGAAAAAGAAATATTGGAAAGAAAGGCGGGAAAAGAAGGATTAAGTAAAACCAAATCTACACTCGATAGATTGTTCGGTTCGTCTGAGAAAGTAAAGGATGATGATGTTCTCGTGGAAAAACCTCAAAGGGTAGAAAAATTGGAAAGAACAAAAAGGGAGTATGCGAAACCTCCAGAGAAACAAACAAAGTTGCCAGAAAAAGTGATACTAGCTCCAGAGAAGTTAACGATATCTGATAAACGATACAAATCGACTGAAAAATTGTTGAAATCTCCTGTAGATAAACAAAATAAAGTATTTGATAAATGCTCCACGTTTTCCGAAAAATCAGAAAAACCATCCGACAAGCCTTCTAAAATTTCTGTTTCTAAATCAGAGAAATTACCGAAATTACTTGAAAAGGATTCAAAATCTCTCGAAAGACTACCCGATATATCCGAAAACATTGAAAAAGCTATAACACCGACAGAAAAATATAAACCCATGGAAAAAATATCGAAATCCGAACAATTAGTTAAACTTCCAAATCAGGAACTGAAGGAGCAAATAGAGAAAAAGGGAGAATTCAAAGATGGATTGGATAAAAAATTGGCAAACAAAAAATTATCCTCGAAAAACAGAAGCATAGACGACATCTTTGCTGCTAAGTTGTCCAGTAGTGAAAGTAAGGAAAATAAGTTGGAACTTAAGAAGCCACCGACTCCTAAACAAATTAAAACCTCCGAAGAGATTACCATCGCTGATAAAATTGTCGACGATCATTTGCAATCGCATAAAGCTAACGAACTCTTTATTCGTCAAGCAGAAACCGTTCAAGACATCTATAACGTAACGTCAGACGTTACGAAATCCTTAACAATCGAATTGGAATACGAAAAGAAAAGCGCTCTTAAACCGGTCGGCGTAACAAATCAAGTTCTGCAGAATCGTTCCATATTCTCGCCCCAGCCGCACGCGAAAGATGCCGATATAGTAGATTTTAACTTTGACGACATCGGAATTTCTAAAGACGATATCATGAAGAGTTCATTCACTTGGAATAATTTCACTGGAAACAGAGAGGATACAAAAGAAGATAGTGCCAGAGAAACGCTAAATCTTGTTGAAAAATTGCGCATGGAATTGTCAAAGAAGTCTACCGGATGCGATGCAGACGACGCCACCACCAGCAATGAAGTTGAAAGTGAGAGAGTGGATTTCACGGAACAAGTCGTTCCAGATAATCACACGGAGCCCATTCAGAAAGATCTTGCCCCCAAATCAGTAGAGATCCCCGCGGTTAACCTAGAGTTGAAGGTCCACGTAACAGAATCGGAACCTGCGAGACATTTCGAGGAGAAAACGCATAATCAGAGCCATCAACAGCCTCATTCTGATTATGGGTACCTTAATTGCGATACTAATTTGCCCCTCGAGCCGCACAAAAATATTCCCATTCAGCAACACGAAGGTCTTACAGACCACACGGCTCCTGTCGAAGGGGATGAGAGATGGGTACCCCCCAGCGAAAGTTTCCCAAACATACAACCTGTAGATCCTACGAACTACTTAAACGATTCCGTTCCACACGTAGATCCCCATTATCTGGAACAATATACAAACTCAGGCACACAAGAACATCACAAAAACCCGCCAGCTTTAAACTCGGTTCCTTCCCAATTAGAAGTAAGGATGCAGGAAGAACCCCTTAAAAACCAATCGCCCTCCCTCCACGATAGAATAGACAGAAGAATCTCACAGACTCCCCTCATAGATCCAGCCTCCTTGGACTGCATGCCTAGTCCGTCTCCGTACGCAAACATCCATCCCCAGGCCAAGTGGGCGGATAGCGAACTCATGCCCAATCGCAGATCTTCGTCGAGTTCTGCGGCGTCAACGTCTAGTTCCAGTTCCAGAAGAGACGACGAAGAGGTGCGACTGCAAGATGTGAGATTAGTCAATCATTCTACATTAGACATGACGCCTTATTTGCCACCTCAGGTACCCCCTTTTCCTCCCAATTCTTTAGACAATTTCGGAGCTTACTCTGATGGATCCTGCTATCCCGTCAGCTTGTTCCCTCCTCCCAACCTTAATACTCAACTAGCATTCCCCACAACAGGTACTGCGGCGATGTTTCCACCAGCATTTGGGGCTCCATTTCCCACTCCACATTCGCTACCACCCATGCCTAAACCCGTAGATGAGTCTATTCCGTTCTCGTCCACCTGTACGGCAGCGTTTACCTCCTCCCAGCATAACATGGCCTTGACAGCCGCCATGGTAAATTTACCGCCGTCGACCCCCAAACCGCTGGAGCAGCAATTAGAAGAACAGCTCTTGGCACCACCAGCAGAACCTCCGGTATGCAATCAGCCGGGTTTAACGCCGACGACGAGCGCAGAGGAAGTCGTACCATCTCCGGCGCTCAGCAACGCAACTCCGACGGCTACCAGTGCATTACCTTCGCCTAGCACGTCTTTGAAGTCCAATAGTTCTGCCGGTAAGAAGTCGCCAACCAAACCCACACGGACCTCGGCGAGAGTTACTTCACAAATGTTGAACAAATCGCCAGCAAAGAGTCCGGGTAAGAGCCCCCGGCAAGAAGCGGCTCTTAAACAGTCGGGGCCGGGACGAGGGAGAGGAGAAAGTAAGAGAGGTTCGGGGAAATCGGGCGCTTCCAGGGCGCCCACCGCTACTAGGGGTAGGGGCAGGGGCCGAGGCAGAGGCAGGGGCAGCCATCACAACGATTTCGACTATATCGGCAGTGGTACGATTCACACGAAGCTAGTCGGAACCGTTTACGACCTCGATTTCGACGACGATATTTCCAATGACAACATGACCGACTTGAAGGCTATGAGGGAAAGGAGAAAGTCGGTGGATATCCACGAAAGGAAGTTCGATTCCTTCTCGTCCACGAGAAATTCCCCTCGTTCCCCTAAGTTTTCGAGCCCCTCGCAGGTGTCGCATAAAAATAGAGGTTACAATGCCGATTTAAGGGAGCTACGACCCCCAACTCCTATCGAGGATAGTAGATCCAAAACCGACATATCCCTAACTAGTTCAGATAACGAGCCCGCCCAAATATTCCCGGACGTTACGCCGCTATTTCCGGGTCCCGTCGACATGAGAACGTACAATAGCAATTTCGATCAGCAATCGTACACCGAACAGAACTTGTTAAGCGCCTTTGCTACCGGCACAACGGAAACGCAGGTGCACGAGGATATCGACGAGGACTTTGAGAAAGCTCTTCACACGGCGTTAACTGCCAAGAAACCGGTGGAACCGCCTCCGTCTGACATGAGTAGTAATATAAAAGTTTCTCTTTCCGACTCCCGAAATCAGCTGAAGGTGAAGATTAAAGGACCGATTGCAAACTATACAGCCAACGAGACTCCTCTACCTCCGCCCACCGTCGATCCTATCGTCGTGTCTACCATCAATTCTGTAACGAATAACGCAATAAGCAGTGCCTCGATCGGAATATCCTCAGGTGGTACGTCTAATTTGCGACGAATGAGAAAGAAGGAGCTGTTACGGCAGTATTGTTCTCAAGACATGAATATGGACGATCAACCGAATAATCCGGGGTACGTTGCGCCTGCCGCTCCCACCATTAGTCGTAATATCATTACCATTCCAAAGGCAGTAGCTTCTATGACCAGCATACCCACGAAAGACGATTACAGGGACTATAGAACGGGTCCGGACGATTTCTTGGAGAGCAAACATCACCGGAAGGAATCCAAAGCGAGACCCGGCGGACTCTCTAGAGAACTGCGTCAGCTGGATTTGTCGTTGGACGACGACGGTCACCTAGAAAGGAGGAGAAGTGTGGGTTCCGTGGGGAGCAATAATTCCGGCTTGTCTACCAGTTTCGAATCGACTCTATCCAAAAGGAGAGGTCGCCCTCCCAGACCAATACAACAGCCGACGGCGCCGAAGCTTAAAATCAAGATCGGCACCAATAATAGCATCGTGGGCACGTCCAGGGTGGACGACAAGAAAGATAGGATAAGGCCGCCCAAGAAACGTATTACCACCATAAGCATGGCGACGGTGGAAGATCTGAAACGGGAGAGTATGAAATTCAGGAAAAAAGTGATGCAGGAACTGAAGATCAAGAAGAAGAAGGATAAAAGCGAGAAGAGGAAAAAGAAGAAGCTTAAGTCTGAAGTACAAATTATATCTAACCAAGGCGCGAATCCGACCAAACTCATAATTCGGTTCGGTAAGAAGAGCAGTGACGGTGATAGTGACAAACGGACGAGCGGTGAAACGAGCAATAGCGCGATGAACGAAAGCAGAACTGACGTGAAAGACAGTGTAAGGGAAGCGGAGCTTCCGGGTGCGTTAGGTAGCAAAAGTGACAAGCCGCCTATGAAACTGACTCCGATAAAGTTAAAACTGTCGAGGTGCCAGGAGGGGTCGGGCTACATAATGAAGCCCACCACTTCCGTGCCGAGTACAGAAAAGGCGGAGGAGACGCAGGCCGTGCAGCCGGGCCAGCCGCCTCCCGAGCCCCCTCCACCCCCCGTTAGCCTTCCAGATGCTGCGCAGCCCCCCACCGCCACCCTGAAAAAAGACTGTGAAGTTAGATGATAATTGTGTATAATGCAATCTGTCGACTTGTAACATAATATTAGGCGACCAGTGAGGCAGACTTGTACAGACTAGGCTAGCTGCTATTCACTTGTTTCAATCCACATTGTTAAGCTGTCTAGTATATGTGTAGGCTAAGCGAGCACATGTATGTCATTATTTCAGTGTACAAAGTCAATTACAGCCGCAAACGTGTAATCATATTTTTGTACATATTGTAAGTTATGGTAATTGTGAATATACATATAGTACTAATTTATATATTTCATTTAAAATGATTAACTCGTGTTGACAATTTTGATAGATAGACTCGTTATAGAATTTCATCAGATATTGTACAGAACAAATGGCTTGAGTGCAATTTTATTGGTTGTTGTTGTGAGAGCCATCGATTGATTTTATTAATATTGTACAGTTTTATTCTTTAACTCGTTGTCCGACGGACAGTGTAGTATAAATTACTTAAAGATTTTATTATTAACTTTTTATAGTTGTATATTAATTTTATTTTTTATATCTGATATGTTTTTAAGTGTACGAGTTGTATATTTTTTACTACAAGTATTAAAGCACAAGCCATTTGTTGTTTCATGTTACATGATACAAATAATTATAATAAATATGAAATATGAACAAAACGACGGTTTTCTATTATCAATCCAAGACCCTTCACTTATCGTTTTCTTTTTTTTTTACTTGATACGCCACTGTACAATGAGAAGCACAACACTCATGTTATTTAATTTGTATATTTTGTTTATAAGCCGGACTGTAAGATTTATGTGTATTGTTAAAGAAATGTACACATAGTTGAATCATAAATTATATTCAGTTTTATATAAAAAATCCTTGTGTTATAATTTATTCACCCGCTAGCCCGTAAAATTATTTTAGTTTTCCGTCACCGAATCGGCCTGTTACCACGTTATTTTCAAAATGAAATTAATATTAAAAAAAAACGAATTATCTTCATAAATAAAAATGGAATTTGTGCATTGTGCTTTTAAATTCACTGACAGTGGAATTTTTGAAGCTTGAAAATACAGGGTGATCTAAAATTTAGTGTGAATCTACCTAGAAAAATTAATATGCAACTTTACATAAGAAGTTATTTCTTTTTAAATAGATATTTTGACACAAAATTCCGAATGAGATTCAAATTACTTATAATAATGATAATCATTAAAAAAATCTTTTGAAGTATCCTCTTCTACCATGTCAATAATACTACTAACATTTCCGAGAAAAAAAACAATGCTTGTATAAAAAATTTACAATTATATTTTCTGTTTAAATTTGTGTAAATTATCATTGAGGATGAATAATAAATTTGAAACCCGTATTTTTCGATTTAAGAAGATTAAAATTATGTGCGTTGTAATGTCAGTAAGCCAAATTTCAAATTCAGCGCCAAATGCAAATTTTTTAGTACGTGGTCCATAGACTAGCCAATTTAAAACGGATTAATCCCCTAACAAACGGTTGGCACTACGCACAACAACGGCGCTCTCGGTGACTGTATGAAGAAATGCTGACAGTTGCGGCATTTTTGAATCTGCATATTTGCGTTTTATAAAATTTATTATGTATAGCAAAAATACTAAATCGTCGAGTTGAACCGCATCTGAAGAGTTGTGACTCAAATACAGTACAACCGGGAAAGTTCAGTATTTCCCACGCATGTAATAAGTGGACACCAATACTATAACGTAATATATATATATTTACATGAGTATAAGGAAAATAACAGAACATAGGCATACACGAAAACATTTATTATTTCACCATTATATGTTTTGTGATTTCACCTGTTATTTAACAACTATTGATATCTTCTATAAATAAGATTTAAGGAAGGAGGCGAAAGGAACTCGTTTAAAAAAAAGACGAACTTGGTCAGAACTCTACTGGAAGTGAATTAACCAAAGTGACCAAAGAGGCTTTAGTTTTGGCGAAAATAGTACCTATTAGCAAGTAATATCAGTTCAGAGTAACTCTAAGTTGCTATTAGCTACTAATAGTTACTATTTTTGTCAAATCGAAAGGCCCTCAAGTGTGTAAAACAAATACAGCTATTATCACGATCTATAAATATACCGTGGATCAATATCAAATCTGTTTATTTTTATCTGCTCATAGACTTTCAGGAAGGCCCATGATTATATGCAAGTTCAAATTCCAAATATTTGATCATGCAGTTTGCTCAAATTTCTATATAATTATACCTATAATTAGCTGTTGTGAGCTCAAACAACGGAACATGAAATTGCACGGTCTAACTAAAATTTGGATGATATGCATATTGCTTAGACAAAACATATATTGTAGCCTGCATATCATATAGCCAACGACCGCAAATTGATAGCCAACCTAGAACGACCATAACCTTTATTACTCGCATTTTATGCACGATGATACAAATTTAGTTTAGAACATCATAAGTCAAACAAAATATTTTAAAATTCGCTGTTTCTTCTGTATCAACAAATATTTTCTTTATTTGCTTCACACGGGCTGAAGCTGTTGGATCAGTTATTTTGGTACTAGTCATATTGGATATTTGACAGACTACGCAATCTAGATTTTTTGTAGATTTGTGGATGTCTTAGGTCAGACACGGCACGGTGCGTTACGATTCGATTCACATTTGATTTGACATTTACGTGCCGAAAATCGGAGAGTATAGAAGAGTGTGGTTATTTATTTCTAACTATGGCTGATAAAGCGGAAAACATTACTCAAAATGGGGATGTTGCACCCCCGAAGTCTGCAAAACAGTTGGCTAAGGAAGCTGCAAAACAGGCCAAATTGGATAAGCTAAAGCAGAAATTAGAAAAGCAGCAAACTGCAGCACCAAAGAAGGACAAGGATGAGGTAAATTTGAACAGGGAACATATGTTGTAAATGGTTTTAAATAAATATTTTCTTGTAGAAGAAGGAAAAGAAAAAGGATATCAAGGAAGCTGCAATGTACACAGTGCCTACTCCAGAAGGTAACAAAAAGGATATTTTAAATCTACTGCCAGACGCCTACAGCCCAAAATATGTTGAAGCTGCATGGTACAGTTGGTGGGAAAAGCAGAAGTTTTTCAAACCTGAATATGGGGTACGTTATAGAATTTTTAGTTGATGTATATATAATTTGTTCGAAGTGTTATAATTATGTGCCAATCTAACTTAGGTACTGTAACTTTTTTAAAATTGCATCATAGTGGTGTACTTTTACATTTTCCCTAATATTGGAACTAAAGAAAGAAAAAAAATATATGTGAAACGTTTTTTTATTTTAATTAAATATTGTGTGATGTCTTTAAGAAAAATTCAATGCATGGAGCAATAAATTAAAGTATTGATTGAGTAAATCTTGATGGTATTTCTTTGCTTTGATTATTAACTCTTTAATATTTAATAGACAAGAAAAAAATATAAAAATAGAACCATTTCAGAATTGTAGTTTTTTGTAAGTAACTATTTGTATTGCAGCGTAAATCTATTGCCGAACCAAACTCAAAAGGGACATTTGTTGTCGTAATTCCACCACCAAATGTAACAGGTTCGCTGCATTTGGGTCATGCTCTCACCAACGCCATTCAGGATTCAATTGTAAGATGGTGAGTATGATCAGTTTTTTTGGGTTCCTTTAAGGATAGTAAAGTTATTGATTCGTTGTAATTTTAAGGCATCGAATGAGAGGGGAAACAACATTGTGGAATCCCGGATGTGACCATGCTGGTATTGCCACTCAAGTAGTCGTTGAGAAAAAGTTATGGCGGGAGGAACAGAAAACGCGCCATGATATTGGAAGGGAAAATTTTATACAGAAGGTCTGGAAATGGAAGGACGAGTAAGACTTTTTTGCTTTTATAGAACATTTTCCACGCGTGTCTGTTTGATGATTGAAAACTCTTTCTGATTGCTCTAATTATGACAAATATAAAATTTGGAATAAATGTAATTTTATTCGGCAAATTTTTATTGATTACAAATCGTCTTTAGGAAAGGTGTACGTATATACCATCAGTTAAAAAAAATGGGTTCCTCTTATGATTGGGACAGAGCCGCTTTTACAATGGAACCTAAACTATGTCGAGCTGTGACTGAAGCATTTGTCAGACTGCATGAAGATGGCACAATCTACAGATCAAACAGACTTGTAAATTGGTCATGCACTTTAAAATCGGCTATTTCTGATATCGAGGTAAAAAAAACACTTCATGTCTTGCGATATATGACGTCAAGTAAATGAACCATTTTTAGGTGGATAAGATTGAGCTTCCCGGTCGTACTTTCCTCTCCGTGCCTGGTTATAAAGAAAAAATCGAATTCGGGGTATTGATACACTTTGCTTACCAAGTCGAGGGTTCAGATGAAAAATTAATAGTCGCCACTACTCGCGTAGAGACCATGTTAGGTGATACAGCTGTGGCGGTACACCCCGACGATGACAGATATAAGCATCTACACGGAAAATATGTTGTACATCCATTTTGCGACAGGAAAATTCCTATTGTCGCAGACGATTTCGTAGAGCTTGGTTTCGGTACAGGGGCGGTAAAAATTACACCTGCTCATGATCCCAATGATTATGAGGTCGGAAAACGACATAATCTGCCTTTTGTTACCATTTTTGATGACGAGGGTAACATCGTGGGAGACTATGGCAAGTTTACGGTAAGTACCCCAAAAACATTCACGTCTTAATAAACAAATTCTTCTACAATGACGCAAGACTTGCGGTGGTGGAGGTGGTTATAATTTCAGCGGTGGTTAACATTTCTGTTTTTGATATTACGTAGATTTTTTTTCATTTTACGCTCGCCTTAAACTACTTTTTAGGGAATGAAAAGATTCCATGCAAGAAAGGAAATCATCAATGTCTTGAAAGAAAAAGGTTTATATGTGGAGACTACAAACAATCCTATGGTAGTGCCGATTTGCAGTCGCAGTAAAGACATTGTAGAACCGATGCTTAAACCTCAGTGGTATGTGTAACGACTCGATTAAATCTGTTTTGATTACAAAACGTCAAAAATAGTATAACATTGAAAACGTTTGGTAGGTACGTAAGCTGCGGGGAAATGGCCGGCAAAGCTGTTAAAGCCGTCGAGTCTGGAGATCTAAAGATTATCCCCGAGATGCATATAAAGACCTGGAACCACTGGATGGATGGGATTCGGGATTGGTGTATTTCTAGGCAGCTATGGTGGGGTCATAGAATACCGGCGTATTTTGTAACGTTGAAAAGCAAACCGACTAAGGATGCTGCTTCAGCAGTAAGTCTCCCAATTTTTTATTATTTTTTAAATAAATATCTTTTTTTCTTCAAATTGCCAGTGTGGTGAGGAAATGTCGAGGGCAAGTAGAATTTAAATCACTTTTGAAATTCGAAAACTGCCGTAAAATCTTTGTTCATTTCACTTTCCCACCTCGTCCATACTTATAGTAGGATCATATTCGATGCAAAGTAATAAATCATTGCCTGTTAAGGGATCCAGTGCAATACGGTTTTAAGGGGTTTACAAATTGAATATTTAACATTGTTATGTTCAATTTCCTGTTTTTAGTCGGAGGATGATAATCGTTGGGTATCAGGCAGAACCGAAGAAGAGGCTCTGAAGAAAGCTGCTAAGAAATTTAACACTACAGAAGATGACATAATTCTTAAGCAAGATGAAGACGTCTTGGACACGTGGTTCTCGTCTGCTTTATTTCCATTCTCTATATTCGGTTGGCCGAATGAAACAGAAGACCTTCGAGTTTTCTACCCGACTTCCCTCTTGGAAACCGGCCACGACATTCTCTTCTTTTGGGTGGCGAGGATGGTGTTCTTCGGCCAGAAGTTATTGGGGAAACTACCTTTTAAGTAAGTTCAATTATTTTGTCAAAATAACAATTAAAACTACAGATTACATTTAGACTAACTTTTTTAAAAGCCGTCTTTCACATTCCACAAAATTTTCACACACTTTCAGGGAGGTATATTTGCATCCTATTGTCCGAGACGCTCACGGAAGAAAAATGAGCAAATCCCTCGGGAACGTGATCGACCCGATGGACGTAATTACCGGCATATCCCTCGAGGACCTCCACAAGCAACTCTACGACAGCAACCTGGACCCCTTGGAGATCGAGAAGGCCAAGCTGGGCCAGCGGCAGGACTACCCCGACGGCATTCCGGAATGCGGTACCGACGCGCTTCGCTTTGCCTTGTGCGCCATGTGTTCCGGAAGAGACATCAACCTGGACATTTTAAGGGTGCAGGGCTACAGATTTTTCTGCAATAAAATCTGGAACGCCACCAGATTCGCCCTTACGTACCTTGCGGAGGATTTCCGTGCGCCCGTAGATAACAGGGTGATTGGAAACGAGAGTTTGATGGATCTTTGGATGCTCAGCAGACTAGCTACTGCTGTTGCAGATTCCAATAAGGGTTTCAGCTCTTACGATTTCACCCTGGTCACTACCGCCATATACAACGTTTGGTTGTACGAACTCTGTGATGTCTATTTGGTGAGTGATTTTCTGTTAATAATGTCAATTTTGGTCAAAATTAAATTATTCCTGCAAATCTACATTGGTATATAACACATTTTGCCTATTTGCACGCATATGACATGAAAGAAACGCCTAAGCTGGAAAGTAATGGATCGAGAAATGAAACCACGCAGTGTTGGTCGTCTCTTTTTGTGCATGATAAGCAAACATTTCTATGTAAACGTAAACGAATGTCATTCTGTTTTTCAGGAATGTCTCAAGCCGGTTTTTGCTAGCGACGATGAAGACGCAAAGTCGACAGCTCAGATAACCCTCTACAGAGCTCTTGAGGTCGGACTACGTTTATTGTCTCCCTTCATGCCCTTCATTACCGAGGAACTTTACCAACGCCTACCTAGACATGCCGAAGTAGTGGAAAAAATTCCTAGCATTTGCGTAGCGCCTTATCCCGATAGTCAGGAATGCCGTTGGAAGAATGACGTTATCGAAGGCGAAGTGGAATTTATACAGAAAGTGGCCAGAAGCATCAGGTCCGCCAGGAGTGACTACAATCTTCCAAATAAAACCAAAACTGAAGGTAATTGTTGGGTTGCGCCCCATAAATATTTCAATTAAAATTAATATTCCTAACATCATTTTCTTGAAGAAATAATTTCATTTAAAAAATATATCAGAAATTAATAGATTTTCACCTGATTCGTTCGACGATTTGACTGATGACATTGTGGGAGACAACTACTCTGCGGATTAATCTCTGACCAGACATATTGTCAGTTACAAGTGTTTCGTCTAGTGGCGATGCAGGTCTTGCTTTCGTAGCAGGTTGCTCTCTGTCAGTTTGATTGAATCGATAGCTTAGGCATGTTATATTTTTTTATATTTTCCTTTTGGTTTCCGAGACGTCAGTTTAGACATTGTGAAATTTTCATTTTTCCTTTTTTCAGTTTATCTGCAGTGCGGCGATGAGATCACGGCCGAAATGATAGTCAATTACAGTTCCGCCCTGCAGACTTTGGCGTATTGTTCAAAAACCGTCGTTAACGAGAAGGCACCCCAGGGTTGCGCTATAATCACCGTGTCGGATAAATGCGAGGTGAACTTACTTCTAAAGGGCCTGATAGATCCGACGAAGGAGATTGGAAAAATTCAGAAAAAACTGGACTTTTTACAGGGAACTAAAGAGAAAGTTACCAAAGCCATGAGCGCAGCCGATTACGAGTCAAAGGTGCCAGGGGAAGTTCAGCAGGCGAATACGGAGAAGTTAAATCAGACGTGCGTGGAAATATCTAGGTTAGAGGCAGCGTTACGATCTCTGAGATTAATGTAAGCGAAGAAATTTGACGGTCGTCGGTCTGAAGTGCATGCAATAATATGTTTATTTATATGTAGCGCAATTTTTATTTATTTTATTATATATACACGGTGATTGTTAGTAATCGTAATTACTGCTATTTATACACATTTTTTACCTTTTTTACCTAAGAACAATCACACAGTATTATAGTTTAAGCTTTACCATGTATTCGGGTTTTACCATTATGAAATAAAAGCAATTGCCACTATCCTTGCAGTCTGATTTATTGACAATGGTACTTGGACAAATTGATCTTAAAATTTAATGAGAAACAAAAAATAGGGGCAAGTTGGCATAGCTGTGGATGTGTTTTTTCTTTAATTAATTGCCCAGACTAGTTTTTAGGAAAAGGGAAGGGCAGAGTATTTCTGCATCACTTTCATTTGTACAAGCTATACGGGTTCCGATAAATTGGAAAAAATTTATCAAGACTGCAGACCAAAAATGTTTAGAACTGACAATCTGAAACGATTCTGGAGAACCATAACGGCTCTAACTAATCCAAAACTGCATTCAGTTCCTTTCTAGGACCTCCAGATTTTCGATTTTTTTTCCTTAACTCTCACTTACAAAAACCCTTTGTATTCAGCGACCCCAGTTGCATACGGAACCGTCTTTAGAAAAGCACTCATTTTTTCAGAATTTTCATGTACCATTTATTTTCCCAAAAATTTCGCAGAACGACCAATCCAAAACTGTATTCAGTTCCTCTCTAGCTCCACTAGTTCTGGAAATTTACCAATTTTTTAGTCGTTCCATTTCAGTTTTTGTTTAGCAGGCAACACACAATACAATGCTTGTGTATACTTGGCTGCATAAGAATTCTTGAAACTATATATTCTAGATTTTGAATAAATTAGCAACACATTTATAAATAAATCAGAAAATTCTGAAAAAATTCCAGTAAACTACAACGGCCCTTATCAATCCAAAACTGCTCAGTTCCTCTTTAATTCCACAAGTTTTCGAGATGTCTATTTTTTTCTTGACGGAGGCTTTTGCACTAAAACCGGCCATCACAGCGTGTTTGGCGAACCCAGTTGCGTACGGAACCGCCTTTAGAAAAGACGATACGCCGTATCTAGTTTGGGCCGCAGAATACGCCGATGTATTACGCTTTTTTTGTAAGTTGCTTTCCTGAAAAAAAAATTGAAAATCCCGAAAATTACGCCAGTTAGAGAGAAATTCGTTTTAGTTTTGGATTTGCCAATATCGTTATAGCCTGGAGAAATTTTTTCAGATTTTACCGAGACCCTAAAATTTTTTTTCCAAAAAATCAATAGACCCATCAATTTTCTAAAAAATTTTTAGACCTCTAAAAATTCTGAAAAAATTCAGGTACACAATAACGGCCCTGACTAATCCAAAACTGCCGTCAGTTCCTCTCCAGATCCGCCAGTTTTCGAGATTTTTTATATTTTTCCGAGCTCCAAAAATTTTTTCTCCGAAAAATCGATAGGCAGTCATCGATTTTGTCAAAAATTTTTAGGAGTCTGAAAATTCTGAAAAAATTCAAGTAGACATTAACGGCCCTGACTAATCGAAAACTACCGTCAGTTCCTCTCTAGCTCTGTCAGTTTTCGAGATTTTTTATATTTTTCCTTCGTTCCAAAGTTTTTGTTAGATAGGCAACATACAATACATACGTGTGTATACTTGGCTGCATAATAATTCCTAAAACCGCCTATAGACACCCACTTTAATTTTTTGACGATAATTTTCATGTAAATTCTAAAAAAATTAGAATGCCGTCAAAGACTACACCTACAGACCGATATTTTGTAAGTTGCTTTCCTCAAGAAAAAAATTGAATATCTCGAAAATTACGCGAGCTAGAGAGAAATTCGTTTTAGTTTTGGATTTGCCAGTATCGTTATAATCTGGAAGAATTTTTTCAGATATTTCCGAGCCTCTAAAATTTTTTCACCGAAAAGTCGATAGGCTATAGTCGATCGATTTTCTCAAAAATTTGTAGGAGTCTGAAAATTCTAAAAAAATTCAGGTAGGCAATAACGACCCTGACCAATCCAAAACTTCCTTCAGCTCCTCTCCAGTTCTACTAGTTTACGAGATTTTTTAATTTCTTTCAAGTGTTTATTTGGTAGGCAACTCACAATACATACATGAATATACTTGGCTGCATAAGAATTCTTAAAATTCTAAATATTACTGATTTTGGGTAAATGCATTAAAAATTAACAACACAATTATAAATAAATCTTCCTTTATTTATAAAACAGTAACATAATTTCCCAGTTTTCTAATGTAGCTTAACAATTCACAATAAAAAGACACAGAAACAAAACATCTCACCTACACAGAAAAAAGTCGGTTTATACTCGATACAGCCAATGCAATCACGTTAAAGCAACTTTTTATTCTCCTCCGTATAACAATATATCCTCAAAGAACCGAATTTAGAAAAGCACTTTAATTTTTTGACAACTCATCGATTTTCTCAAAAATGTTTAGGATTCAGAAAAATCTGAAAAAATTCAGGTGAACAGCCCTGATCAATCCAAAACTGCATTCAGTTCCACTCTGGCTCCTCCAGATTACGAGATTTTCGATGATTTTGCTTAATGGTGGCACTTGGAAAAAACTGACTACCCCAGTATGTTTAGCCACCCCAGTTGCGTATGGAACCGCTATTAGAAAAGCACTTCAATTTTTTGACAATCTTCATGGACTAGTCCATTGATTTTCTCAAAAAATTCGAAAATATTTTTTATGATATGGCATTTGGACAAAAACGGACCATATCAACATAGTCAGCGCCTTCAAATTATTATTATTTAATTTGGTATTTATTTTTCGACAGGTCTCATCAACTCCATCAATTTTACATGAAACAGAAAAATCTGAAAAAAATTCAACTATACTCCGCGGTCGAAATTATAGAGAGTGACTCATCGCTAGCTTTTGGACTAGTAAGGGGGATGAAGCGTGCCGGGAACGAAAATCCATTGGCGTGTCTGCGTAAAAGGCAACAAGATATAGAAAATATTGAAAAAAGATAATAAAATATAACATCTAATATTTTTTTACGGTTTGCTATAAACGGCACTTTGATCCATTTTAATTATTACAGCATTTTAAAACGTCCCAGTTGTGTTTTTTTAATTTATAAATTTATTATAGCCATTGAATTAGATCCCTTGTCTACGCTTATGCCATGACGTTTCTCAGGACGGATAAATCAAGTCCATTTACACCCACTAAAAAAGCAACGCCCTATTCCCTAACAAGTGCAAAAGACAGAGATAGAATACAGATCGATGTTCAGTGTAATTCAGTCTATAGGCGATTATAGATTCTACCGATGTGCGTAGCGAGCGGCACAAAGATAAATAAAATCTTTCCCGTATAAAAATCATTTTATATTTTATACACATTATGGTAATAGTGTTTTTATATTATGTCTGAGTCACTCTCTATAATTTCGACCGCGGAGTATAGACTATAAAATCGGGAGAATCACGAGATGAAATCAGTTCCTTTTTTACCTGTAAGACTGCAAGGGTTTTCAAGATTTTCATATATCTGTAGGTACACATGCCGCAAGCGACCCATATTTTAATTACGACGTCAATAACGCCATCCTGACGCCACCCGGGACGCAACAGGGTTCCAAAAAAAAAGGTCAACGGTAGATAGGCGCCAAGGACCGGGTACTTCTGCAAGCGACTTCACACCAAGACGACTCTCCAGCGAACACTCGTCCTGACAACACGTATTCCTTTTCACAAACGTTTTCAATAAAAATACTTATTTTTACCGCTGAGAGAGCGTTTTATTTTTGCTGTACAGCGAAAGCAACCACTCCAACTGCAGGACGAGTGATCGCTGGAGAGTCGGTCTTGGTGTGGAGTCGGTAGCAGAAGTACCTGGTCCTTGGCGCCAATCTGCCGGGGTCGTCTTCCGGGAACCCTGGTGCGTCCGGGCGCTCTTGACGCAACACTCAAAATGGGTCACTTGCAACATGTGTACCCACATATTTTTATGAACTGCGGCATTTGCACAAAAACAAACAACACCAACATATTCAGCACCCTCGAATACAAAGACGGAACCTGAAAGCGCAATTTGTGAATCAAAGAGTGAATCAGAAAAACAAACGAATAATTTACAAATTTTAATATCAGTTATTGAATGTGCAAATTAACAAAACAAATCGGTATTAAAATTACATAATAGGTAAATCTCTAAAATCAAAATTTTATACGTATATCACAGCTAATTCTATATTTAAATATAAATAAATCCAATGCAGTGTCTTTTTGATTTCACGATATGTGGCAGGTATGTATTTATATTTTCTACCTATCATTAAAATTGTGCTTAGTATTAAAAAATATCTTTTACTGCTATTGCTGTGAAAGGAAATAATAACAATAAATATGTAATAAAAAAAGGTAAAAGAGTATTTCACGTACACAACAAAAAAAAAATAATTAAAAATGTATATAAATAAAATTTAAAAAAAGAAACAATTTTGCACAATATAGACTATCACTTTTACTCGAATTTTGTCCATTGTCCCTGGGAATTGACTTTGTTGACGTTAAAAGGGTCGAAATTCTGTTGGCTTTGCATACCGGAAAAATTAAAATTTAAACCGTACTCTTGCAGCAAGTCTTGATCGTTTCGACTGCATTCCCTATTTAAGTTCTGCTGCGAACTGGGCATCCTTCCGTTCTGCTTCACGCTGTGATTTTCATACGTATACAAAGGATTGGTAATACTAAGAGGAACTTGACTATTCTTGCTGCTAGACCGGGATGGTGACGATTTAGACGTGAGAGGATCGAAATCCTCCAAGTCCGACGTGGAATCTAATCGAATGAGATCTTCCGTTTCTTCGTTTTGCTGAAATTAATTACAAAAATTTAAGCACGCTCAAACGTTTACACGTCCTAAGAGGGCTCTATAGCAAATAGGCAACCAGCAATACATTTTTATAGATTTTATTACACCGTTTGTCTAAATATGAATCAATGCACAAGTAACAGACTTTCCCCCATCTTAACGCAGATTTTCTATAAAATGGACTTAGTTTGAAAGTCAAATAACGTTTCGGTGTAAAGAAATTTGTAATTTACGGTGCAAATTACAAATTCCTTCCCACCAAAAAGTAATTTGACTTTCAAACTAAGTCCACTTTATAGAAAATCTGCGTTAAGATGGGGGAAAGTCTGTTATTTGTGCATTGATTCATATTTACACAAACTGTGTAATAAAATCCACAAAAATTATATTTAAGTTGTGTTATTTTGTAACTTGACTCAATCACGCAAGCAGAAATACGACGAACTCTCTAAATACGCGTTGCACTAACAGAAAAGCATGCTTATGACAGTGACAACCTTTACCTTCCGCCTAGGCGAACACGTGGGAGGCGACAACTTAACGATATCAACGGAATGCTGATTAGCGACAAAAAACAGGGGATCTCCATTTTCGCTGTGCCCACCACCGACAACAAAGGGTGTAGTGCCGAAAAGGTCCCTGCTAGTGTCCTTAGCGGGAACTCTAGGGGGGACAGAGGGGGGTGACAGAAATACATCGTCCGGTGACTGGAGGAGGTTCTGCGTCTCTTGGGAATGGTTGGTTGTGGGGAGGAAGAAACGATTGGGTGGGGAAGCTATGGGCGCCCCCATTCTGGAGGGGAACACCCACCGGTCGGGACTGGACAGTGGGGAGGTGTTTTTAAAGTTCTCTAAACTTCTCACTGGTTTTAGCTGGAAGCGAAATACAAGCAGTTAGAACAATTAAGCTGGTCATAAAATTATACTCTAGGAATGAGTAAAATAAATTTTTACATTAATTAAATTGTATAAGGATAAATTTTTCCTTGGAAGATTGTCGACAAGGACAATTTTGTCTTTACAAGAATTATACAGGGTTCTTCACGGTAAGTGGCCTATTAGACGTTTCAGAGGAACCAAAGGCAATATGACTACGAAATTTTGTTTACGGGGGTTATCAGATATGCTCTCTTCAATGAAAATAATGCCATCAACCGGTTATACCGTAAGTAGCTGTCAACTTCGTTATTTTAAATGGAACACCCTACACATTATTGCATTATCGACAAGATAAATTAAAAATTAGTCAAAAATGTTAAAGCTTCCCTGTACCTAGTACAGGGAAACTTTTGACATTCTTGACTTATTTTTAATTTATCTTGTCGATAATGCAATAATTTATAGGGGGTTCCATTTAAAATACCGAAGTTGACAGCTATTTCCGGTATAACCAGATGTTGATGGCATTATTTTTATCGAAGAGAACATATCTGATAACCCCCGTAAACAAAATTTCAGTCATATTGTCTTTGGTTCCTCTGAAACGTCTAATAGGCCACTTACTGCGAAGAACCCTATATAGTATTGTTAAAGCAATAAATGAGAATGTTGACAACTGTAGCGGATTTTCCAGACTGGCGTAACTGTGACAAAAATTTGGTCAATACGACTTTTCCACTTCATAAACTTAGTCTCCAGTAAATTCCATGGAAATTAAGAATAATGGCATAGAAATGCAGGAAATTTTTTACATTTTAAATTTAATCGGATGCAAATAAACTTATTTTTTATTAAAGTCATTGGTAAATTGAAATATTAATTTTGTTTGAGGCAATTTTTTTTTAATACACAAATCGAAAATCATAAATAAAATTTATTAAATCTATTGGGCCTAGGGAATATTCGATAAGTTGATTTTAAAATATTCACTGACAATTGACTGACCCTTTTTTTATTTTCCTTTTCTTCAAATGCTCGCCAATCACACAAAAATTAATGTTTTTAAAATCCCCTACATATTTCTCCAGACATACTCATGTTTTTTTCCATATGTAAATTTGTGTCAGTCATACCACATGCCGCAGACCGCCAAAATTTTTATAGCCGCATAGGATGGCAACACTGGATTTGATTATTCATTCAATAAGAAAAAATACTTTTTTATGTCATACTTTGTGTCTCAATATACTGGATTAGAACAAAATTAAAACGGTATTAATAAATCATTGTAAATATTTAAGTTTTATGAAAATTTGTGGTTTTTCCTATATATAAAAAAGGATTGGAATAGGTATACACAAAAAACTAATGATGGTCTTAGCATTTGATAGGTAGATGATTGAAAACACAAAAAACAAATAATAATTATAAATATTACAGCAACAATCCAAAGCCACTAACTACAGATGAAAGTATGGCTGATGATCACATACATATACAAGATGTTCAATGGGAAAATACACAAACTTTAAACGAATACTCGTAAGTAAATGTAAACAAAAAAATTTATATAAGCTCTGGTCTGAAAATGCACTATGTATAATTTTTTAAATTAAAATTCACATAATAATTATTTGAACTGACATACAAAAACAATAACAAATAAACACTTTTTTTAATCAAGGATTGTTTTTGCTTGTTTCTACTTGAGGAATGATTTTTTGAAGTTTGTGTGCTCCCCCATGGAACACTCTGTATGAATTAAAATAAAGTTTTATCCAATTTCCAATGTAGAAGCAAAATATAATATCAGAAAACATTTAAAGTTGACGAATATTACATTTTTGCAATACCTTACCTTTAAATATGTGCTCGATTTTAAATAAATAATATTTTTCTAATGTTGCCATACTTACCGATCGGTCGACTGGAGGTGTGTCAAGACGCAGCTGCAGTAAGTCCTCCATTTCATTCATCAAGTCGATTCTGGGGATCTCTATCGTAGGACTTCCACTTCTTGGCGTATCTAAATAAGCATCTGGCGATATAGGCTGGGAGCCGGGACTTAGTGGGCTGTAGGACCTACGAGACAATTATTGCTATACAGGGCGATCAAAAAAGAGATCAAAAAACATTTTTTTTATAAACTTTTTTCGACATCTTTTTCGATATTTCATTCGACATCTTAAAAAATTTTCAGGATTCATACATATTTTCAACTTACGACAATTTACTCATTGTTAGTCACAGCCAATGAGTTGTATAGTTTTGGAGATAAATATCACTATTTGATCTCAAGATTATTAGGAAAAAAGTTCTAATTTAATTTTGTTGAAGAGAATCGTTTTCGTGAAAATCAATAGTTAAATTTCGTAACATCGATTGCATGTGCTTTAAAATATCATAAACTTTATGAACTTGTATAAAATCTAGTTGCGTCATTACACGAAGAAAACTTAAAATGCATTTTGCGTTTGTTTCCTGCAACAAAAGCCTGCTCCGTTTATAAATGCAGCCTTTTAATCCGGATTTTTTTTCAAGTTTGTTTAAATATTCAATATACAGTGTGTCCATAAAGTCAATAAAACTATTTTGCATCCACCTCAATTGGGCTTGTTTGTATATATTTCTTGAAAAATTACAAATTATTTCTTAATTTGGAACTGAACCTCAAATTTAAATACGATTTTATAAATTGATTGCCCGATTTAGAAAGAAAAGAATAGTATGTATTAATATTAAATTTACAATAAACAAAATATATTTTTTCACAAAATTTGATACAAAATTATGGTGGAGCAAAATTCAATAGCTCATTTAGATTTTAAATAAAAAAAATGGTAACCAATTTTTTATTATACCTGGCTCTGATAACAAAGTAAATTTACAAGTCAGGTGGCAATAAAATTTTTTATTTTTATACAAAGATTTCGAAAAAATTTCATGACCCCACATTGCATTTAAGTTACACGGATGTACAGTGTAGTTTTAAGTTTATTTGGAACCAGAAAATAAGTTTAGGATGCCGAACGGAATTTAATAAGCGATATGGTCCTTACAAAAAATATAAGGTAATGATCCCATAAAATTTTTTTTTTCGTATTGAATTGGGAATATACAGGTTGTTCCAGGAGGAAGTGCACAACTTTTAAGGAAATATTCTTCAGGTACTAAACAAAAAAGTTTGTGTATGCATCGGTCCTAAATAAAAAAAAAAAATTAACAGAGAAGTTTGGTTCATGTTTGGTCCTCATTACTTGGAATAGTTCTATATGCATATTTAAGGGGTAAGACCACTGTAAAATTTGCAGAAAATCTATTTTCTTTATTGATTTGAAAGATGCCTTGGACCTTTTAGAATAAGGGGAAAGAAGTTTATGCCTGGTCAAATTTTTTTTTCTCTGAAATTCCAAGCTCTTTAGAGAGTTTGTGTTCAATTAGAAACGTTTTCAAACAAAAGTATGTTAGTATAGAGTATGCAGTGTGTTTTTTACTACTATTAGCAATACTAATTAGAAATAATAAAACATTTAATAAATTCGTATTATTTTTTTATTAGGTATTAGGTTTTTAAATTATTGATTAAAAAAAAATTGTTGGATATTTTGTGCTGTATTGACTTTTAATACCGTTATGACTTCCTGCAATAGATATTTTGAAAGCGTTCAGAGCCATACTAAGGAAGAATTTTAAATGATAGCTAAAACAAGCTAAAAACCTTTTTAAGCGATTACAAAACTAATATCATCTAATTCAGAATTATGACCTTAGATTTTGTCATAAAAATAGCAGCGACGTATTTAAAAAAAATGAGCCTGATGATGTCCTCCCGAAGACGAAACGTCGGATTGCAAAAATGTTGACACCATTTGCAATTTATTTTTAAGTTCGTTTCCAAATAAAGCCAGAAAAAAAATAAAACGATTTTGCAAAATTTCGGGTTTTTCCGGATATCTTCGGAACCACCTGGAATATTAAAACTAGAATCAAGATGTTAAAATTTCATAACAACGGGAAAGACTCTACGACCCCCTCTTACGTACGCCCCTGATGGAGCACACAATTTCGCTGAATTACGACACCGTATCGTGAAAACAAATACGCATTATCCGTTACATGTCGCTCTAGAACGCGTCCACGTATACAAAAAGCAACGAAATAATCGTTTTCCACCGCATACATAAATAATGACTGACCTTTGAATCCCAGAAGGCTTGAAGCTCAGCGCGGCGTCCTTGCGATAGCTGGCGATGGGGGCGCTGAACCCTGCTATCGTCCTCCGTTTCCCTGTCGGCGAATTCGGAGCGGAACGCGGCTTATCGCCGGTCTCCAGCCCATTCTGCAACTGGTGCGGTCCCGAGTTTTCCTTCAGTCTGGACCGCAACCCTTTGTAAGCGCTCTTTACCCCCTTCCCGCCGTCCTTCACCTGACGAAAACGGGATAAATCTTTAATTAAGTAAAGTATGTACAGTGTAAACGCTTAAAATAGCGTGTAATAAGTTCCAGTATGCTCATACAAGAGAGAAGTAGCAACAAATCCGCTTCCAATTTTTTTTGTTCATCTATCTATTCTCTTTAGAAAAATATCTTAAAAACTTAATTTACATAAAAAATGTCCAAATATATTTCATTTATAAATAAATTGTCCAATTTCAGGCAAAAGCCGCTCGGGAATTCGCTCTTTTTGCATTAAATAAAGCTTATTTTTACGAAAATTAAAAAAAATTAAAAATCACCTACGCCTCTTTGTTCCCAAAATACCTTTTTTATAACGTTTGACCGAAGCAAACACACTGAAAATCATTTATGAAACATATTTCGCGGTAACGTAACAAAAAAAATACAGTAGTGCGATAAAATGCCGAGCTGTGGAAAAAATGTTACAGGTACGTCTTCAATGAAAACTGCATGCAGCCATGCATTACTTGTGTTCGAGGATCACATTTAAAAGGCACTGAAATGACTGTAGCAGGCTGAAACTGACCTAATTTAATCCTAGACAACGTCATGCAATGTTTGATAAAAAAAAAGGTCCTAGACTTACCGTCTTTACTGCCGATTTCATTGCTGGATTAGCCTACAAAATAAAAGTGAAAAAAGCAACGGATAACATGATTACTGCCGCAAGACCATACTTTTGAATTACCTTATCTTTGACGCTCTTGAAGAACGCGGTGCCTTCCTTCTTCATTGTCGACGTCCACTCCTTGTACTGCTGCTTCAGCTTCGAGCCGGATTTGGCGCAGTACCCTTCGAGCTCGAATTCGAATTCGTCGGAAAAACCTTGGCCCGTGTTTAACATGGTTAGTCGCTCTTCTATGAACTAAAAATATAGTGCATTCATAGTGAATACAGGTGGTGGAATCAGAAACGACCGCACATCGTCGCAATATGTAATTTTCTTTTTATTTAGTTTATTCGGTGGCGGCTGGTGCGGGGAGCTCCCCAGCAATTTTCAAAGTAGAGTTCCGCGTTTACGCTCTGTAAAGTGTTTACAGTGGTGGTCATGGTTATCGTCGCGCAGTAGTGAGAGACGGAGTGGGAGTAGAGCATATTTACTATGCAGTTTGGGCTCTGTTCTCTGTTTAGTCCGACTCTAATTAAATAGGTCGCTATTCACGGCTTGTTTTCTTATTAAACGTAATTTGTTCAGGTGTGATGTAAAGTTTTGCTACTTACGTATTGCTTCTTGTGTTTTTTTAAAGATTGTAAAAGTTTAAATTGATTCGAAAGACAGACTAACAGTAAAAATCAATGATTACATTACATGAAAATCAAATACCAAACTTTATTAAAAAAATAATATAATTGAAAAGTTTATTTAAGACAAAAGCTGGACTTTCTCTATAAAAAATAATGTTGAACACTAAGTAATTAAGAATTAAATTATTTGCACAATACTTGAACAGATTTCAAATTCCAATGACGTCGCAGACACCATTTTACCGACTAACTTATAGTGTTACGACACTGAAAAATATATTTTTTTTATTCTTGGAATAGATATGGAATTTTATTTTCAATAAAAATTGTTCTATTTAAATAAATTTAATTTCAGTTTCGAGTACTGAATAATGTCAATACAACTGTTGACATTCGTAAAGAGATCTACACTGATATGTAGCCGAGAAGTGTTTATTTGTACAAATTAAACAATTTCCTCTTGGATTGTCGGAATGTAAATTATTATGTTGTCTGAAATATTCCGTAGCATCTTTAACAAACCTATTAAATGATTCTTGAATTGGTTTTACGAGTATAAGCTAATTTAATTGAACACCAAATAATTTGTTTATTAATAACATGATTTCGGATGAGCGCAACATTAAAAATGTGTCACAGTGAGGTCAATTTATTTGTTCATGAACATTCACCTATAATTTTTTTCCGTTGTTGCAAAATATACAAGAACTTTAAATGATAAATTAATCTTATAGTCCAGGCGATAGAGCAGTAAAAGTAGGCTTTGGCGTTTGTGTTTGAAGTCATCTATTTTGTTGTACAGAAAAATCCCAAATATTATGTAGAATAAAGATCCGAGTTTGCCTATTCCAAAAAACCATTGCTAAGTTAAGGGGAACAACAAACATACAAAAAGAACGAAAAATGACCCGTTTTTCGACATATTTTTACCTGTAACATTGAAAGTAAGCCCTAAAGAAAAAAGTCATTCTTTATTTTTTGTTTATTTGACTTTCTATAAAGTTACAACAACTGCGAATCAAAAAAGTTGAATTTGCATTAACAATGAGCGAAAAATAGTAGAAAATCATATGTATATTAGGAGAAATTTTTAAAATAAGTAAATATTTGATGGAACTAAAAATGTTGCAACGATCGATCTCGTGGTTTTCGATTGACAGGATTGTTAATTAATAGCTGTTTTACATTGACAATTTATTGATCAATTAATTAATGAAGTCGCTTTGTCAAGTTTTTTGACGAATGAATCAGTTCTACCAACGAATCAAAGAAAATTCAAAAATGTCACCTTTCCACTCATAATTGCAGTGATACAACAGCGGTACCGTTTTGACACATATTTTATGAATATTAGTGTTTGTAAGTAACAAATCAGTAAAAATAATGCAAAACTAGTACGACGCCACACAATTATTTACATATTCCAATAACATAACCTCATTACTGATCTGAGGCTGGAAATCGGAAATCTGTTGGGTTGGTAATTAATTCATGAAGTTATTTGACAGCAGATTTGGTGCATTACACTTGTTCAATTTCTTGATGAAGCGACTTCATCAATTAATTGATCAATAAATTGTCAATGTAAAACAGATATTTAGAGCATGTTCTATTTCTTCATAAAGTTTCATCAATATTTATAAATATTTACTTATTTTAAAAATTGCTCCAAACATACATATGATGTTCTACTATTTTTCGCCCATTGTTAATGCAAATTTAACTTTTTCGATTCGCAGTTTGTAGAAAATAAACAAAAAATAAAGAATGACTTTTTTTTGTTTGGGGCTTACTTTCAATGTTGCAGGGAAAAATATGTCGAAAAACGTTTCATTTTTGGTTCTTTTTGTATATTTGTTGTTCCCCTGAATTTAGCAGTCGTTTTTTTGGAATGGCAAACTCAGATTCTTATTCTACCTAATATTTGGGATTTTTCTGCACTACAAAATAGATGACTTCAAATACAAACGCCTCGAATACTCTACCGCCTGGACTATTAGTAATTTCAAACAAATTGGGAGTGCAAAAAATAATATTCTAGTCACTAATTAAACCCTTGGTATATAATATATTATTATTTCAGTCGTGGATTACATGAATACATGAAAAATCAACTTAATATCTTAAAAAACTTACGCTTAAATAAAAAACAACCCAATCCCATTATTTTTATCCGAAGAATATACCTACTTACAACGCTTGACCTACTTTTTTGTATGAAACGCCATCGTCAATTTTCCACAAAGACACAATATTCTCGCGAGATAGCACTCACCTGTTGGAAAATCTGCAGGTGCAGCATCTCCCTGAGGAAGGGCTGGAGTGAGACGGGCCTGGTCTCGATGAACTTCTCCTCGTCGAAGGTGACCTCCTTGCCCGATTGGAACCTAAGCGCGTCCCTGTAGCCGCCTATCAGTTGGACGAGGGCCCGGAGGAAGGCCCTGGACACGCCGTCGCCCAGCGATTTGTTCCGCAATTGCTTCTTCAGAGACACTATCTGGATCACAATGGGCATCAATGAGCGTTGAAAAGGAGGCAGGGGATCATGAATAAAACGGCGGAGGAAGTGGCTTCTACGGCGACTTAGCGCATTAATTCGATTTCGTGGTAATAAGTAAATAGCCCGCCTTGTATTGTGTGCCCGGCCGTTGTTTTTAAGTGAGGAGGATATTCAGTTTAGTTCATTGATGCACGAGTAGGTATAGCGAGCGGTGAAGATATGATTTAAAGTGAGTGGGTTTTGGTATTTAAACAACTAATTTCGGCTGTAAATATACAGAGTGTTCGTCATACTTCATATCTGAGCACGGAAAAATTAAACTTTGAGCGACTCGTCAAAAAATAAATAAATACACAGGATTTTAATTAAGTACGTCGATAAACTTTCAGGGGCAATTTTTTTTAGTGATGTTAAGTCAAAAAGGTTATGTACTCGACAGTTATAATTAAAAAAATAACATTTTGTAAAATATCTCTGGAGAGGTTTGATGCACAGTGATGAAACGTGGTATGTACTTTACCTATCCTAAGAAATCCCTCTGCGTACCCCTGGTTGAATACAACTTCTCTAGAAAGGGCTGATATGTGCTACAACTTTAGTCTTATTCCTACATTTTTAATGAAACCAAAATAAAATATTTTTTAAACTACCCTTATTTCTTTAAAAACTTGTTTATCTTTCAAAATTTCTACTTTAATTCTTGAAAAAAAAAAATCCAGCTATGAAAAACATTCAAATTCACAGTTAGATGTAAGACCTATCTCCAAATGCGGAACAACAACGCCCTTCGCTTCGTCTCCGTTGACCCACACTATCTCCCTTCACGTGCACTGTAGCTTGCCTACAATTCCTGTATTTGTAATACATAAATATTACAGTGGCGGCGTACACAAGTATTAAAGTGTATTTTAAAAATCTAATTACAATTCCGACTGCTTGATTCAATAAAAAAAGATTCGTATTCAGAGGAACAAGTACTATTACCCCTAAAAAAACTGACCACCCACTTAAAGATACACCCTGTACAGATGTAGATAAATAAGCTCATACAGAATCCTCCAATATTTTCGTACTCAAAATTAATACTTTTTTTTTTCTTTCTAAAAACTAAAAGGCGTACTTACTACTTCTTGAGGGAGATTATTGAGATCATCGAAAGGCGTTTCCACCGTATTGGCGTCGGCGTCTAGGATTACCACATCGCCGATTTCGCTTCTACGGACTTGCTGCAAAATAAAGTAACAACTTGGATCTGCCTAACTATGAAGGGGGTTGGTTACAAGGCATGTAAGACGAATTTGAAAAGCACGAATTTTAACATACAGGGTAGGAAAGTACTGATGGTCTATCTGAAGTTACGTGAGAGCGATAAAGTAAGCCATAGAAATCCATGCGATAGAGAAGTATGGCTATAATGAGGGCCTCTCATAGTCACCGCCCGTTCCGCCCTTCCACAAATAAGATCCACTTCTTATTTGTGGAAGGGCGAAATGGGCGTTGACTATTAGAAGCCTTCATTATAGCCATCCTTGTCTATCACATTGATTTCTATGGCTTACTTTATCGCTCTCACGTAACTTCTGATAGACCATCGGTACTTTCCTACACTGTATACCGGGTGTAAGAAGTATGACTGCCATAATTTCAGCATGAGATAGAGTAATCGTAAATGAACAAAAAAGTTGCACATTACAGGGCCGTAAGATTAACAGTTTCATCACAACGTGACAACAGCGCAACACAGCTGTAAATTTCCAGTTTTTAAATAAATAAAATAAAATGTATCGATTTTGTAGTACGAAGACAGTGCTGTGCTTAAATTTTAGCTCGAATTTTAGTAATTATGAATAAAACGGGAACTTAACTTTTAATCAAATTATGAATTTAAAAAATAGGGATGTAACCCTAGGGACCCAAAGATTCACGTCGTCCAAATAATCATAGGTATTAAAAATAGTGGTACGCAAAAAACACTGCGACACAGTCCAATTCCAGATACCAACTGAATTGAGTATTGCTGGGCAGCTTAGTACCTCGTGTTAACCGCTGCGCCGTTGTCACATTGCTCGATATGAATTTTATCGAATTTTAGTTATTACAACGCTAACTATTTTTTAAAATTGAGCATAAAGAAGTTCAAAAAAGGGATAAACATTGCATTTTATGGTATTGTATGCATGCAGTTATGTCAATATTTTTTTCTCGGAAATGGTTGAGTTTAGAACCCATGTCATATAAAATTTTTTGTTTAGTTTAGGACTCATGTCATATAAGATTTTTTGTTTATTTTAATGTCGTTAATTATCGTCTGTTAAAATTAAGGCAGTAATCCATAATTCAAAAACGTAAAAACTAAGTGAAATCTATTTAAATTAATGTTATTTTAATTGAAATACATTATTTATAAATAAAAATATAAATTATACCAAGTGTAGTTATGAAAATAGTGCAAACTAAATTGAATTTAAAACATTCTATACCGTATAGGACTGCTACAGCAAAGTAAATTAAAAAAAAACTGCATTCCCGCAAATGAAATTTGTAAAAGAATAGATATTTCTGACAGGAAATGTCCGTAAATCCTGGATTATATTGGCAGATCCTTTGACGTGGGCGTGTTTATTTATCTTGCTAGAATTTCAAGTCTATTACTGATAATTAATTTGCTACTCATTATTTTATTATGCAAGCTTGTTGATGTGGCTATTTTGGAATATTTTCCTGCTTATTTTTAGAGACGACGACATTGATACACAAAATTAACCGAAGGTGTGATCCGAGCTTGAAGAAATACAATTACGTGTCATGTCAGTCATAATAAGATTAAAAAAAAATAAATTTAGTATTAGTTGATTGATCTATATTGTGTATAGATATATTAGTCCAACCAAATTACACTTGGAGAAAAAATTGTTACCTGGACTTTTATAAGTGGAAATGGTAAAAGGGCTTATAATAAATCTAAAAAAAACTAAATGCGTGAGGCGTGAGGTGGCGGCAGGTTGATTTGGGGAGTTGAAAAGTTGTGAAAAATTGTATCATTGGGATTTCTGGCGAAAGTTGACGTCAAACAAAAAAATATCCAATATAATGTAGATCGTGCAAAAATCTACAACTTTTGTAGAGATCACTTTTTGAGATAACCTCAAAATTTACGAGAAAAATGCGAAAAACAGTTTTTTTCTGATTTTTTAATTTTTTATTTCTCATTTCCGCAAAAATAACTTAATTTTGACGAAACTTGGTGAAAGTATACCTTTCTGTGTCTTAAATAAGCACAATTTTTTTAGATATAAAAATCAAGAAGTTTCCGAGATATTCATTTTTCCGGTCTGAAAAATCTGTAATCACAGTTCAATAACATGTTCAAAAATGCAAAAAAAAAATAAAAAGTGACGCAACAATGAATTTTTCAGTAATTGTTGATAATTTGTTTAAATTAAAAAAAAATCAAAACTGATTACACCATTCAATTCTACGGAAAAAAATACAAAAAAAAACTGTGTCATTATTTGACCCAAAACTTCATTTGAAATGAATATCTCGAAAACTTCTTGATTTTTTTATCTAAAAAAATGTGTGGTTATTTAAGATACAGAAAGGTATACTTTCACCATGTTTCATCAAAATTAAATTATTTTTGCGGAAATGAGAAATAAAAAACGAAAAATCAGAAAAAGACCTGTTTTTCGCATTTTTAAAAAAATGGTTATTTTAAAAAGTGACCTCTACAAAAGTTGTAGATTTTTGCATGATCTACAACTTTTCTATTGGATACTTTTTTGTTGACGTCAACTTTTGCCCAATGATACAATTTTCCACATCTTTTCAACCCCCCCAAATCAACGCATTTATTTATTTATTTTTTCATTTATTATAAGCCCCTTTGCTATTTCTTTTTTTCCCCTCTAAATTCCAATTGGTCTATATGTTTATTGGTTACAGGTTTCTAATATCCAATTAAACATCAAATTGCGAAATCTAAAATATGGACATTTAGGTTTTTCATTTGAAGTATCTGTAGAATCAAAGATTGTTTTCTAAAAAATTAAGTCATTGTGTAAATAAATGATGCGATCTATATAACATTTACGTATTTAAAAAAATCGCACAATCCTTAGAGGATGAAGCATCGATAAGAAATTACATGTTTGATAAAAAATATTACAATAACACTCCGTCAATATTGACTACAAACAAGTGGATGCGCAAACGAGCAAGGAAATCCGGAATACAAGCGGAAAAACGTCTAGCTAAGTGATGAGCAGAATCAATGTTCGAAATATTCAAAAGCTGAGAATCACGTTTCGTATTAAATTATCTTTCAGTTTTTTTTTAGTAGCTCTGAAAACGAAAACAGATTGAATCTCGAAACGTACAAAACTTACGTGTGCGATACACAGTGATGTGGTATTTCGTAGTTTTTAATTGTTTGCTTTTTTCAGTGAGTTTGGAAAAAAATAAGACAAAACCGTTGATATTTACTTATGTGACACCTTGTATACCTCTATATACTGACATTCATCGCTGCTGTGAGGGTTGCTGGCTGTAATTATTACATATTAATATTTTCTGCCACACAAAGCGTGCATCATAAAGCACAAAGAGGATTAGCACACACATATAGGGTTGTAAATTGTTTAGGGATAGATCTGGCCACAACAGTGGGATCGCTTTTACACTTTGTAGCAGTCTCGGCGCTAGCAGTAATTTAAAACTTGATTTTATGACGTTCCTTATGTCGAAAGTGTTCTTACACCTTTGAGATCGCATTTTTTTAAATGTTATCCAAAGAAATTAAATTTCAAATAGAGTGGCATTGTCGACCATGAATATATCACAAAACATAAGAAAAAACTTGACATTGGAAATTAGGGAACTTGGTATAACACGTAAAAAGCCTTTAATTCCTCTATTTTGGATCGCCGCCAAAACGAACGCATCACGATCGTTCGGGCACGACATAGTTCAAGTACAAATTGACATACAGCAAGCACGTATGTACCATGTGGCGGTTATGGAAAGTTGTGCATGCTTGAACAAAAGCATTGTTTGCCATTGCGTTTACCTTAAACCATAATAATAACCCCGCGTTGAACTGTGAACAACTTACGCAAACCGATGTTCTGTTTTTAGAATTGTATCTTTCTTCAACGTGAACTGGAACAACTCTTTGAAATAACCAATATATTTGCTTTGATGATCAATTTGATGATTCAAGTAGAGCAGAGATAGAAGGGTTGTCCCAACAGCAGTCAGAAACTAGTTTTAAAGCAACTGTGCTGACGTAAACTTTCAAAATGTCGACGACTGGAAAGCTAAGTCAATATTGAAGGATTAATTGTGATAGAACAGATCTTCTTTCCGTGGTAATTTCTACAAATACCTTCAAATTAAGAAACGCTAGGTGTGTAGAAGGAAAATCCGCAAATGAAAGTCTCACGACACTGTTGCGTTCGAACATGGAAGGCGATAAGGAAAATCCGTCAGTTATTGATTGGTGAAAGGAAAAGGAATGGTCGAGATGTTTAAAGGAGCGTATGTAGACAATTCGGAATAGATTGGGTCGTCAATAAGAAAGCATGGATATTATGTCAACACGGTTAGAAAAAACTTTGACAGAAGAATCCATAGAAAAGGCAACTATCGCCATATGTGACTGAGCGACTTACCTTAAGCACCTCGTGCGGCACCCCTATGAGGAAGGGCATGGGCGCCAGCAGGTAGTCGATGAGGGACATCGGCAAAACGGGGATGAAAATGTGCTGCCATATCATGGGATAGATGATGTCGTTGGCGGACTGCACGCAGGCGCTCAGCCTCTTCAGTTTCTTGGAGGTGAAGATGATCCGCCTCTCGTAGAGCATCGACGCGAAGACCACCATCATGTTGTGGGTGTCCACGGCGTTGAAGTACTCCGTAAGATTCCTCTAGAACGAAATTGAAGGCGATAAGGAAATGAAAAGGCTCTTCAGAAAAAAAACTTAGTCAATACTTTCTACTATTTTTTAAATTATTTTCTCTATCTTACAAACAACGCATTGTATATAGCAATAAGACATATAATGTCCTAGTATTTAGCTAAAGGAGGATTAAAAACTCATACACTAAATCGATGCTCAACAATTTTGTTTGTTTTTAGTAGATGGTCCATATTGCTTTTAAGTTAAAGCTTCCTGCTAATACTTTAAACTTTAAACTTGAATTGAATTTGTAATGACCTCGATAAAATTGAATTTGGAAGGGTACCAAAAACACAGTAGGTATTTATCCGAAAATAGAGGCAAATAAAATGAAAAGTCAATGTACTAGTTGCTGCAACATATATCTGCACAATACCAAAATACCGTTAATCATGAAGCTTGTAGCAAATTGATTTTAATTCACTATTGAGAATAAATAAATTATAGATATATTTGGAACGTACCATACCTTTTTGAATAATATATTTATTATATGGTCTTCAAAGCAACCAGTTTATGGCCGATCTTTCTAAATTTATTTCTAAACAATAATTTAGTGAAAAAGGATTTTTGAGTTTTCAAAGTAATGCTGTGTGATAATATATAATTGAGGTGTCCCGAGAAACTTCGTATATGAATTATTAAAGCTGCTCCAACATTTCATTCCCACAACTAGCTCTTTAGCTGTGTACGTCTTTGTTTTTAGTAAGTCATTCATCATTCCTGAATAATTATTGACAACAGTATACTATCAACGCGACTCTTTAATAACAAACGATAACATTAATATTATGGGTAACGGTGCTGAGAGTACGAATTATTATGAAAGAGATAACAGAGGCAAAAACAGATATTATTTATCTCGAAACAGAAAAATGTACATAATCTGTCCTCGTTATAACAACACAGCTTATATTCTGCTACATGCACAACCCTTTGTTTTGCTATTTAGGTGTGAACAATTTTCTGATAATTTGTCCAACGAACTTTTGCGTGATGCGAATTTAATCCTTCTATAAATGTTAATAGAAACAAAAATAATAAAAATTTGCTTATTGTCTAGACTAGAATAATACCTAAAGAAAGTTAGGTACTATGAAAGTTGACACAGTCTTATTATTCTACTTATTTCTCTCTATGTTTGATACACATTTACATTACTAAATACAACACATTTGCTACTTTTTTTTTTTCAGGAAAACATAAATGGTTTATGAAAAAATATCGCTTGGATATCCGTAAGCGTAGGTTTTTATTTACATCAAATTAGTTGCAGAATAAATACAACTGAGCTTCGACGCAATAAGTGGGTAGTATTTAATCTTGTAGGCAGACGAAGGACAAACACCTTTGTGTGTATAGTCTTTCTGATCTGAATTGAAGACCAAAAATCTTGGCGGCATGTACCAGGTTCGGTCGCTACGCAACTACTCGGCATTGGAATTTTCAAAAATTTGTTCCCATATTTATTTAGCCATACCCATATACAGGTCTGGTCGCCCAGTTGAAGAATGAGCGCGCGGGCAAACGGGAAACAAACACAGCCGGACTGGGCGACCAGCCATAAATTTCAGTTGTTGACAAATTGCGTAGCAGTGGAGTGCAACAATATAGGCACCCTCTATTAATCATTCATATTACAATTTCGAAAGGGAGAAATAACAGAGGTATTTTGTTTACTAAAATTATTACAATACTGTATTTTGGAGACCTTTTGAAACGGAACAAAACGAAATACCAGACAATATTGAATTAGTAAAATCGGCTGTTGATGAAACAGCAATAAAATGAACGGTTTAAATTTAATCAGAATCCGATCCTGTTCCGAACGCTTACGAAGGGCAGCGAACTGCTCTAAAAAGCCGCTACTGCTAGTTGATTTCACACCTGGTATGATCTGATATGGGCATACTTACATTTTCCGGAATACTTGGTAGCTGGAACGGCCTAGGAACATCAACCGCGAAAGTCTGCAAAATTTTGCTGCATTAAAAGGAATACAATGGGCAGATACGTACGAGGCATACATACACTTTCACCTCTGTTAAAAGGAACTACGAACTTCTTGCCTGGCTCCGCCAATCTGGCGTTGTACACAGCAGAGAGAAATTCCCTAAGGTCCTCGGTGCGAGAACTGTGCATTAATACTGCTGTGGTATCTAGAAATCTATTGGATAATAAGTTAGAGGCGAGAAGAATAATCATAAATAGAATGGTTAGAACTTACGATGTTCATTTGAAAATTTTCTACTTTAATAAAACATTCAAATAATTGGTCCTTCGAGCTGGATCAATGAAAAACGTGTGAAAATACGTAGTTTCACTAGCTCAAGCTCAATGAAGAAGGGCACGCAAATTTTATCGGTTAGGTTAGATTTTAAACGTGACTTCTGAGAATTTTGGGGATTTCAATCGATTTTTAGTAACATTCTACAATTTTGATACGTTTTTAAATATTCAAATACATAATGGAAATAATAAGTTTTTCAGATTTTGACAGCGAATATATAGCACCTAATTAGGTAGATACTGTTTTGGAAAGTAAGTTTATTTTTTTAATATTTTTCAATCATTTCCAAAAATCAATTTCAGAATAATCCCCTTGTTCCCCTTCAGTTCTGTTGAAGTAATAATTATTAGTGAAGATTAAAATTATCTCGAAATTTTTTGATATTTTTTACTTACTGAAAGTTAAAAACACATTATTCTACTTTTTATTTCATCACATCTGAAATATTAGGACATATTTTAAAACGTAAACATCTTCAATTTCATAACTTCCGGATTAGTTCACTGAACCCTCTTACTAATTGCTATGAAATTTGTGATTATTTAAAAATAGTGTCTGTGGGTTTGACAACGACTTCAATACATCAACATACACATTAAAAAATGTAAGATTAATACACATCAGTTTTGCTGATTTTGTATGACGTGAAAGTTTCTCACTAAATGTCTAAATTAATACTAAAAATGAAATCCTACGAATAAATTCTTCAAAATATCTGAATAAAGTTTCGATTAGTTACCAAAATAACATTACATATTTAAATACGGTTTCTATTTACTCAAGACAAAACAATTTGTGACGTTCCTATCTTATCAAATTTATCCACGATTTGAACAAATACGAAAATTTTCAAATGAAATTGTCTAACTAATATCACTGGTTATAATGCAACGTTTTAGTGGTCACTGGTTTTGGCAAAAGTTGTTTATCAACAACGATGCTTCTATTTGCGTCACTGGAGATTTATTCAATGCATTAAAAATATGAAAGATAAATTAATCAGAATAAAATCCCCAGATGTTATGTAATCAATCTGATAGGAATTAATCAAATCGGCGACAGTTCTGGAAATTACTCATGAAAAATTTACTGAAATTAGACCAAAATTACATATTTAATTGACTAAAATAATAGAAATGTAATATTATATAATCTGAGGACGAGAATGATACTTTTTTTTATTTATTTAGTTATCCAGTGGCACACACTTCCTTATTCAACTGTTTCCTAACAGAATTAAGTGTGCCATGGATGGATATGGATATACCGATGGGAAAAATGGATGGTACACTAAACTGTATAAAAAAAAAAACAATTAAATTATAAAAAAATATAGTTTGTGTTTATGGCTAGCAAAATTTGAAAGACAATTTTTCGCATATTTGAAAAATATATAAATATACAGGGTTTTCTTCACAAAAAGACATGCTTAGAGAAACCGGAATAATATAGGAAAATATGGAGCAAGCGACTGAAACCTTTTTGCAATAATCAAATATTATTACCAACAAAAAAATTTGCGAGCAACACGGAAAAACAGTCAAAACCGAAAAACACCCTGTATCTTTCAAACGGAGCAAGACATGGAGTTGTGGTTTTTGTCATTCGAGAGTCGAGACATCTAACAGATTTTTGGTTTCGGAGAACAAACATTGTTTGTCTTCATTTAATATGATTTTGAGAAAATATTTTGGAATTGATTCGAATTAGCTTTAAAGTAAGGTAAAGCCTCAAGAACTAATAAAATACATATTTTTAAAAATATACATTGGTGTGCTTGTTTTATTTCCATATTATACATTAAATTTATTCACCAGACCACGAAAATGTAAATAAAAAATATATGTATGTTTATTTAAAGATAATAAGCTTATTATTTAAAATATGTGGTAGGCAAATATTTGTCTATATTTCATGCACTTGTAGTTTCCATGGTTCTTCTAGGAAATTTGCAGAGGTGACTTATAGTAACCAAAAAAAATTAAACAAACTAAATACACTTAAAAAGTTTGTGTAGGAAGTTTTACAATGCAATCAAAACCAATACAGAAACGGCGAAGGCCAACGAGAAGAGATTATTTATAGAAACGGCGATTGGAGACGAAATCATTGACATTTGCATCATTTTAAGCCTTAATGAAACCCCAATTTAGATGATACAAAAGATTCAAGCCACAAAGCAAAATGTCTAATGAAATATTCTCCCGATTTCCCGTTTTAAAAACAAAACAAAATCCTTTCATCAATATTTTCCTATTTAGAAAATCGTTTGATTTTGTGATTATTGTTATACTTTTTATACATGTTTATTTGTCATTTACAAAATTAGAATATCGCAAATCGGAAGTCAAGTGAAAAGCACGATTTCTTGGAAAAATAAAAAATCAGGGTTTTTGGAAACGGTTCTGCAACCTATGTGCTATAGAAGATGATGTATCCAATAGTATGTAATGTAGCCTAGTGTCAGTTTAGTTGTTAGAATATTTCCCATTAACAATTACATATAAGTAGGCGTGTTCTATCTATGCCAGAAGACGATTGCTATAAGTACACGAGAAATAAATCACCTTAATGTATGCAAATTATTAATACCTAGTTATAACAGCATAAAATAAGCACATAAATATTAAAAGGTATCGTTCTTAATGGAATGATTATTTATTCAATTAATAAAACACCTACCTACTATAACTGTGAGTCAGTGTGCAATCAAAATATATATCGGTATACAAAGAGTAAGGTGAAAACAAACATGCTGTACCTATTTCCGGATTTGCCATGAATAATAATTAAACGAAATGAAAAATTTATATTTATTTGGACAGCACTTCAAATCAAGGAAACGGAATTATATTAAATTCAACCACATTAATGATATAGCAGCTTGATTTTAGTTATTTTTAACCTTATATTACTCGTAATAAGAATTTGTATCGCTAAACCGATAATCTTATTTATAGACTAAGTATTGATTTTATTCTACTTACTAAAGACGGAATGTTGTAAGGTAAGGGTAAATAAAGGACCGCTGTATTCCTGTTATCGATTTCTTTAGGTATAGTATCGTTATGTCAACATTAATAAATTGTTAAAATATCGCACTGTTCAAAGATCTAGGTAAGAATTATAGGTAATCAACGAAATTTATTTGGAAACATATTTAAGTATTATTAAAAAATTACTAAATATACTTTATTCGTTAAATTTTAAGTGAGTAAGTATTTGTTTAATAAATCTTCACTTAGCTTTTGTTTCTTTTTGAGGAAATGCGTAATACGAATACATAAATACAATACCATGGTCTAGAAATTATATGTAATTTAGCAATGTTTTTTTTTCTTCACAAGCAGATATGAATTAAATAACAGTACCTAACAGTAACTAAAAATAGATGATAATGTTTCAAAATGTTTCATTTGGAAATATATTATATTATGTAAATTTATAATTTTTAAAGGTAAAGAAAAAAGTTTCCTGTTCTAATTTAACATTCAAATCACTACATACAGATATATACAGGGTGTTGCACTAGTGAAATTTGTCCACTTTGTCATAACCATGCACAACATAAAGATTTCCCTGTGTGTATACCTATATGTATAGCTAAATCGATAGCAAATGAAAGATAAATATAAAATTATAGATAGTTATTTTTTATAACTGTCGAGCTCATTGTATACAGGGTGATTCACAAATGGTGACCAAAAATGAAACCTCGTATTCCTTGGTGAATTTTAAGGGGAATCTTTCCTATGAACTTTTTATCTAGGACGTTTCGTTAAAAAGATACAGGGTGTTAAAATTCAAAAAAATATTTTTTAAATCATTTAAAAACTAGTACGTGAAATAATTTGAAATTGGGCACATATATTTACGTAAACATTGTCCAAAATCTGAGGATTTTTCCTAAAATTTACATGCTCCAGTGGCGGAGACACAGAGTATCGATGGTATATTTTTCTAAATAAAATGGTACGTCACTGACATTTTCCCGTTTTTTATTTTTTTTAGAAATCCGCCATCAATTCTGAATGAAATTAGTTTCGTAGGATGTACCGTTTTTGAGCAAAAAAATAAAACATAGTTGTGTATTTTCAATTTCTATTGATATATTATCTAGTAGGTTGCTGTCAATATTTCTAAATAAAATGCAACCATTAAATTCCGAGTCAATATCTTTAAAACTCTGAAACAATTAATAAAAATAAATAAAAAATTAAAATTTAAACACTTTGTATCTCGGAAAGGAAGCATATTTCGACCTATGTTTATATGAACTTTTTTTCACAAAATAACTTCGGCAAACACCCCCTAAAATATTTCGCACTTATTTACAAACACCCTGTATATATAGACAGCCATTTTTTTGTAACTATGTATAGATCTGTCTTATAATGTTTCGTTAATCCACAATTGAAATAACACTGCTTGTTCATAATATGTACATACTTCCATTAAATTATGAATAAATAAATACTTATTGCTCAAATATTTATTTACCACAGGACTTAATTTTTGTCAGTGCAAAATACGATCAGCAGAGGCGCCTATAAAAAGTTTTTAGGTATTTACTGCGAAATTTAGAAATAATCCATATGACACACACTATTATGAAACCATGCATCATATTATATAATTCAAAACTGGATTAGCGAAGTGACTCATTTGATCCTTTTATCCTTATTTATTAATTTACATAGCTTATTTACATTGCAGTGGTGGCAACACATGGTTATTATAAGTACATATTTCAAAATTATTAAATACATATTTATTGAAACAAAAAGTTAACTAACTTAGTCATTGAAATCAAAATTTGGAACGATGACGTCTCAAAATTGCATCTTTTTGAATAGGTAACTGTTAAAGATTTGAAT